GGAAGTTCAGCATCTTGCTGAAGGCGAGCCAAGGACAGCTTGGTGGCAGTCGGATCTGCAGATGGCAATTACCCTCTGGTTCCTTAGCAGTTTGCTATGGAAACATGATGATTTATGATCAATTTGCCCTTTAAAGATTGCGATGTTCCATAGATGTCTTGAATTGGCAGAGGGAAAAAAAACATGTTTTGATTTCAATTTATTTCAGGTTGTTGAATTATGGTAATCCACGGTAATCCCCTCCCCCTTGCAAGAACACACCAAGAAACAAGCCCTGATTTAGAATTTTAATTCCCTGGTTCCATTTGGAGGTTGCGATTGCCATTGGCCATTTGGAGGGTGTGATTGAAACATAGTGTATCTGTAAATTGTCCCGGTATCCATGGAAGTGCAAGATAGAACCGCAAAATGGCTATACTTTGAAGAGTGACATGTTCAACACGTGAAGGTGAGACACGGATCTGTCCAAAATCTGTGATGGTTGTGTAGGCTAGGCACCCACTACCACGCAAGGTGCTCTACACTTCTCTTGGGTGGGCTGCCTCATCATAATAAGCACCTGCAATGCCCTGGGCAGGAAGCATCTCAAAACAAAGGTCATGCACACATTTCAGAGAATTGTTGTTTCCTGCATCCTACCGATGACTTTACATCTATAAATCCGAATCTATCCATAATCTAAATGCATTCTCTTCACAACACATACCTGCCACATCTAGGGGCACACGAGGAAACATACGAGGGTCCCAACAAGTTGACGGGCGAAGATTGGCGACTGACTGACACCTGGCGACCGCATGCGACCGCCGGGTGCTCGCTGCTTGGATGTGTTTTCCAGGGGTCATGTTGTGCAGGCGGCACTTTCTAGATACACGTCCCCGGGCACAACCTGCGGAAATTCCAAAGGGGATCAACATGATAGATTTTCGTAAATTCCTTCTCGAAAATTAAAGCTGATAACATATTTCTCTATCTGTTCAAATCTTTTCAGTCATATGCAGTATCATACAGTATCTGACTGTAGATGATTATGTCATATGATGTGCATTCTTAAATATATGGGACATGGCGGTCCACCAAGTTTGGGAGTCATACTCAAAGATCACCTCTGGAGGGGCTGCAGCCTCTGCTAATCTAACCCGGAAATCGCGTTGATGATCTATTCTAAGTTTGTTTCCATGATCAGTAGGGAATTCCAACTGCCAGGAGAAAACTGGAAGAAATTACAGACTCCAACCCCCCCACACTCCCAAAAAATCCTTCAACCCAGGCACCCTTGGTGGAGACAGGCTCCTCGCCACAGGTTCCGTGATCAACATCCTGAGCTAAAACTGTGGTCGTGGGCTCTGACGTGTTGTTTTCTTGGGGTGCCTACTATAAATATGTTTATTGCCATTTATGATGTTAAAGATTATTACTGCTATTAAACATCAATCTTAATTTGTTTCAATCGTTTTTTTCTGGTTAATTGTGTTTCTATTATGTCTATACCATTGAAATCCATTGTTGTTCAATAATAAATTCAATAGGTGTGATTTAGTAGCATATAATAACCAAATATAACCAATTCAAGATCATTATTCCAAGGCCCACATTACGCACTGCACAGCACATTCTGCAGAGCGGTACGCGACAAACACGACAGAATTGAGTGACACAAAATTGGATGCTCAATAACTCAATAGTTAAAACATGTTAAAACAGCAAATTACCAAACATCTGTGAGTTAGGGTAAAATTTTTGGACCATTTGCCCATCCGGATGCACCGGAAGGCTTCCCGCATGGAACCCTGAGCTGCCCAACTGATTTGGATCCTCAAAGGGAACCGGACCTGCCAAAACGACGAACGCAGAAATCGGTGACCAACTGTGGAAACGATGAACCCAGGCAAGACTTACGTTTCTATGCTTTCCAATTATATATACATCCATGATATCCATTTCAAAGGAAAATAATCCCTTCCCCCCTATTACTAAACCTCCCCCAAACAACGAAAACTAGGGGGGGGCGTTTAGTATTAGGGGGAAAGGATTACAGAATCTACAGTCCAAATCTTTGGGCAAAGCAACGAGCATTCGCAGGTCGCCTTCGGGATAGCTGGCAACCAGCGACATGTTGCCTGTCGGTGCATGGAGTTGGGAATGTGTGTTCTTTTTTTTCGCTGGAATTCTGGTGCGTTCTCTCAGATGATTTGAGGATCAGCATTCAAATGATCCAAATATGAAGGCGGAGAACATATGGGTCATATGTTTTTTAAACCTCTGGTAAGCTAAGCTGACAATGGAAAGAAATGATGCTACTTGATAAATTCTATTCCCATCAACACCCCCATTCACATGGGATTGCCCATTGTCAGATTCAAATGTGATTGCCGAAGGGTGGCCATAAATTCCCTGGAATCATAAAGACCCAATCTTTTCATAGATCAATGGGAATTTCAGGATCCTAAAATTGAGGTACTGTACCATATAAGGCCATATTTAATGGGGATGTTCCCTTACATAGGCCTTACATAGGCCTTATATGGCCTTATATATGGTAGGTACCTCCAATTTAGGATCCTGAAAATCCCATTGAATAGAGGGAGTTCCCTAAATCCATGGAAAGTACGACATCAACTTGGTATCAATACCCTCCATTGATCGAGGTAACAGGATGCATCTTTGAGGGGTTGCCTCCCTCTGGAAATTCCACAGCCCGCTATGAAAAAAAAAAACGTTGGTATAGATAATATACCAACACAAAATGATGATTGACCCATATTTTCCATAATTACTTATGTTAAGGTCCCAGAGGGTATACCCCAAACCTCATTGACAAGTCTGCCTTAGGCTTGTCCAGTTGCTCTTCGAAAAGCGCACGCGAAGGGGGAATTGTGCAGAGTTCAGTTCTGAAGCTGAAATCCGCGCAGGAGTTGCTGGGAAATAAAACATGGAGTTTTCACTTGAGTCATCTCAATGAAATGAAGGATACCCTCTGAGAATCAACCCTGGCAATAGACATATTCAGATGTCTAATGGACTCATTTATACATCTACGGTAATGTCAAGTTAGGATTAATAAGCCCCGCGGTATTAATCAACCCCCTCTGCCCAAAAAAAATGCAATTTAAAAAACATGTGGTCCCCCAGGATTAATAAACCGTTTGGCTGGGACATGATTAATCAACCTCCTTTGCTGAAATCCATGTTTTTATCCAACATTTTTATTTCCAATTCTATTTATTTCCAATTGTTGTTTTTTTAACATTTTTTTAATCATCATTGTTATACTTAAGGTTTAAGTTGATCATTGAAAATTTCAAAAAACAACGATTCCCCAAATGATCGATTTCTAATCAAAATCTTTATAAAAATCATCAGTTTGGATAGCTCCCAAAGGGTACCCCCCATGAGCCCATGTCCCCCATTAATAATTTAATAACCACGGTTTGCCCCTGATTAATCAACCACCTTTCTGATCCATGAGATTTTAACAAATCCAATGGAATTCTATTAAGATCTAATTGACGTAAGCCATATCCAAAGTTTTATGGTTCAGAGTTGCTTATTATTAAGGGGGGGTCAAGAAAATGACCTACAAGGTAGAGTTCTGACCTTCTGCGGGGGGGAGGGTTGATTAATCCGATGTTGGCATTAACTGCAAATAAAGATCTTCCTTTGACATGTTTGACTACCAAAGGTTAATTGCTTGGCTGATCCAACTCCGGACATGAGTGAATTGGGAATCCTCATTCCAGCGACAGCACAAAAAAATCCTTGGCACCGTGGCACCGCTGGACAAGCCCAAGCTGCCTTTGTTTTTTTTGTCTGACGCATTGACGTGCCAAATTTCGCTCTATGTGTAGAGTGTGAAACTGTTGGTTCATGTCGTATTGCGCCCAGAAAAGCCTAAAAGGGTGAGATGTAATTAATCCGAAACATTCGAGGAAACAAATGACGACAAAAAAAAAGAAGCCATGAAGCCATGAATATCCAATCCCGGCTGTTTCAACTCCCTGGAAGAACATTCGTCAAGCAGGGCCCATCATTCGTCGTTTGCCCAGCCACTTTTCCTTGCATGGCAAGGAGATATGAAGCCCAGGGGGAATTCAGAGCCCTTCTGGGCTGCGAATCTTCTAATTCTTTGATGTTCTTTGCGCTCAACAATGGGGCCCTACCCAGGACTGAAACAATCGCGCATACTTGGCATACTTTGGTGCTTTGGTGTCACGATTCACACTGGACCTGTGCATTTGGGGTGGGTAAGGTGGACAATGCCACTGATCCCGTTGTGTCTCCATCAACTGGTTCTGCACATGGAGTGATGCTCATTATAATCTTAAACACTGCGCATTCTTTGTCACAAGCAGTTTTCACAAATTCACAAATCATACCATCTGGTTATTTAACATAGCCATGGAAAATCACCATGTTTAATAGGTAAACCATCTATACATGGTCCATTTTCCATGGCTATGTTGAATAGCCAAAGGGAAATTCATCAATTGATGGTCTGAGTATTTGCCCAATATGCCCAGGTCTCTACTTTGCCCACTATCCCTGATGCCATTTTTGTTTAATTGCAGAATTGCCTGTTGGAGCAACGACAGCAGCCAACAAATATCGCACCCTCGTGGCTCCGAAGTTCAACAACTGGACCTGACAAAACAATTCTACAAACCTCACCTTTACGACCATTAAAAAAGCATACAATTCCACAGAAAACGCCAGCTTCAACCCAGAGAGTGCATCTTTTCGTCCCAGCGCCAAAGAGCTTCCAGATCCATCATTGGGACCCAATGGCCATGACATGTGTATCGCATGTGACTACATGTGTAGATAACTGATGATATACTGAGTCATCTGCTGCATAGGAACTAATTATGAACTTCTGCTGATAGATATATCGATGAATGGCAATGGCCATTAAGGATATTAATCATGATATATCTACTAAAATCTACTAGATATGTCCTAAAATTCTGCTGATAAATCTGTTTGCTCCACTTTCTCTGGCCTCAAATTTGGCCACTGGAGCCATGGGGAGCCGAAGCAGCGGCTGGCTCAGCCAAGAGTTCCTGGGCGGCGTATGGCGGACCTTGCGGGATCATCAGCCCAGAATTTGCAAAGAAATCACTGTGGTATGCACTAAATCCATCTATATCCTTGATGTAACTGTCTTTTTCATATTAGGTTATTAGTCATTAGATGCCATTAGCATTCATTATAATCACTTCCGATTCAACATGGGTCATTAAATGTCCCCATTGAACATCACCCAACCATTAGGTATATGGTCTTTAATGGCTACTTTTTCAGGTGATGTCCAATATTCCCAAAATGGGACAGTTACCAACCCCTGTTCAACGTTGATCACTTTTGGAACCAGATTCTCTCCGTTTCTCCTCCTGGTGCTCTTGGATCAATGACTGGCAGCTTTGGCCCGCCAAAATGCACCAGCTCAACCTTAACGGCATTTCGCACAAGAGATGCTGCAAATGATTGGCCCACATTTGGCCCCCCACATTGTGTCCTGAATGAAGATGGACAATTATAGGAACACATAGGAACACATTCTAGATTCGAGATCTTCAAACCAGTTGGTTCTTGATTTTCAAGTTGATCAGAACTTCAACCCCCATCATTTTTATTCTTCAGCAAGTCGTCCCGCGGCAAAAAAACGGCCAACTGACCGGATCAAGCTGTGGCCCTGCATCCATTTCTCAATAGCCATGTCCTGCGACATGGGAACCATCGAAACTTCGATTCCTGTGACCTCAGAGTCCACAGAATCTCGGATTTGGTGGGAACCTGTCAGAATTTCTTGAGATCCTGCTGATCTTTTGGATATATAAACGCTCAGGAATCCCAAAAAAGGAAAGAGCAGGAGTGAAATTACAGGTGATGTTTCTCGATCCAAGACGACATTCTCAAGGATTATATAATTATATAGTGAGTTTAGTGGGGTTCCATCACCGATAGGACCCGAATCCTAAATCTCCCCCCAAAACACACAACTCATTTCAGCAAGGTTTTTGCAAAAGCCAAAATCATCAAAATCTCAGATTCAAACAGTTGTTACCAGGGATGAAACCACATTGTTTTTTTTGCCCAAACAGCTCCCTTGAACACGGACCAAGATGGCCCCGTCCTCGGGCATGCGTGCCCAAGGGAACTCCGTGCGGATCACATATTCCAACAATCTCAGCACCGTGCAGCCGGCATGGCCAACAAAATCGACCGTGTACCATCTGAAGATTACCCCAATATGGAGGTTTCCATAGGTTTCTTAAAATGGGTACCCCGGGTACCCCTAAATCATCCGTTTTCAAGAGATGTTTCATGAGAAACTGGAAAATGGAACAACCAGCAACCTGCTTTCATCCGTGCTACACAGCTTGGTCACTGGGAAAAGAATGGGAACACATACTTGCAAGATACTTAATATACATATAATATACACATTAAAATGCTATATGTCACATTTTTCTTTATATGTATTTATGTGTCGGTTTTGTCAAGCATGAATGTTGACCAACTGCCTCGGGAACTTTGCAAGCCCCAACGCGGTGTCAAGAAATTGTGTAAGCACCACAGACTTTGCGACTTTAGATTGCAGTGAGCAAAAACATATCCAAAACTCAAAACACTAGACCCAAGCTCCAAATCATCATCAGCAGGGCAAGACAGTCAGGGCTTCCCAATCACACTGAAGACGCTGGAAAAGCGTCAAATACAGCGAGGGTGAAATGCTAGCAGCTTGAAACATTCCATAGTTGTTTGTTCAAAGACATTTCATTTGAGCCGGGACACATGGGAAATCATAGGCAAATAAAGATAATAAAGGATGATGAAAGTATCCTCATGTATCCTCATGTGAATAGCTCACAAAATTACTTGTTCATTTTCATGCCATGCACAGGTTAGGATTAGAGTCGTCCCCTATCGGTAGGAAGGATTTCTGCGTGTTCTTAGACTTTGAGTTGACTCATTTGAAACAAGGGTATCGGTATAGAGTCGTACCCTATCGGCAATGAAGGTTTTGCACACCCCTCAGCAAGGCCAAGGCGAAGCAAGACTAAATTAGCAATAATTTTGTCGGTTGTTATCGGGCGCTCAGAATTGCATGCCAGCTCTTGCCAGCTGTACACATTGTACACTGAGAAATTAGCAGAACTGTCGTCACAGATCATGTCCGGCCGTCCGGCCCCAATCATCGAAACTCCCACGGACTTGCCGCTAAGCTGCCGAGGGTAATCTCTCACATACCCTCGTGCGGTGGAACATTCAGAGCGCCAAAACGAGATGGACGACAATGTGTAGCCTCTGCGCTGGTTTACTCAACAAACTCTGAGTGAAATGACCAACAGAACTGACGTGAATCAACCAGCAGCCATGCGGAATCAAGCGGACTTAAATACATCGAAACACAGCATTCAGAAGCTGTCTGCAACAGCTGCTGCAAAGTCTCACCAACACTGCCAGAAATTCAAAGTATTGGTGGTAAGATCACTGAGGCTGCAGTCCATACCTTCTTACATAATCTATGTAAAATATGAGCAAATATGAACCGTATATGGGCCAATTTGTGTTTTTGAAAATGCCCCACATGACTTCGGAACCCGCCAAATCACCAAACACCTGCAAACCGCTATACCGCTATACCAGAAACCACCAACCCACCGCAATGCGCACAATGTGCATTTTGACACATGCTCGTTTCCAACCGAATGACAGGAACTACAAGAGGGACACGCCATGACGCGCCTTTATCTCTGCAAACTCAGAAAAACCAACCAAAGATTGTGGTGCCCATCATTTCACATAGATTGTCAACCCGGGTTGGCATGCACGGGTTGTACCTGGTTAAACTCCTCCTGGTAGATATCTCCTTGGCTTCCCCAGTTTATACGGACTGCGGATATCCCTCCGAACTGCTCCCTCCGTTCACCACTGTGTAGTAGTTTAATCATGTTTTAGTATTTTGAAAACATATCTTCATTTAACACACACACACATAGATAGATATAATTATAATAGGCACCCATGACTTAGGACTTAGGTCACCATAGTGACATAGGAGTTTGTGCACCAAGTCCTAAGTCACTGGTGTTCTTACCAGGTGATTTGTGTGCACCAAGTCCTAAGTCACTGGGGTTATGATTGGACTTAAGCACTTTTTCGGGTTAAAAAACAATCTTCTCTTAATAAGTCATCAGAACCTACATACTTACATTACATTAGAGTACAGTAAATTACATCACACTACGGTACATTACATTACATTACCGTAAAGTACAGTACATCACATTACACTACAGTACATTACATTACATTATAGCACATTACAGTACATTACATTATATATATATATATCTTATCTTGTATCATATTATATTTTATTATATATATGTATATAATATACATACGTTTGTTGCATTTTGTTATTGGGCCAGCCATGCTGGGACTTCCCCACAGGAAGGCCAAGGTTCCAAGCCAGGAGCCGCAAAAGAAAGGTACCAGGGGGCCAACAGTGAACCTCAGCTCTCGCCGCCGGAGGGTTGGTAACACGAAAACTGGAGTTGGGGCCAACATACCCGCTTCCCGTCATACCATAAGTGTCTAATGATGTCTGCTTGCCTACCTGCTGGAGTCAAACTGAGTCAAATCAACTCAATATTCCAAGAACTTGTTTTAGCCTGTTTGGTGGGAAAGGCTGCGTAAACATTCTTAAAGAGCGCCTAAAGCACCTTATAATAGCGACGCATATTTTTTTTCGAAATTCAAGGGGATCTCCAATAGTCACCAGCGGATTTGGGAACGTCTGGTTCCCAAATCAGCTCCTCGAGTCTCAAATGTTGACCCATAGCCATGACTATGAATCCGGAGGTGACATTGGTTGGGGATGCTGGGGTCACTGGGGTCATCTTCATAGCCAAATCAATATGGCAAAGCGATAAGCAGCAAGCGCCCATTTTCAAGCCGCTGCACCCCTCAAGAGATTCTAAAGGTCTAGAGTCTGATCATGTGATCTGGGTCAATTATAGTCATTCAGAAATATGAACCCGAGAATTTTCTGGATAATTTCCTTTACCAACCTTTAATGAGATCATTGCGAGGTCCTTGCAGCTATGGTAGCAAGCCAAACAGAAAAGTTGGACACCTGGACATGATGGTAGAAACAACATCCTGGGAGAACAACAAAAAACGATCGTCCGCATCATACTGAGTCATAGCTGCATCTTTCTGGGGGCCCCGGGGCCCTTGCAATCATTGACCCAGAATTGATGTGCCATGAGCCCGCCAGGGGACGTCACTTCGCTACGGCGTCCGCAGAGGACACCGTCGCGAACGGAGTATTTGACGCGTACATCACTGAGAAAACACATCACATGTTATAGGTGATCATGAGAAGCAACAGAGACCTACATCAAAGCCATGTGTGCCGTAAAGAACTTCAATCAAGTTGGTTTATAACATTTTATAACTACAATAAGTATGGTTTATTGCACATGTACTTATAAAGATGATGGGGTTTATAAACATTATAAACCAACTTCTATAAGGTTTGGGGCTTGGGGAACCCACTATTGTACATCTATGTGCAGTATCTTGGGTTTCTGAAGGGGCCATCTTGCCAGTCAAGATCCTGGGCTACACGGCGATCTTTCGGGCAAGGCCCGACGATCGTTGCTTAACGATGTACGACTTACACAGCAGTGTTCCTGGAGGATCCGAAACGCCTCAGGCAGAAAAACAGGGTGAACTCAGAGATTTGTCACTGGGACATCTTGGGACATCTTGGGACATCTTGGGACATCTTGGGACATCTTGGGCACAGAACCGAAACAAAGACTCAAATAAAATCAACTGAATATTCAAATGATCTCACATGACATTCTACCCTATGGATCCAAGCACTTCCTGAGGATGTATTTGGGGCATGGTTTAGGGAAGCGCCTTCTCAAGAAGTATTTGGACACAGGCTTTGTCCATACTAATTCAATGCATCTCACTGATTTCAACCTTAAATGCTCCTCGGCTTCAATGTTTTGATGACCTTGAGTCATATTCATTCTTATCCATATTATCCATATTTCCAATTCCCATCTATATCTACCTCCGTCTCAGGATGTGTGCTGTCAACCCTTCCTAGAGTCTGGCTTTTCAACTGGTACTACCCCCCAGGGTCACTAATAAAATTGTGATCGTTTTAGAGTTTTAGATCCATTCAGGGGCAAATGCCAGCCAAGTTCCGGGATTGTGGCGAAATGTCAAATTATGTCAAATCAATAGCCATTCCAGGATCCTAAAATGGAGGTACCTACCATATATAAGGCCTATATAAGGCTTATGTAAGTGAATATCACCACAAAATATGGCCTTATATGGCCTTATATGGTACAGTACCTCCATTTTAGGATCCTGAAATTCCCATTGTTTAAACTGACATGGGCAAGGGCAATGGCTACAGCGGCTACAGCCTTTACCACATCTTTCTGAAAGTACCCTGCTTCGCCCTGCGTTCACCGCTCCGGGCAGCACATCCGGCACGCTTCGCCCCGCGCAACTTCAAAGGCGAGCGCTAGGGCCAAGGGCCAGATGACCACTTCGACTCACTCCGCTCAGTAGTTGATCGCGGATAGAGGGATCATCCTTATGAACACCTGTGTCTGGCGGTAAATGATGATGGAACTCCGATGTTCCAAAGATGTTGGGGAAAGTTTAGGTGTTCCAAAATGGATCCAAATGGTCAAAAGGTGCCCAATTTGGATCCAACGTCATCTAACATCAAATAGCTCCCAATCGGAAACCCTGAGGCCGTATATACAAGCGGCTGAAAGGATTTTTCCAGCCAGGTGCCGAGGCATCCTTCTTAGATATTTGATACTATCACGTGCTCTTACTACTCATCAAATTGAAACTAGCCCATCAAACATGGAACTCATCAAGAAAGGACTTGTTGACACACAAGTGCCATACCAAAGGAAATTGATGTAAGTGCATGCCCCATCCAAAGTCGCCGTTTTTACGGAGAAATCATCGAATTCACCAGCAGATTTTATAGGGTCTACCACCCTGCCTCGAAGAGCAATCGTTCGAGTGGTAGATGGCACCGAAGCACCACGATGGCTCATGCAGGTGTGGTATGCCTCCAAGCTCACAGCTACTGCTTTGGGAGACAGTAGCCTTGGCAGCACACGGGTTTTGCGCAAAAACATCCCGGCGGACCGGAAGCCGTGCTCGTAAAAGCACTTCTTTGTATAAAACAAAATAAGCTTGGCATTATCGCGAATTTCGTTTCTGAAAATCATCAAAAAAATGGATACCAATTTTTGGGTGTTTGCGCGTTTTACCACAGTAACAGCTCATTTTCTTCGAGAGGTTTGGTGGACTCTGAGAAATATAGTTTTTTTCGTCAGGAGATGCGTTTCAATGCTTCAATCGTCTTTTGCTGCAAGTTGGCACTGCGGTTTATGTACCTCCATTTCCAAGATTTTGCGTACAGCAGTAAATCGCGGCTTTGGGAGGACAAACTCCTGGGAATGCAATTCTTTAATGCAGACCATGATGCATCAATAGTACCAGTATTCCAAACGGTGGTGGCTCACATACTCATGCAGAATGCCCAATTCTCTTCCGATACAATGTACGGGGGTAACACGCTGCACCATCTGTGAGTAACATTGTCCTTTTTCGATTTGCCATGTGAGCCACATGTGGACAGGCGCCGGAAGCTCTAATTCGCCGATACGACAACGTAGTTGGAACTTGACCGAGAAGATAACAAGGTTGTGTTACAAACGTCAACAACGCAGTTGCAAGTTGTGTTTTAAAGTGGGCAACATGGTTGAAAAGACGATGGCAACGCAGTTGCAAGTTGTGCTACAAACGTCAAACATGAGTGGATGAAGAAGTAGTTGGATTTTGAATACTAAGATGACAATGTAGTAGCAAGTTGTGTCAAAAGAGTCGACAACGTAGTTGCAAAACGTTAATAGCCCACCCACCCCACCCGACCCCATCCCACCCCACACCATCCCATGTAAGTAATTAGAGGACTTACTAACATAGTTGGAAGTTGTTCATAAAAAATAGGAGGCTAGTGATGTAATTGCACGCTCTCACAAACGTTAGTTAGTCTTATGAGCACGGTTTTCGGTCCGTCGGCAAAAACATGACTCAAAATCAAATGAGTCAAATAGGACCCCTTTTCCAATTACAAAACGGATACGAACATTGAAACATGCTGCTTGGGACAAGGACGCACTAGCTGTGATTACAGATTATTACGTGCAATTGGCCTATATTTATATTCTATTTATTTATTCATTATTTATGTTTTATTCGTATACACACGCACACAAACACACACACATATATATATATATACACATAATTATACAATTACAATCAATTACATATGCATACAGCATTGCACACCGTCCAACAATATATTATGACAATGTAGCCCTCCCTCCGTCAAGAAGCTGGTTCAGAGCCTCCGCCAGCTGGTGCCCCAGCCGTTCTTGCAGCTGAAGTCTTCGCGCAAAGACTTCCAGTAGTCGCGCGAATTTCGACAAGCCCAGGACCCGACCATTGGGAAAGTAGGCGATGTGTGCCTGGTGTTAAGGTTTCACCTATGGGAAAGTCAATGGGGATCATCTCGCCATAACGGTACCAATTTATTGGAGGTATCTACCATACAAAAGGCCTACATATTATAATAGTATCTACAGTAATTCAGGGCTCAATGTCAGGGCATAGACTAGATGTACCCCCAACTTCTATGCCTTTATAATCCTTTATATGATTCAGTACCTGGTACCTCTAGGGTCCTAACATTCCCGATCATTCCAGGGATGAAAAATGACCCAGGTGCAGTGCCCGCAAAGGGCAACAAATGGTGCTCGCAAAGCGAGTGAAAGGGAATATCCCTCACAGCTACGAGATCATAAGCTCCATCGACCTCGAACACGGCATCCCCAACCACTGACCTTGGGTGTCGAAGTCAGCAAAGTCAGGGTGATAACCAGCAACAGAAATGGAGAAAGTAGCGCTTGGTTTGGATGATTTGCTTGCATTCCAATTGCACCCTTGAATAAGTTTACACACAGACCAAGGTTTGCCCAAGCGCCACATCTGTTCTAGAGGTGCAACAGTACACTAACGGCATTAGGATGCATTTACATGAGGCTTAGGGTTAAGGCTTTAGGGCTTGCGGTTGACCGCGATGACGATGACGATGAAGAATGACGATGATGATGACGATGATGATGATGATGATGACGACGACACAACAGCGCTACCAAGGTTAACATATCCTACCAGTATCATGAGGTTTAGGGTTTGGGGTTTAGCGTTGCTCATGAACATGATCATTACGTTTTTCATCAGCAAATGCATTGGTCACTTGTGTTAATCATGCCAAAAGAGGAAAAACACAACATATCAAGTTTTCCACCCCCCAAAAAAAACAAAGCCCAGCAAGTTCAAGGTGTGGCAACTGCAGCCAATACTTGTTCAATCTTACCCTTCGGTAATCAAACATGGCTGGCCGGGAAATGCCTCAAAATGGTGCTCTTCAGGGATAAAATAAATATGGGAAAATCATGGAAAATCATCTAAAAAATTGAGTCTTCTCCATTGCCATGTTTAATGACCAGAGGGTATCTTCTAAGCCAACTGCCCAGCCACAGCGGATCTTCTACCCGCAGCCCTGCCGTCATCTCCCGGAAGGCTTTCGCAGCTCTGGCGGGAGTCTTGTCCAGCTCATGCCGTGAGGATTCAGCAATGCCCAGCGTAGACAACAGAAGACGATAGGCATCTTCTGCTGGATCACTGCTGACTTGGGAGACTGGTGGACTGGGGATCAGCTGTACCTCGCAGTGGGTCACCGTTGGGTCACCGTTGGGTCATGTTGGGTTCGATGTGCCCTTCCCCATCAGAACTCGCCAGCAAAAGTCTCACCTCAAAATCACTTGATCAAACCTCCAAAGAATAATCAAAGAATGCCAAAGAATGCAACCTCCAGAATTCTCTTTTGCAATGCCGTGCATCACGGCTGAAAAACCCAGCCTGATCCATAGGATCAAAGCCTGACACAGGCACCATGCAAGGCCTGGGAGTTGGAGACCCCCGGACGTGAATGAACGAAGCTGCTTCTGCGAGGGGTATTGTAAAGCAGCCTCAGTTGGTGATGAAGCAAATCCCATCTCTTCATCCAAGGGTGAAGTCAATTGACTTCTCTTGGGGGAACAATGTGAGGGGTAAAACATGATCAAACTCATAGCTGGCTGGTGGTTTGGCCAACCCCCTGAAAGTATGACGGTCACTTGGGGATCATCATCCCATTTATTGAGGCATGGCATGGAATACGGAAAAACATGCCAATCTACTTTACATGTTGCTATACTCCATCTTTCATATTACATCTCGCAACCAACATCTTGAGTGTCAGGAAAAAACTTGAAGCCACTACTCAAAGATGACTTGTTTCTGTCCAATCGCATCACAAAACTTCGTCCATTTACAGGTGACAGCTCACAGAAGCGAGCACCATTGATGATTCCAACCCACAACAGGTTGGTAATTTGTCCTATCTAGTACCGTCACCATCGCATTTTTGGAAGGTAGGAGTACCTAATTTTGGACCCGTGCCATACCTGAACCAGTTTCCTTAGACGGCTCCCTAAATGGGTAGATCCGATACTCAAACCAACTGTTTCGATTGGGAGGGGCGTTTCATATCAGGGGGCAGGGAGTTTATGATGAGTCCCATCATTTAGATATACTGATATACTCATGTTTACCTTCATTTACCTCCATTTATCTCCGTTTACTTCCATTTGCATCCATCATGAATCATCCACCCAGCTCTCCCGTCCAGCCGAATGACCAGTCTGGCCAGGCCTTTCAGAGACAGAGACCTCTAACCATTGGCACAGTCGGCTTCTCAGCTGGTGTCCCAGCTGTTGCACCACTTCCAAGGCGATATATTCCGCCAACTCTTCCGCGGTACTGTGCACAATGGGAAGCAGCAGGCAATCCGCCGCCGGAAGGACAAACTTCACCTCATTGCCGAAGGGGCGCTTTTCTCGTTTTGTAGACTTAGATGACTTAGATCTTGATGATTCAAAACAAGCCGATAATTTTCTGTCGCAACCCAGCTTGGTAAAGGTTTTAAAAGTCTTGCATGACTGACGCCTGTGAGCCAGTGTGGGCATGTGTTGGGCAAATTGGCGCCAGCGTCACAAGCCTGGGCCTTGGGGTCTGTGCGCCAAGCAAATTCTTGAAACGCACTGTGGCTATGTCAGCAGTATCAGAGCTGTCCCCTAAGATACGTCTACGAACTGCACATACGATAGGCATGTGCAAAAAAAACGGAGCTTCCCTGCAAGCTTTGAGTGAATGAGATGTGGAAGCTGGGCATTGCCCCTGGTTCTTGGTTTCCGCTCATTCAAAAAAAAACTTATCTAAAATATGTCTAAAAATCATTTACATAGGCACCCAAATGTTCCAGGAAGGATCAAGACATTTTCGACGGCAACAGCTATGGTAAGCATCAACCTTTTTGAAATGTGTCTATGTTTGAAGTGGGCCACTGCAGGGCAGTGACTTCGAATTTCTTCCTTCGAATGTCTGTGTCCCAGGGTCCCAGGCACATCAAATGAATCCAATACTGAACTAGAGGTTGGTACCCTCTGGTAATTTAACAGTTTGCTATTGAACATGGCCCATAGAAACAGCTGATTTACCCATTAAAAATGATGACTTTCCATAGTTTGTGTATGTTTACCAAAGGGTACATCCAACATTGGGGCCATTAGGGTGAAGGCTGTGCCTGTTGCGCAATGGGTTGTTTGTTTTTTCAGGTCCGTTCAATAATGTGGTATACTAAAAAGTCAACCATACATTGACAACCATTGACATATTTCATATTAATATTTCATTGTATCGCATGATTCATTATCTCTCCTAATCACTATGAATCACTATGATATATATATATGTGTGTGTGTGTACTCCATTTTGATCCATCTTGATGGCAGTAGAAAACCCATGTGCGTAAAAATTGGCCGGGCGTTCATGGCCTTCCCTTGGTCTCCAAGTCGCTCCTCCCTGGCACTGCACCTCCAACTGTAAGTCATTGAGCTGCTGCAGTGTCAATACATCACTCCGAGCTGGCAATAAGGTGCGCTGATTCAGCCTGCCCAAGACCACTGGAATCACCGTAACATTGACCTTTCCGCCCATTCCTTCAGAGACCCAAAAGGCATAATGAGGAATGAAATGCCAATCTTATCTATACCTGAGCCTGCGGCTAACCATGCATCATGCGATAAATTGACTCGTGTCTCTCATGTTTTGTTCCCCCTCCAACCACTCAGCTACTTCAAGCCGCCAACCAAACCACTTCTCCCAAAAGCCAATCAAAATTACGGATCAAATGCGTACACAATCCACTACTTTATGAGCCAACGAAAATGATAATCCGGATGAATAACCCCCTAGGCCCGAGGCTGTCAAATTGTGCGGGAGCATCTTTTTATTAGAAGATTACCACTGGCGTTCCTACCAATCAATCAACCGGGGTGTGTGAATCCAGGGACATAAACCATGGCCGCCATGGCCGCCTCTTGCAAATCTGCCTCAACACCTTCTTCACATCCCCGAAGTCAACGACATAGCCATCGGGCTGCAGCTGTCGGGCACCGATCCGGGCGCCTACTGTGTAGTTGTGCCCGTGCATAGGCTCGCGAAAACCATGGAAGGCTACGAAGTGGGCAGCCGAAAATTTCAGGCCCTCTAACCTGGGAAGGTCGAAGCTTGGTTGGGGGGCAGGGTTAGGAAACATGCGAAGTGCCCAAGTGAGCAAAATATCTCTGTGGAACATGGTGTGGAACACATAAAATTACACATGGTACCCTGTGATACCTTTCTTCAACTTGTATGGGCATGGTTACGTAGTCGTGAACTTGGGGGTTTAATGAATTTAGATGAATTTAGCCATGGTGAGTTGTAGATATCATAGAGAAACCAATCAGGTCCCCACACAAGCCCCTTTTAGGGTAGTGTCAGAGTAGTGCAACCGCCCATGTCCTTATAGACAAATGCAAATAGACATGCTACCCCAACCTGGGTCCCAAAAATACAACAAAAGGCAACCAAAGACATCAACGTTGCCCACATGGTTCCACAGAAATCTAAGGGACAAAAATCCAAACATGACACAACTAAGGCTAGGGGCCCTCCGGAAAATCCTTGGGGTTGACAAACACCAATCCTTGTGAAAATATCATGGATCATGATGGATCTATCAATCCCCTTTCCTGCAAAGCATCCAGCATTCCCGGAAGTTGGTCCGTTACAAACCAGTAGTGGGACACATTGGGGATATGGATGCCCCAGCTAATCTTTATATGGGGGTCCTCAAAAAGTGAAATAATGTGAAATAGCTCATGTTTGTATATTTGATCAATTTACTGTTCCATCTTCGTGGGGGGACCCTTAATTGGTGAGCAACTGGACTAGACATCCGACCACAAACGACTGGAAAAGGTTCAGTTCTGTGGGGGGTCCAATATTTAAACACCCCGTGAATGGTCCCAAATATGTGTAAAATCCCCTACAAAAAACCATGGTTTCTGGCGGGGTGGTAGGGGGAAGGGCTTTCCCCAGCTCATCGACTGTCATCATCCAGATATAGAGGGCAGATTTCACCCCAGAACCAATCTTCAATCAACACGGCGCTGGAACTAACTGCTCTTTTGGTTTAGATAAATAACCCATTAATGTTAGCAAAGCTAGAATATAAACCACCAATATTTTTACGGCTTATACTTTGTACTACCGATTTTAGTCAAATCTAGCGCTAGTTTCATCCAAGAAATTGCTTATCCAGGAGGGATGGGGCATCCGTCAGGACACTCCAGGGCGATGACCCACCGTTTGCCCTTGGAGGGCTCAGGCTCCGCCATAGCGGCGCGATGAGGGGCGCCACGGGCCAATGGCTGCGGTGGTTTGCCATGGCCAAGTTAGTTGGCACGTGGGGAATGGTCATGCCACCATGAACGGGATTCCTAAGCTAATCTCTCTCTCTCTCTCTATCCATCGCGTTCTCAAAGAGTTTAGGTTAGGAATGGCATGAAATTGCACTATAAATCCCGGCATGGCAACTTTTTTACGGCACAACGAACCATGTTTTGACCATGGTAGTTCTGGATATATCATATATATAATATTATGTAAAAAAATATATCACCAAACATGGGGATACTATGAGATAATCATGGATAATCAATAATCACAATCAAATACCATCATGGTGACCTGGTGACTTTTAAGCGGGATAAGATGTGCAGTCATTCTTCCTTTGGGACCAATGTTTCTACCATACGTGTCTGTCGGTCGTTACTGGATCTGATTTTAGACCTTCTCTCTCTCTTTAAGACGTTCCGCTTAATTGTGGCTTTTTGTTTTAATTATCTTTTGTGTGGTTGCCCAGTGAGCACTTTGAACATGAAGTGAATTGAAAGACCGCGAATTCAGCAATTTCATTTTAGTGTCCAGGCAAACTAAAATAACTAAAGTATGCTCATCGGTGTAGCTCTGAGCGTCGCAGTTCTCTTTTTCCGACGGTGAACATGCAGTTAGCCGCTTTCGGGACAACGTATCCCTTCCTCCCAACATTCACTACAACCCGAACACAATGGTATAGTATTCTCCATTTTGGGGGGCCATATGAGACATTTCGAAACTAGTGTAACGTGAGGGGGAAAGGAAAGAAGAGAAGGGAGCGCCCTGAGCCAGTGTAATTTCCATACAAAACAGAAAGTTTTTAAAAGTCACCTGTTCAGTGATGACTAAGACCAAACTCGAAAACATAGCGGTTCATCATACAAAATCATACAATATAATTTAATGCATATTACACTCCTTTCGGCAAAAACATGCAAAAACATACCGGTTTGGATTTCACCTATGGGTTCAAGACCCGTCAGTTTGTAGGCATTGCAAAAGTTCCTAACCTCAGCCATTATACGATGGTTCTCAACCTCCAGAGAGTTACGGAAAATGACAACATGATACTGCTACAAAATGAAGATTTTTTTTTATCATGAGGTTACTTGAAGGAGAAACTCCACTACTACAAAATGAAGATTGGATTTATCATCAAATTACTTAAAGGGGACACCCCACCACTACAAAATGAAGATTAGTTTTTATATGATATTATTATATATTACTATATTATGTTACTTGAAGGGAACACTTGAACAGTACAAAATGACGATTGGAAAGGATATGTGTTTCACTGCTGGCTCAGCATGTTCCCACCACTTGCTGCACATCACGCGCCTCATCTTCCCTTGCCACAAAATGAGATTGGGTTTTTAATGGTTTTTATATGTTATCTTCCGATGGGCAAATTCCCTTGCTACAACATGACTTTCGATTTTTAAAGGTCTTTCAACTACCGAAACATTGAAAGCTTATAAAATGCAATTCCCAAGCTGTGGCTACAAAATGCCTGGCCCAACCCGGTTTTTGCCATCTTAATTTAAGCCCGGAAATGCCCTTTATACGGAGCACAAGGCCTCCCATTCTGTGGTTGAAATTCGAACGGGGATGCAAAAACCTTTAAAACATGCAAAAAACATAAAAATCTCAGCACCTTGGCTGATCTCGCTGGGCTATGCTGGGCTCAACGTCAGCACGTCAGCGGCTCACACCGCTCAAGAGCTGTTCCCGGATGAAGGGATCATCCTTTTGGAGACCTCCATGGCACCCATGGCGTAAAGGGGAAGATCCCAAGTATCAAAATTCGGCACTTGGGTGCTATTGAAAATGGCCATAGAAATAGTGGATTTACCCATGAAAAAGGGTGATTTTCATGATTTTCATTGATTTTCCATAGTTATGTAAACGTTGACCAGAGGGTATGTGAGCTGGAGCATTCCGAAATCGACAATTGCTGAGTGTTGCAAGGTGGCACCCAATCATCCTATCCTAACCCCCGCCTCGCAAAGCAATGGTTCGAGTCCTGGATGGCACCCCTGCTCCACGATGGCTCATGCAGGTGTGGTAGGCCTCCAGACTCACGGCAACTGCTTTAGGACCCAACAACCTTGGCCGGGACGAGTTTCGGTAAAATTTGACATCCCCACACCATTGGTTTCCTGATGTTTAACATTATTTTTGATTCTACAAAAAGGATCAAAAAGCATCAAAAAGCTACATGTTGGCACAGGGGTACAATAAAGTAACACATAGCCTTCCACATTCCACCTCCTAAGGGTCCCCTTTGGCCACCCCAAAGCTTTGCCCAGCGGCTCCACCAAAGCTTCAGCCAATTGATGCCCCAGCCGTTCTTGAAGCTGAAGTCGACGTGCAAAGACTTCCAAGAGGCGCGCGAATTTCGACAAACCCAGGACTCGGCCATTGGGAAAGTAGGCAATGTGTGCGGTGCCCGCGAAGGGCAGCAAATGATGCCTTGGCAGAGCCCGAAGACCGAAGACAGCATGAAGATCATGAAGACCAACCCAATAGTTTTCTGGTGACCCCATGGGAAAAAAATAGGCAAATACAGTAGAGCAACCACAAAACAAGTAGAAAAGAAGCTTGTGACTTTTTCAGTAGCATGTTGCTTTTGGGGCCAACGCCTCGAGGCGGGCTGCTGTTTTTCCATGTGACTGCTGCGTGCTCCTTTTTGAGCATTTCACTTGTTGCCGTTGTTGACATGGATGTTGCACATGCTCGCTTCTGCTCAAGGGGAGTAGGTGGGGGGTGTAATAACACTCCTGACGACTTTAAGACTGTTGGCCACACGGGTCTATGTAACTTGTTGCCATTCTTGATATCTTGCATTGTCGCTTATGCTCAACAGGGGGTTGTGTGTGGGGGTGTGGGGGGCGGGTGTAATAACGTTCCTGACAACTTTAAGACTGTTGGGCACAAGAGTCCATATAACTTGTTGCTGTTGTTGACATGTTGCACATGCTCGCGCATGCTCAACAGGGTGGTGGTGGGGGCGCAATAACGTTGCTGACGACTTTAACATTGTTGGCCAAAATGGCAGTTCCGTTTCCAACATCAACATAAATATGTGCAGGGCCGTAGAAAATATGAGAGCTTTGAAGGCAAATGTGGATTGCAAAGTTTTTTTTTTGAATAATGTGCGATCTTGGTGATAACAATAATAAATAAATAATATTAATAAAGAAACATAAATCATGGAAAAATACAAACTATTTTGCTCATTCCTGATTCCAAATCCACAACCCCAATGATGAAAAAACCACGCCCGTGTCAAGGCGTTGTTCCCTTTTGTTTTTCTAGGTTTTGCTATCTTTTTTGGGGGTTGCCGTAAACTTCCGCAAACTCAAGGTGCTCACAAAGTGAGTGAAAGGGAATCTCCCTCACCGCAACGAGATCATGCGCTCCATCTACATCAAAGACTGCATCCCCAGCCACTGACCTCGGTACATGGTGTGAATGTGCCATGTCATACCTCAAGCCCACATCAAAGCAGTTTGGCAGATTAAAAGAACCCAAATCGGGGTCCATCATCTGGATTTTGGTGGCTTCAACCCGTCCGAGAAAAAAACCTGGTCCCTGGGCATCATCACCCCATCACCCCAACAGGGGTGGAAAATATCAGAACCGGCCCAGCCGCAAAGGATACTCCACCTGCAGCCCTATTGTCATCTCCCTAAACGCCTTTGCAGCTCTGGCAGGGGTCTTTTCCAGCTCATGCCTTGAGGATTCCTCAATGCCAAGCGTGGACAAGAGGAGGCGATAGGCGTCTTCTGCCGCATCACTGCCCACTTGCGAAACTGGTGGGGTTGGAGTTTGCTTCACCTCCAAGGAGCCGAACTTCACGGATGGGAATGCATCAACTCTTGACTTCGAGAAAAACATAGTTTGAACATGGCATCAAAATCATCAAATATTAAATAATCCCTTGTCTTATCCAACTTCAGGCCATGTCCAAATGGAAGCAAGTGAAAACATATGCGTTCAGATATACCAAAAGCATCCAAGTGGGACACTGAAAGTTCAGCAAACCAAACTGAAGGATCAGCTGCAATTTTCCCCTCGATCATTTTTTTGTCATAGTGATGAAAATAGGCCACTGGCCAATACTCTGCCGAGCCTACCTCATCCTCTGCCACCTTGTACGGCTTTGCTCGCGGGCACTCCCCTGCTTCAAAAGATGGAATGGCATCGGGGAGAGAAGCCTTGAAGCAGCCTGTGGGCGTGAGTACAGTTGGGCAGTGGACAAAGAGAAGGACAAGTCAATGCCGATTATTGTATATTTTAAAATCTGGACGTTTCTAGATATGCCCAAATGTTTTCAGAAAAGGTCAGGGTCAGCACGGGGTTTAACGCATGCAAAAGTTTTATGAGTTTGCCCAATTACGCTGTGCTCTCCTTGAACATAAGTTAAACGCCCATGCTGCGTGCGACACTCAAAAAACATTCGGACCATGAGATAGAAACCTCAAGGCCTTCAGGATTTTCAATCTAAGCCAATCCCTATCGATGTACATCAAAATTTGTAGATCCTTAAATTTGAAATTTGATGCATTTCCACATGGGAAATCATCTCTGGGCGACCATTTTTGTCCATGCAGGCTGCAGGGGCTTCCCTCCACTCAGCATTTCAAAGGCTTTCATTTTGCCAAAAAAAAACATGAACCAAGAGCCTGAAACATCACCATCTAATTCCGCATCATGATGCCTCATCTGTACATATCAACCTACTTTGCGGCCCAGGTCTCGATCAAAGACAATCGGTGTGGTTCAATCTCAAAATTATCAACCCACACGAAATGCAAGGAATGCCTTCAATCAAACATGGCCATTCTCAAATCCCCCATGGAAATCCATGGAATCTGTTCCATGGTTTTGGTGGGTCTGATATATCGGAACCCCAAAATTGGACCGTTGCCACCGGGACGTCCCAGGTGGGCCTTTCTCAACGGGTTTCTCCGAGACGTCGGAAACCTTCACTTCAAGCCACCTTAGACATCCAAGCAGAGTTGAATTCACAGCAGTTGAAACATGTGGAAACATACGTGGAAACCACCAACAGTGGTTAGTGTTCTGTGTCTGTTGGATATGTATATGATATGTGTGTGTGTGTTTTATAACGGTTTATAAAATATACCCAACTGAGGGTATCTGTACCATGTAACCATGGTTATTAAACGGACAAAAACACGTAAGGTTTCCCCTCTCTCTCTATCTCTATCTCTCTCTCTCCATCGCCACCGCTCCAGCTGCAGGCCTAGGGTGTTTGCCTGATGCCCAGCCAAAAGGAGCCACTGTAAAGTTTCACCAGATCTAAGTTTGCCATATTTTGCCCATGGGAAATAAATGAGAATAACATCCCGCTGGATTCCCAATGTTTGGGAACTTCAATAACCCTTTCTTGGATTATCCCGGCAAGAGACCCCAAACAGTGTTGAGGACATCTACGGACAAAAGCTCAGGACCAGGACCTCATACCCGACTCCCAGGGACCTCCTTCCAGAGGATCTTACAAGATCCTTCTACACCTCCGAGAAGACCATCCCAGAAGAGCTTTCATCCCTAATACGTGGCCATCTTCAAGATCTTCATGCAAGGATCTCTTAGAGGGGATTTCACAAGGATCACCTCACAAGAAATTTGCAAGATCTTGATGAACATCTTCATACTAAACCTTTAACCTCCAATAGAATCCGACAAAACCTGCAAAGGACGACCTTCTAGAGAGGATCTGATTGATCTTACCAACATTTTCTTAACAGGAGCCTCCGCGAAGCGCATCCCACAAGAGCTTTCGTAGAAGCACCCCTAATACAGACAACCAAATCTTCATGCGCGTGCGCTTCACAAGATCCTCTCAAGGATCTCTCGAAGACACAAGACCTTGGTCAAGATCTTCATCGGACCTCCCAAGAGTGCGTTGGTGATTTTCATGGGATGTAGCCCCAAGTGGTTTTTAAAACCCTTTCATGTTCAACAATTCTCACATGAAAATTGCTGTGATTGCAGCCTTAAATGGTGGTTAACTCCCCATTTTCAACCATTTTCTAGAGTTTTTTCTCCTTTAACTCAGCTCCATGGCACTGGATAGCTCCACCTTTCCTGCTGCTCAACTCCTTCAGTGCCTCCGTGGCCAAATATTCTGCGAGCTCCTCTGCGGAACACTGGGCGATGGGCAGCAAACAGCACTCCTTCAAGGGCAACATGAGTGTCACCTTGGTCGATGACGACATGTTATGCTTCAGGTGCCCCAGTAACCGTTAGCTCAGTTGGTTTTTAAAGGATAGCTTAACTGATTTTCATGGTAGATGATGGTAGCTGTACCTCTATACTTACTGGATCTTACTGGGGGTTATAAGCCAACTTATAAGATCTTATAAGTGGGATCCACCATGCTATTGTTCCTCAATGATTTTTGGATTCTGTGATTCAACATGATTCAACCATTCCACCAATCACCAAAACTCATGATCATGATTGGATGTGCTTGGATGTGATGAGTTGTTGTCACTTCAGCAGCACGCTTATGGAATATTATGGAATATACCAAGCACCGGGGAGATCCAGTTTGGCCCCACTGGTTTCCTACAAGCTCGTACAAGTTCACCAAAACCACAAGCCCAGCGCCCAGCTCAACCCCAAAAGTGACGACATCGGGCCATTGCGGCACAAAAACCTGATGCCAGTCACCTTGGAAACTTAGTCATTATATATGGCTAACCGCTGGTAATCTAACATGCCAAGTGAAAGTTCCCCCCATTTATCGCTGGTTAATGCTGGTTATATATATGTCAGCAAGATTCAGCAAATGTTCGGTTTGGCTTCGGGCGAATCTAGGTTGGTTTAGGGATAGTTTGATTAGTCTTGGTTACGGATTATCTGGGATTGGATTATATAAGGTTTTTCTAAACTAGTTGGTTTGGGAGCTATTCAGTATTGGATTGGCGGGTTGATGGGGGTTTTGCGGGTTTTGGCTTAAGGCTTGAAACGCTGCAAATTACAAGGCGTGTGTTCGAACGTGGTTCAAAAGGTGGTTTGGCACCGTCTTGGGTGGATGCAAAAATATCAAAAATGAAACGGTACGCAAAACATCGCAAAACCGCAAAACCTTAGCTTGTGGAATTTATGTGCCTTAGCGTGCCTCAACACATCAAATTGCAGTCCCACATGGGGTTTCGCTTGGCAAGCTTCAGGCCTATATTGTTTTTCCATTTATTTTCCAGGTTTGAAAACAGGACTGTGGCATGCATTCCGGGCCTGTTACACTGTTTGACCGGCTTTGATATCATCACCCAGTTGCTTCATCTTGCCACTTGATCTCAAACTCTGAGTCATTAAGCCTCCGTATGGTCATTGGTTCACTGCAATGTGGCAATAAAGTGCGCTGATCCAACCTGCTGGGCTTGCGCTGGCATCAACCCAACGAACCTTGGGTACTCTGACGAGGAAGATAGTGAATTCAAGGCCTATGGTCTGCCGCCAAGACTGATGTTTTTTCCTGTTGTGTTGCCACTAGAATCAGCTCTCTTGAGTTAGAAAGTGTTAGTACCCTCTGGTAATTTAACATAGCTATTGAAAATTGCCATTTATTGTGAGTTTTCCCATTAAAAATGGTGATTTTCCATAGTTATGTTAGTTTACCAGAGGGTAACAGAACTGGTGCAGGTTTAGACATGACCAGCCGCTGTGCTTCGCCAGGTTTGTCCTTGGATAATTTCAGAAGTGGCTCTGTACCCATACATAATTTATATGATGTACCCTCCGGTATTCAAAGATGGCAATTGATCATCCACCATTTATATATATATATATATGTGATTATGATCGTTGCATTTAAACCTCTATTTATAGGGGATTGTCCATTGCCACGTTTGATTACAAGAGAGTAGAATGTGGTGAACTACCAAACAAAACACATAGAATCCGATCATTGGGGAATCACTTTTAGATAATCCCATTGCTAGGGCTATACCATTTTTTATACCCAATTTTTCCAGTGTGAGATCAATCTCGATGAGGTGCCATCCAGAATTCTCCAGCCTGCAACAAATCTGGGAAAGGATTTTTCTCACCTCCTTACCCAAGTCATGCTGAGGTTTGCAGCCAACCGTGATGCCCAGGCTGTAGTCGTGCATGGGCTCAAGATGCTTAAGGCAGCCGTGAGTGGCCAACAAGGGCACAGCCGAAAATTCCATGCCCTTCAACCTGGGACTTGGAGAATGTGATTCTGCGGGTGACATATGGAGGGAAACCCTAAAATGGAAGTACTCCCAAATCATCCAAAATTAGACCATGGTTTAGTTTTGAAACCTAAATCATCCAAAATTAGACCATAGCTTAGTATTGAAACCCATGGTTTTGGAGATACCACATTTTAAGAAACCCCCATTGATGTATCTGGTTGGTGATTAGGAACCCCATCCCAACAATATGATTTGTCATCTCAACGAATCATCCCCAAGTATGGGTCAGCACACAAGAAGTAGTATAATGACTTTATGGTAAAGCCCTCTTGCAAGTATTACATATAATACTAAGCTGGTACAACGGTACAACCCAATAATAGACCGATCCCCGAAAATGATCAAACATGCACAGCTTTAGTGGGTGGGTTTCCCTCATATCATCTCACGTGTGAGTGCTCACCTTCCTGTCAACTAGGCATTGCTCTTCCGCGACCGCGCGGCTCCATACTGGTCTTCCGGTCCGCTGCGCTATGCGGTATCCACAGGCGGCGACTACGTCCCGTAGATGTGCAGCTTTGAACCGGCCCAGAATTGCTGCGGGGAAATGCGGGAACTTCAACCCATGCACCCGGATAAACGCATCAAACTTCAAGCGGAATTGGAATGAAGCGGTGAATCGTGGGACCCGACACAGGACCCCAAGTTCCGAACGCAAATGCCTTGGGGATCCATATCATCCACCGCGACATGCGGCCAAACGCAGGCAACCCAATGAATATGGACCATCAACCAGCAATAAAAACAAGCTTATTATATCTTATTATGGCTTATGAAAAGCTTATTGACTGCCAGGACTACCAACAATACCAACAAAAACAGGGACCACTTCCCGGAGGTCACCTGAATAAAAGCTGTGCCCAGGCACATGACGCCCAGCTGGCCGCACACCAAGCCAAAGGTCAGGGAACCAAAGGTTGTGTACCCTAAGAAGCGACCCACCTGCGCGGCACAGGTCTTTTGATCTCAGAATGATTCAAATGAAAATAACCATAGAAATAGTTGATTTTCCCATTAAAAATGGTGATTTTCCATCGTTTTTGGTATGTTTACCGGAGGCGAATGGGATGATTTGCAGATTTTGCAGTCAAATCCTCCAAATCCCTGCAAGGTGGTGCCCCATAGTTAGCTAAGTTGGTTTATAACTCCCATAACTATGGTTTATGGTAGATATAACTATAGTTTTCATGGGGTTTATAAACCAACTTATAACTGGGGGGCACCATATGGCACCATCCTCTGCGGACGAGAATCAAACTTGGCCCGAGCCGGGACCGACACGCCGGAGGCTTGGACCAGCTCCGAAAAGCCTGCGGCGAAAGGAGCTAACGTGGCCATGGGTTTTTCGGGGATGACTGGGAAAAGGTACCCCCTGGTAACGACTAACATAGCTATTGAAAATGGTGATTTATAGTGGATTTTCCCATTGAAAATGGTGATTTTCCATAATTAGTTATGTTAGTTTACCAGAGGGTACCGGAAACAGCAAGAGTCTGTCACATCAAAATTCACAGTTTCAAGCGTAAATTTCATTAAATGTCCCCCTGAACCAATTCTCAGATCTTCCGCTTTGCAATGCATATAAAGATTGCATATAAAGATTGCAAAACATGGGGAACTAATGGGCCCGTACCTAGTAAGCTATCCCAGTTTGGGCGGTCAACAATCTTGAGCGGCCACAGCCATAGCCAAATCACATCAAAATAGCTGGAAAATCGCTAGAGCATCGACGTTCAATCCCTGCAATCAAAAAAATGGTGGTTTCCTAAAAGGGGGTTACCCCAAAATCATCCAAATTAGACCATGACTTAGTATTGAAACCCATGGTGACTTGGGGATCCCCCATTTTAGGAAACCTTCACATTTTTATGACTGGATTTGACACATGAATCCAAGATCGAAAGCCCCCTCAAAACCCCAAGATGTTCCGCAGCCTTCCACCATGGGGCGCTCTAAGAGATCAAGAGGGCAGAATCGGCATGGGACAAAGCTGCACGGGCTGCAGGGTTTGACTGAAGGTTTGATATGTTTGATATGTTTGAGGACTATTTGTGCAGAACAAGTCGTCTCGAAACCACTCAAAATGGTCAATGGAGCAATGGCCCAGCACGTTCGCACTGGGGGTATCTCATGTCTCTGAGCTGAAGGAACCCAAGGAGTCGGGTGTCGCCCGCATCTCTTATGCCATGTAGATTCTTCTTAGTCCAAAACAGATCATGTATCCTTTGTCTCTGGTGCCGCTGGTACAGGACTGTTTGGTGTCTTGTGAGCCTTTCCATGATCAAGGCATGCCTCTGTTTTGGGGTTCGCTGGGGTTCGCTTGTCGATTTTGCGACAGCTACAACATGCTACAACTCTTGGCTGTGCAATCCAACATCGAACAACACACGAAAACAAAAATAACTCAAACGCAAGATTGGGTAAACAATGGTAAACATGCCATTAAACATCGCCAAAAATCTCATGATCATCACCTAATTTGCAATTATGCCGTAAAATCCAATACCGTAAGCTATGCCCACAATCATTAGTTTATGGTTAGTCTTCCAACCATCCCCAAATATATTGTATATGATACTTGGCTGTACATGTTTAGGGCATTGGGTGAATCCCACATTAACAGTCATTAACATTAACAGACCAAATTTATACCCTCTGGTAAACTAACACAACTATGGAAAATCACCATTTTTAATGGGAACATCCACTATAACTGGCCATTTTCAATAGCTATGTTAAATTACCAGAGGGTAGATGATACTCGATTCAATTTAGAATTTAGAGTGGGATTTTCAATTGCCATGTTTGATTACCAAAGGGTAAATTGCGAGTCATACATGACAATCTACATGTTGTTTGACCTGTTGGTTTCAATTTTACCTTGTTGTTTTACCATTTGCTCATCATCTGGTGTGTAAAATCCAATCCGTACTTACTGTACCCCATTCATATTCATACCAACTATAGATATACAATATACAATAATATATATTAATATTATCATTAGATAATATATTACATGAATATCCCATCAAATCATCCCATCAGCATTCCATTCCCACTACTGGTTGGTGGTTGACCTACCCCTCTGAAAAATATGAGTTCGTCAATGGGAAGGATGACATCCCATATATGAAATGGAAAATTAAAAAATGTTCCAAAATGTTCCAAACCACCAACCAGCCATTGTATACCCTCTGGTTTTTTAAACATAGCCATGGAAAATGGCCCATAGAAATAGATGGTTTACCGTTCTTAAAAATGGGTGGATCATGGTGGATCTTTCCATGGCTATGTTAGTCATAACCAGATGGTAATAGCCCATTAAAATGACATGCTTTGGACGGCTGTCCTGAGCCACTCGTGCGCGCGAAGACAACGGCTTCATCTCGCGGAGCGCGGACTGCAAATCAGCGGGCAATGGACCTTGGTCCGATGCTTAAAATCGATGGAACACCAATGGGAAACCAATGGATTAATGGAACATCAATGGAAAATCACTGGAAAAGTGGAACATCTCAATGAAAATCACTGGAAAATCCATATATCAATGGCAAATCGATGAAAAATCCATGGAAAGTCGGTGGAACATGATGGAACATCCAAATCATGGAAAATCGGCCCTAGTGACCCCGCTTCCTCGCGGTGGTTGCCCATGGTTGCCCATGGTTGCCCCATAACCCATTGGATTCCCATAGGATTCCTGATCCATCCCTGTATATATCTGGGTAAATTATACTAATTCACTAACCTGAATTAAGCCCATTTGGGGATGATTTCCCTTACTAACCATGATTCCCAGTGAGGTCGTAGTGAGGTCGTTATAATTTTCCCAGATATATTGCATTTAGATGCATTTAGTCAGGCCATGCTACACTCCTGAGCCAACGTGCTGCCCACCCTGAGACCTCGGCTCAAGGTGATATGCTACAAACTTGAGATGGTTTTTTTCTTGGCATATATAGACCCAAAACAAAGAAACAAAAACATTGAGTTGATTTGATGATTTATAGTAATTAAAATCATATGCTGACAGAGTGGTAAATATATATGGCAAATGATTTCTTTTAATTATCTGTTTGGGGTGACGATAGGGACCAGATTCTCACAATCTCAACGTTGACGTCTCATCTTTTCGGGGAGGGGAAACATTCCGACTTTCAAGACCTTGGGGAAGCTCTTGTAGCTCCTCTTCCCAGTGAATAAGAAATATATGGATATCCATAGCTCCTTGGCTCCCACCAAACCCGATAGTCGAGTGAATGAGACTCCCATCCCCGGGAGGAATCCCTCCTTTTCAGCTACCGAAGGCAAGCTACCAACTTCCAACTACCGCTTGTTCTTTGGGGTTGTGACACTGCTGATTCTTGCTACGGATAAATCTCGTCATAGGGGCCCTATCCAGCCTTATTTTGCAAAAATGTGTCAACAGTGTGTGTGTGTGAGTGAGGCCAATGTTTCAACATGTTTCAGTAAACAACATGAAAGCCAAAGCCGACATAGTCTCTGCACATGGCAATGCTGATGCTTCAAACTCCTTTGCAGTTTGGTCCTGTTTCATCCGAATTATTTTCAACAGGTTCGATCAATTTCATCCCTGGTATTCCCATGGTATTCCCTGGGTTGCCAAAGACTTTTGAATCATCCAGCAAATGTAAGCCGCCCCGCTCCGGTATTTTTGCATATTTTTTGTCACTAGCACAACAAGCACAGCAACCATATGCCCACCAGATTCCTCGCGCTTGGGATTATGACCAGCGTTCTCAATGGGATATACTGATCACATTGGTCGTGCACGTTTGGCACCCGACCACCAAACAGCGAAGCTGAGACGACTGCGGGTCATTTCGCTCAGCGGACTTACCCTCTGGTAAACTAACATAGCTATGGAAAATGGCCCATTTATAGATGGTTTACCTCTTTAAAAATGGTAATTTTCTATAATAGCCATGTTAAATTACCCGAGGGTAATGATCTTAATGCACCTGCTCACTCTTTCTATAGAATCCAGGCATCTATTTAATCTATTTACAATGTTGCGGTGGACAACCCCCCAAACTGATGGGTGCAACAATGTGACGAATGACCTGCATGAGGTACGCCCAGAAACAGCGGACTGCAATGGTTGCACTACTTATGGAGAACAATGGCGGACTGGGATATTCCCATTTCAGGACACTCCCATATCGATTTGAGATGCAGGAAATTTGCAGGCACCACGGAAAATTCCAGCCCCAACTTGAAGCAAAATACAAACATGTGGTTTTGTCCGAAACTGGGGTATGCCCCAAAATAGTCCTTATAAATGGGAAAATGATAATAAACCATTGATTGGATTTTGAGGTACCTTCTTTTCAGACAAACCATGACAAACCCATGTTTGAAAACATATTCAGCTTATGAATGGATAGTTTGGCGACATGTTTCTTCAGTCTAGGCCAGGGCTTCAACGGCTGCCATACGAAACGGAGCAAACTGATAGCAGTGCAATCCAAAGAAGCCTGCGCGTCAACAGCAACTGGGGTGCTGGAAGCTCACCATTAGTAAAGGCAAAAGAAAAAGATCCATGTCTAGTTGTATATAATATATATATATATAATTTATGTATTATATGTATGTATATAATTAAAAAAGGGATCACACCACATTGAGATAAACAAGATGATCCGTGAGCAATACGGTGCGAACTTACAGAGATTCATGCTGCGAAAGCCGGGTGTCCTCAACACCTGTCGCAACAATCGTAGCGACAAGAAGAGGCAGAAAGAGAATATCATTGCCATTAAATGAGAATATAATCGAAACTACTGGCATACATTTATTGATATGATCATTTAATATCATTTATGTAATTTTTGAATATGTTTAACATTTAATTTACTATCATGGCATCATAGTTCCGTAGCTTAGCTCCCTCCATTCACCCCTGGATGCATTTCCAGTAACAGGATTGCGAAAATCGCACTTCTGAAGTTCCTGAGATAGGGGATAGTCACGGCTAGACCTTCGGGGAAGATAGAAATTGGCACTGGGTCCAACCAGAGTTTGAAAGCGATACAATTGTTGTATGATGTCGATGTTGTATGTATGCTTAATTAAGTTGTATTTTGATGATGTATTGCTTTGTCTAGACTTTGTCTGAGGAAAAACGGCATGAAAGAAAAACATGAATTCAATTTCAATGGATTATCCATGGATCATCCATGGATTACCGGCCTGCTTATCACAGTTTGACGTTTGATTATAATATTACCGGACGAATTCCTGCATGTCTGGACGCCGTTTATGGGGTTCCTAGGCCACCTTCAGAGTACGAGAGCATGCGAGAGCTGGATGTGTAATAGTAAAAATCAAGAAAATGACCTACAAAACATGATGGAACATGGATGAAAATGGCTAGATGATTTATATTGATTCTGGTTGGTGGTTTTAACCATCTTGAAAAATATTAGTCAATGGGAAGGATTATCCCATATATGAAATGGAAAATAAAACATGTTTGAAACCACCAACCAGGATATTTATGACGCTTATTGATGTTTGACTCCTTTGACCCAATTTGACCCACGAAAATTAAGGTCATTGAGTCATTTTCCGCTACGTTAATGACAGCCAGAGTAGCCAGAGCCAGAAGGGTAATCCGATGGCATGGAAATCTCTGATTTGCACATGGGTTGCGAAAGCTGAAGATCTATTGAAGCTGGGGATGTCTGATTTCCAGGTTACCCGATGGCATTCCATCATACCCGCTCCTACCCGATCCTACCCTTGGCCCTTGACCATCACAAAGTCAAAGCTGGTGGTTGGGGCACTCTGAAAAATCATCATTCGTCATGCAGCATGATCCCAAACATGGTAAAACATAGTAAAAATTGCATTCGTTACTGAGTGGATTCTGCCATTGATAACAGAACCTATGAGAACATTTGCCTTCTTGGAAGGCAAACCTGGCCATCAAACGTTATCAGAATCAGGTCCGTGAAATCTCATGCTCATCATTTGCAATATCCCCATGATGCCCCCATTTAGTTGGAAAATGTTGAAAAAATCCTGCAGAATCCCAATGAAATCCACGGTGTTCGCCCGGATTCAGCTGAGTGCACGCTCCGCAGCGCACCAGGACTTTCGCCACACCGCGATTCTGCAGCACTTTCAGCACGGCCGAGGTGAAAATACTGGGCTTGGCCATTGGATCTATGGGGCTGGGTCTGGATAGGAAGCGAAGGGCTACCTCAGCACGGCAAGTGGATTCCAAAATGATGAGTGGCCCAGGATTGTTTTTTTTGGTCCATCTACCCAAACCCATTTGGATCATTTGAAACATGCCCAAAAACCAGGCACCAAGTATTCATTGTCGGATTTGACCATCGAGTTTTTTATTGAAAAGGCATACGAACACAGGCATTCCATCCTCCATCAATGCCAGCTGAAACGCTGGAAAGGCGGCCTCGAAGATATCGAAGTTACCTCGAGTGCCGTCACCGATATTGACCCATTGAACTCGGCATAGAAACACCATAAGTTTGAACTAATATATATATATATATGAAAATCACACATATATATATATATATATGCCCATTGTTATAGGATGTTATATTATAGGATATTATAGGTACCTTGAAGGTCTATGTTCAAATAGATCTTCAAGGCTTCAGGCAAATGCCTGAGATATTCATTACGGGGGGCCCTGGGTCAAATTATTAGGGTACCAATGTGCATCAAAACATAGCCAGTCATTTTTTAGTATCTCTCAATCCATTTTCTGCAGGCTTGGTCATTTTTGACCTCAAGGTTAAAAAAAAAGATAAGTTACCCCAATGTATTGGTGCTTTTACCGATTTCTTTAAAGTCAGTTAATCAAGGGTCAAAGTGTTCATGTAATGAAACATCACTATCACGTAGCTTGGACAATCTAAGAGTACCATTCCTTGCTTCCCCGATTCACGTCATTCAATAAGGAATATGGACACCCGTCAAAGGCACAGTCTGCTGCCAGTGCAATGCCCTCAAGCGTCAGTAGCGCTCGCACCAAAGCCACGTAGTAGTCTGGGAGATTGAACTTGAAGCGGCGAACCTGAGATGGCGCAGCATCCCTACTTGGAGGATCAGGTTTTCTCTGGTCCTCGTAACTACTGTATATAGGGTAACCAAACTCATCGGTAAAGCCAACAATGTTCGGTGATTTTAAGGGTGAATATCGAAACAAACATCTTCGAAGGGGGCATAAACAAAAACCTGGTCTTCAGGTGAACTATTGATCAATGGATTGTCTCCCATATGGATTGGCTCCCATTGCTACTGAAAACAATGTTATCAGAAGTTATTGTTCCCCCAAATGCCAAGTTTTCTCGTGGATGCCCCTTCGCCTAAATTCTATGATATGGATTAAATTGGATTAATATTGTATGATGTTTAATGATTTGATTCATCTACGACTATCATTTACTGGTAAGACCTCAAAATGTAATGTTCAAAACTTGGCAACGAAACAAGACATGACATGGTAGCGATGACTGTTGCACCCTTGACCTGTCGCTAAGGAGATCTCCTGCTTTTTTTGTGTTTATTCTCAACATCTTGAAGTGAGTCTTGGAGTATAATCACATGTTGAGGTTGAGATGATTGATTGCTCATTATGTTGGATAAATTTAGTGAATTGTTCAATCATCAACTAGAAGTGATTGTTCAGATCATCAGTCTGCAGAGTCTACAACCTTTGTTTTTTTAAACATATTTTGAAGATGGATGTGGATGTTCATGGTTGTTTCGATGTTTGATACCTTTTATTTGATGAAACCCAAAAACTCGATTCCAGACATGATGTTGAATGAACAAATCGCCAGCGTTTCTGAACCCGAGCAAAAGTAACCAAGTGATGAATTCAGTTAATTAAGCATGCATGTGGTGAAGAATCGCGCTGCTGATTTATGCTGATTTCACTCATCTAGAGAATCTAGAGGTTTGGTTTGATGCGTGAACACCAGTACATTATCGTATTGCTCGGACTATATGCATAAGCTCCGTAAAAATGTTTGAAAAGAAATCAATATTTATAAAGATAATGCAAACAGAAACCAGCTGATGCACTCATATTGATACCATATCATCATATCATATCCATTCATATCCCAACCAGGTGACTAATGTGAGGATTTCGGCATAAAGGAGCTGCACCGCACTCTTCCTTTTGTGAATGTCGCTTCCACACTCCACAAGCTTGGCCCAGATCTTTGACATGACTGGCAAAATCTCATCGCGAGGGCAGTCATGTGGGAAGAAACCGATCCTTAGGCAATGGCGGCAAGAGAAAACACCGCCAAGTACTGCAAGTGTGATTAGTAATTGTACCCAACCATAATATTCACCATTGCTGCTACTATCATTCATTATTGATGTTCATGATGAACATCCATCATGGCAGTTGACCTTTTGAGGCTGCATATATGAAGGTTTCCTTCATAACGGGGGTGACCTCAATATCTAAAATTAGACCATGACTAGTCTTGGATCCCAACCAAAGCCATGTTGAAAGCCGTTGGGATCCCCAACCTTTCCCCATCAACCCCCCATGTGTTTGCCAGTCCACCATGGAGAAACCGGGAGAGTTTCACCGGGAGACTCAATGAGATCGTCCAAGACGGAGCCGTGATCCTTTCCTGAACAATTCAAGCAGTGTCCGAATGGATCCAACTGCGGGACATGTTTTGGAGTATGCTCTGTTCAAAGAATACGTTTGGATGCATAGGTAAGATGCTGTTTCATCATAAACCACCGCTAATTCCGCTAATTGATGTCATTTAAATGGAACGCGCTTCAATGGAAAATAAACGAACCAGGGCTTTATAAACCCAGGTTAAACTTTACAGTTAAACGTATATAATTATGACGTGGCAAACCCATTCAGTTCTGGCATCCCCAAGTTTACCAGAAATGGCTTGGACTTACGCATATTTCAACCATATGGTCCACACCCAATTTGGAGCTTTATCATGGCGCATCATGGTTTATTGCATGCACTGAATCCATGACCCAGTTTCGAACCAAATGAACGACACATTTGGCCCATGCATGTCGATGTGCTGGTGGCACCCGGCACACCATACCAAAGTCCAGGAGGCAAATGCTGGAGTCTCCCGTTACCTCGGGTTGTCGTTTTCACATGAATTCACCGCCCAAGATGATGGTTTACCTATATTAAAACTACATAAGTTGGACTTACCAAAAATGAGTCAGAAAGAAGATTGTTTGACCGGGAACCGCATTTTTGTTTGATAGTTTTCAACGGGGTATTCTTCCGGGTTTTTGACTTTTCCTCTGCTAAGAAAAATCACACATGGCAGCGGGAGATCCAATAAAAGTCATCCAGCATTGTGGATGATGTGCCGATTGAATTGAAATGTGCCCTCTGGTAAACATACAAAAAGCTATTGAAAATGGCCGTGTTTATAATAGGTAAATCAACTATAAACGACCATTTTCAATAGCTTTTTGTATGTTTACCAGAGGGTACATGTTGAATCATGTTGACTATATTGGATTTCCAGAGGTTTTCTCCCATCATCGACCCCAGGGCCCCACTAAAGAACCAGCGACATCCAACGACAGCTGGGAAACAATGAGACTACAAACATTGATCCGGTTGGTGGTTATACCCTCTGGTAAACTAAGATAGCTATTGAAAATGGCCATTTATAGTGGATTTTCCCATTAAAAATTGTGATTTTCCATAGCTACGTTAAATTACCAGAGGGTAACCATCTTGAAACATATGAAAGTCATTAGTCAATGGGAAGGATTACATCCATGATTATCCCATATATGACATGGACAATAAAACATGTTTGAAACCACCAACCAGCGATTCAGTGAATTTTGGACGTGTCCTCCTTCAATACACCATCCCTTGCAGGTGATCAGGTGAATATTGAACAGGAGCATAGGGGAGCCCCTCTTGATCCAACCACCTATCCAACAACGTTTCGGGGACATCTACAATCTTGTTCATCCAGAACACCTTGACAATGAATAATCAATCATATATTCATCATTTGAATAAACATATATTACTGTCAACATGATTTGTTTCCATAAATTCATGATAAATTCACAATCCCAATTCACAATCACCATTGATAATCGCTGCTTTTTGAACCCATTCATTCAGTCTAGTCTAATCCCCTCCTTTTTCCGTGGCAGCACGGCCTACAGCAGTCCCCAGGCATCCGGGCGATGAAGTTCCCCGGGTGCGGATCCGCGTGGACCACACCCACATCCAAAATCATCGCCTTTTTGTAGGCTCCACAGTTCGGATAACACTTAACGGTTATATAACTATATATGTACCCATGGTTTAACGTGGTTAAATGACAAATGATGTTTATATATTAATTATATATAATCATATAATTACTGATGGGGATCATAAAAGATAGGAATCCTTCATTTATCTAATGGAAAAATCATCTAATGTGGGTAAAACAATGCCATAAACCACCCATGACTGGGAATGGTTAAACATACCGTACCACCTAGAAAAATGGTGATTTCGGGGATGGTTTATTATTGTTTTACCCACATTATAGATGAGATTAGCATCCAATAAATTGGACACTGGCAGGAGTTGGAAGACTAGTGAAACCACTATTTTAATGGTGTATTTCCAGGGTCTATGCTAATTTACCAGATATTTGTACTTAATGGGGTTTATAAGCCAACTCATAGCTAGCGGATACTAGGGGGCCCAACCTTACCTCTGGGATTCTCTGGGGATATTTGGTCTGATTTCCTCTCAGTTCTTCTCCCTGATAAAAAACTGACAACCACACCACACACACCCAATGTCAGCCCCGAATTGATCAACAGCTTCAATCCTGACTCTCCGACGGAGTCACCCTCAAATAGTGCTCATTTGCCAATTTTTCATGGTTTCATGGTGGCCTTCCAAAGATCAACAAATATCAACAGCGAAGGATTCGGCGAAGGATGGAAAACGCCCAGGCGGCCAAGCAGCTGCAAAGGCTTCCACACCAACCGCCACATGGGCGGGCTTCACTGCTTTGGGCTGCTCAGTGATCTTTAAGCCGTCCACCCATTCGGTGGCCAACACCCGCAGCGAGGTAAATTGCCAATTCACCCTGGTTTTTCTCTGTGGTGGTCATGGTCATGGGTTCCATGTTTTTGGGCAGGGCAAGGAGGGTTCTTAAAGGTTTGCCCAACATGAAAGCAACGTAAGGAGAGGTGGAGACACCACAGAAGAGTTGTCTGAAATGCATTCGACTCCAAAAAAAAACGTAAATCCAGCCATCCTGGGATAGAAAGCATCAAATTTCTGGCCAAAACCACCAACCTTGCCAACCTTCCCAGCAGCGCAGGCCGCTGTGCGGATCGCGCCTGGGAATTACCAGGCCGCCAACAGAACCGCAAAGAGCATGTCGCATGTCTTCCATACTCTGCGCCTCCTGCCACGAACAGAACTCATGATCGAGGCAAAATGGAGTGATTATCAATTGAAGGCACACCGGCTGCCGCCGCAAACAATTGCGATTCAACAAAAATCACTCTTTCAAGAACATCTCAACATCTATCTGGGGGCACTTCAAATATCTAAAACATCTTTCAAACATGCAACGGGAGGACCAGTATGCAATAGCGTTAAAACGATGCAAAACGTCCTTTAAAACACAAAATTATGGGACGCAAGAAATGTGACTGTCTGATGCTTGAACATCTATATAGAATATATATAGAATTAAAATCTGAGGCTATTTCCAAAAATCAAAAGCCATCCGGAAAAATGTCAACCCCTTCGATCTTTGCCGTGACATGGGCGTTTAAATTGCGGCCGTCCTTTTTGTAGTCTAGCTCATCCCACAAGGTCTTGGCCCAATCCTCTACGATCTGAACCTGACATCTACAACAATACAGATCGATTTGGAAATGATATCTCTATAAGAGAGAAATGGCGTGTATCAGTGTATCTTATGTTGAATCTCCAGGATGTTCTTGGATTTCAATTCGTAAAACAAAAGGACTTGCTGCATACATCTGCACACCCTCCGATTGCATAATAACTTGTGTAAGTGAAATTTCTGAACCAATAGCAGACCGTACTGCAGCTTTTCAATCTTGAGCGTCGGTGAGCATCAAAAAAATCCTCAGCATGTATATAGTAACCATTATTAATGCAGTTTTCAATGTTCAATGACATAACTGACATAACAATCATGAGCGATTACGCGCATCTGTTCAATCTGTTCCTGTCTTTACCAAGGTGCGGGGTCCAGTGTCGCCACCATGAAGCGGCGGACCAATGAGCGCATGAAGCGGGCAATGCCTTTCCTGATTTCTGTAGGTGGGTCCGGAAAAAATCGTCATGGCGAAAAGAATCAAGCATCAATGGACCCACAACTTAAGTTGGATATGTTAAAGCATTAAATGGAGTAATGTATGATGTGATTATAAAAATTATATATATATATATAATTCTTATATAGATGTTTAGTACCAATAATGCTGAGCCATTCCTGTCTGGCGTTTCACAAATAGCAACGGTCCCATAGGTGATGGGAAGAACTCAAGGGGCGACTGACATTGGCAAATCATGGCAATGACAGTGGTTGAATTTTGCAAGCATCATCAATCATACAAAGTATTCTTCAGTAGGCGGCCCGTGACACTATAAATATCTATGAATCATGAAAGGTGGCCAAATTCCAAATTCGTCCTTTGCCACATGGTTGGCTCGGCAAAAATAAACCCACTTATCGCCAGCTCAGTTGCATTTACCCGTTTCGCTTAATTATATGTTGCTTACTCAGCCAGATCAGTCGTACAAGTACCTAGATGATTGGTTCAATTTTATGAACCCAAACCAAACATATACCCAAATCGCCACCTTCCTGACAGGACCGAGGTTCAAAATCACCACATCCATGGCTAAGGCCCGGTTCAAACCAGGTCGTTGTACCTTCATGGCATATTTCCGGCCATTCACGTCAATGCTATACCTGGGGGCCATAGTGGACCGCTGGGTCACTGCCTTCGAATTGTTTGTTTACCATAGTGGCCAAACACTTTCTTGAACCGTGTTTGTTTGCCATTAAAACATGAACACATAAAACAAATGATGTGGTAAATTCAAGAATAAACCATCCAGTTTAATCATCCATAACCATATGCTCCATGTATGGAATATTTACCAACATTTGCCCCATAAATGAACCAAATGTAGGTAAATATACTATACATGGAGCATCTGGGATAACCATCCCTAATATCACGATTTTTATGGCCATCATCCCCAAGTCCTGGTACGCCAAGGTGCACCTGCCCCAGGCTGGCAGCCGCCACACAGGGAGCACCAGAGGCCGCCTGGAAGGCCAAGTCGCCCAGCTGACAACCCACCTAAGACGACATCCACCAACCACGGGAGACAAAAAAACGTTGTACCCTCTGGTAAACATACAAAAAACTATTGAACATGGCCATTTATTGTGGATCGTCCCATTAAAAATTGTTATTTTCCATAGTTTTTTGTATGTTTACCAGAGGGTAAAATGTGGTATAAAACTCCCTACTACAAGTAAAATGTACTAAATTTAAGGTGATGTTTTTTTTTTGTCCATCTTCTTGGGGATGACCCTTTGTTTTGGCCACATGTTTTTTGCGTGTGCTTGCTTTTCGGTGTCAGCATTTTAAGGGCAAACAACGAAATGGAAGAACAATTAGTATTTTAAGATGTATTTTAAGATGTATTTTGGGACTGTCTGTTATTCGTGTTTGTCATTGGGTTTCAATTTCGGGCAAACAACTGGGTTTGACTGAAAATAGGCTACCCCTAAATGCAATGGTGCATCCAAATGGATCAAAATTGTTCCAATAAATGGCTGTAAATGGAGGTACGCCCCGTTTCTAGACACATCCAAGTGGTTGAAAAAGGGTTTGGTCAATGGATTGGTGCAAGGGAAAATCTACAGGTAACCATAGATTTTCCTATGAAATAGGAAGGTTTCCGCAATTGTTCCCTTAAACCAATCCATTGATGGTTTGATGTTTGGTGGACGCTGAAACCGTGCTCGATTTCGTCAAAAATTTGCTGGACGCAGATCCGAGTTCACCAACCGTTGCGCTTCAGAGTGGTCAAAGGGGGCCACCTGTGCGACGGCGCATGGCCGCTCTCTCGGTAGAAAACCACCCCCAAGTGACCTTCAAAATCAAAAAGTATAGTCCCTATGGATCCAAACACTGTCTGAGAAGGTACTTAAGCCTCCAAATTATAGTAAATTATACCCCAAACACTTCCTAAGAAGGTACTTGGATCCATAGGGAGTGTTCCCATCTGTTTACATATGTGTCCAAAGTTTCCATTGGCATCAACCCATGTTCCTCAACTTCGTTTGGAACACCATCCTCTTTCAACTCGCCCGGAAACTCTCCGACTCTCCACCTCCAACATCTCTACCGCCATACCGGTGATACAATCCATCGCTTATTGCTACCGCTTTAAAACATATGGGGATGGGTCAAAACCCTGGTACCGTGCCGTGAACCCCAAAATAGCTGGGATTTATGGATGTTCATCCCACTAAAAATGGTATCTATAGGTATTGACCCATACCCATATGATAAAGGTGCAACAGTTTAAGGCGGTATGTTATGGGGAAGATTCTTGTTTAGGCTCATACCATGCAGGTTGTTTGACATCAGTATCGTAAGTATTCTTGTGATCGTGTGCGCGCTGTTCTTTGCAATCACAACGCCTATGATTATCAACGATATTCCATAGCATTATCATTCTTAAAACAATGTTGCCATATATGAAACGTATCATAGTATTGTTCCTATCATCAATATGTGGTTGTCTCAAAATGGCGTAAACATGCGTAAACCACCTTTTATCGCCATTTAAGTACGTGTAAATGCAATGCATACACATATTATATATATATGTGTGTGTGTGCGTGTTTAATGATAAATTATGTAGATGTTGGTTAATTGATGCCCCATTTCCATGGTTGTTTAGCTACACCCTGTGATATCACATGTAAATGTTGGCTCTTACCCCCTTACACAGTAACTTACACATGACAAAAAACATTATAGGGATCTCATGGTTTTCCCATATCATCCCATAGTTGCCCATAGATTTAAAAATGGTTTCCCCATCAATTGATAGCCAATGTCCATTGCTGGTTTGGTACCCCCATCTACTTGGAGGATACCACTTAGTAAATGGTAACCGTGATTGCCAAATCCCCTTAGTAGCCTATCCCATAAGTGGCATACAACCCCACTTACTAACCACTTACTTGCCATGTTTGATGATCCCTTTACATCCCATTGATAGATTAAATGCTAACAACCAATAACTTTAATAATCTATTAAACAAAAAAACAAAAACATGACATTTCCCATTAAATCATTAATCTACCAGAATCTTACCCATACTCCAAGGCTGGCCATACTCCAAGCCAAAATGGCTGAAGCACTCTAAAAGGCTGTATAATGGTGGTATTCGTGCATCGTATGGTATGCGATGAAGCATCGGTATAGTACGATGTTTGCACGGATTTGCACGGTATGCGTTAACTTCGCGGAGTGCGTTCCCACACAGGTATGCGGATTGAGCATGCCCATTTCAAGTTTAAGGGTATTGTCCAGGCACTGCCATGATAGGCGATGAAGTTCAGGTATGCGTTTTCCCTGTAGGTAGCCTACAGCCACTATATGTGGGGTGTTAGGAGTACGATGTTTGCATGGTATGCGTTAACTGTTGCGGAGTGCGTTAAATTTGTGGAGTGTGTTAAACTTGTGGAGTGCGTTCCCGCTCTGGTATGTGGAGTACGATATTTACGTGGCATGCGTTAACTTTCCCAATTTGGGCGACCAGGGGTTAGAATTAAATCCCATAAACCCAATCACCCAATCTATGCATTTAGTGGTTAAGAGGTGACCCCACCTGATCTACTAGGTTAAAAGGAACCAAGGAACTAATCATTTATAAAATCCATTACTATCCCAGTAATGAAAATTAATATCCATCATCAAAATCCCATTAAACTCTCATGAAACTCCTTTAAAATCCCATAGTATGCCATTGATCTCCACTAAATAAACTCCATTCAAATCCCATAACACCCCATGAGCCTGCATTAAAATTCGATCAAATCCCATGTTGTCTCCATCAAAATCCCGAAAAAAAATCCCATGAAACTTCAACTCCCGAATCCCGTGACCTGATCACAGAGTTTCCTCAGCTCCTTTGCCACGGCTTCGCTCAAGATGTCCTCGCGACAGGCCGCCGCCTGGCCCAGCTTCACGAAGGCAGGGCCCAGCGCCTCACGGCGCTAATAAAGTGCCAGAAAGCCATGGGATTTCTGGATGTTTCATGGGAACCAAAGGGAACAAACCAATAAATGTTACATATTTTATGATATCTATAATATATATATACATATATAATATGTATATAATATATATATATAATATATATATATATATTATATATATATATTATATATTATATATATATGTATATATATATATTATAGATATCATACCTCTAAATGCAATTGCCGCACTTTTATGCCAAAAGGCAATTTTTTCCATGCTACGGCGTAATTCCAGGAGCGACATCGTGATCATTTTTTGGGCTACGTCATTTTCATTGGTATGTGTGGACCACGTTGGGGCTCAAAGGCAAAGATGTGCACTTAAATTGGTGCAATGTCTTGCAACCTGGGTTCGTGTTTTTTTAAATTGTTTTCCAGAAAAAAAACAAATGGACACATCCGCAAAAGTTGCCGTCGTAATTTCAACGCATTACGGCGTAATTTCCCAACATTACGGCGTAATTTCCTGGAACCATGGCAGAATTCATTTCCCACTATTTTTGCTGCTCATCGACTTGCAGAGTCCATGGAGAAAAGGAGTTTTGCACTGTCCAGGGCCAGGGTATTGGGACCACCTCTTTGTCAGTCAAGCGTATGCATGGTGAACCATAGTTCCACAGCCCTCACAACCATTGACCTTTGGCAGCCTCATTTTTGGATGTCCTGCGTCAAAATTTCCGGGCTACGTCAAAAAAGAAACGCCGTTTGGGAATCCGGCACTTTTTTTGTACGCAACACCTATCTAGGTATATATTATACATACATGTGTCTGTGTGTGTGTGTGTGTCTCCTGTGGTCAAGTTCCCAACAGCAGGGCCTGTTGGGTTTCAATCTCTAGGGCTGGGGCTGGCTCGCGGGGACTTGCAGCCTTCAAAATCCGGAATGGAACCCTGGAACCCTGGAACTTTGGAATCCTGGAAAATCTGGAACCCTGGAACCCTGGAACCTTGGAACCCCGGAACCCTGGAACCCTGGAACCCCGGAACCCTGGAACCCTGAAACCCTGGAACCTTGGAACCCTGCGACCGTGGAACCCTGAAACCTTGGAACCTTGGCACCCTGGAACCCTCAAGGATTCTGGAACCCTGCAACCTTGGAACCCTGGAACCTTGGAACCCTGCAACCCTGCACACCTGGAACCCTGCTGGGATCCTGGAACCCTGAAACCCTTGGAACCCTTGGACCCTGGAACCCTGGAACCCTGGAACCCTGGAACCTTGGAACCCTGGAACCCTGGAACCCCGGAACCCTGGAACCCTGAAACCCTGGAACCTTGGAACCCTGCGACCGTGGAACCCTGAAACCTTGGAACCTTGGCACCCTGGAACCCTCAAGGATTCTGGAACCCTGCAACCTTGGAACCCTGGAACCTTGGAACCCTGCAACCCTGCACACCTAGCACCCTGCTGGCATCCTGGAACCCTGAAAAGTGGAACCCTTGGAACCCTTGGAACCCTGGAAACCTTGGAACCCTGAAACCGTGGGACCCTGGTACCCTGGAACCCTGGAACCCTGGAACCCTGAAACCTTGGAACCCGGAACCCTGGAACCCTGGAACCCTGGAACCCCGGAACCCTGGAACCCTGAAACCCTGGAACCTTGGAACCCTGCGACCGTGGAACCCTGAAACCTTGGAACCTTGGCACCCTGGAACCCTCAAGGATTCTGGAACCCTGCAACCTTGGAACCTTGGAACCCTGCAACCGTGCACGCTGCATGCAATAAAATAAATTATAAAACTTCCAAACCCTAAACCCTAATGCGCGCTGCGCGCACTGCGTGCCACACACATAAACCCTAAAACTTTCAAACTTTAAACCGTAACGCGTACTGCGCGCACAGCCTGCCATAGAGGTAAACGGTTAAACTTTCAAACGCTGCGTGCCATAGAGACAAAGCCTAAAACTTTCAAACGCTAAACCGTAAAGCAGGCTGCGCGCGCTGCGTGCCATAGAGTGCTCCTCAAAAGTGATTACATGTCATACTTGAGTGGCATCCTCCAAATTCATTAGTCAGCCTTTGTTGATCCAGGGCCCATTTTACACATGTCATCTTCTTGCTCGTGGCGCCATTTCAGGATCACACTGATGACCTAAGCTTTGGCCTTAACTATTATGCAGGCAAGCGACATCAGCACGCTATGGTATTGGAAGACACAGGGTTTGCCCGTAGACCAGCCAAAAAATCGATTTTCCACACTGAACAATTGGATTTAACACATTTAGAATAGGAGCTCCGCCTGATTCAGATTTCATCACTTAAAAGGTACCCATGCCTGACTCGCCTTCATGACTTAAAGCGTAACCACACCCGACTTAAGGGAACCATGTCTGACTAGCCTTCATAATTAAGAGGTACCCACCCACGCCTGACTTAACAGAACCCATGCCTGACTAGCCTTCATAATTAAAAGGTACCCATGCCCCTGAATTAAGGGAACCATGCCTGACTAGCCTTCACAATTAAAAGGTACCCACTGGAACCATGCCTGACTAGCTTTAATGACTTAAAAGGTAACTACACCTGACTTAATACCTGATTTACTGGTTTTGCCTGATTTTGGAAAAACGCAGGGCCGGAATTTGCACGGGCCGGAATTTGCCGGGCCCGGGCCGGAATTTGCCGGGCTGGGATTTTGGGGTCGTGCCTAAATAGGATTTTTGCAAAAATCGTGCATGACTGAAGGGAACCATGCCTGACTAAACATCATACCAATCATCCCAAAAGAATCCAATAATTCCAGCAAGTGATGCCTGACCAATCCCTGCGTCATAATAAACCGTCTGCCCCTCCCCACCCAATAATGAACACACGGAATAGTTTTTTGTATTTAGTGGGTATTTAGTATGAGGGTGCGAAACTTCCCCCTTGGTTAAAAAAAACTAAATTGGAAAACATTTTTTAAATAACATCTAACTAAAATATTGCCAAAATTGGATTCCGAAGCTTCCCCCTGACATTAAATTGAAAACATTCGTTTTAAAAAATGAACTTTATATTTCAAAACCGATTGAATTCCTATTCAAAATCTAACTCAAATCTTGCCAAATTGGATTTCGAAGCTTCCCCTTATATTAAATTGAAAACCTTACTAATCCCCACCTCCTTTTACTAAACGTACCCTAAATACTAAAATATTACATTGATTCCTTTTACTAGGGTCCGCGTTAAATTTTGGGAAATTTCAGGCTGGCCAGTTTGACTTTTAATTGATACCTTTTCAAAAACAAATTAAACATGAAGGTCCCATTTCAGGATTTCACCACCAAAAAATAAAAACTAGTCAGCCCCGGTGATTTTTTAAACTAGGGTCTTTTAAGGTCGAAAAAATAAGTATTTTATATTACAACGTTTATATAATATTGGGGAAAACTTCGAAATCCACTTTTTGGCATTTCCTGGCAATATTTTTGCTGGATGTCAAAAGGAAATCTAATCGATTCTTGAAATCGAAAAAACATAGTTTTTTTAATTAGTGTTTTTAATTTAATCTTAGGGGAAAACTTCGAAATCCAATTTTTAGCAATATCTTAATTATATGTTAAACAGAAAACTAATCGATTTTGAAACAGTTTTTTTTAAATATATTAGGGCTGGTAATTTAATATTAGAGGAAACATTTCAAAATCCGGTTTTTGTTTTTATTTTTGTTACTACAATTTAAAAGGAAATCGAATCGATTTCAAAAAAGAAAAAATAATATTTTATATTAGGGTTTTTTAATGTAATATTAGGGGAAAACTTCAAAATCCAATTTTTGACCATATTCTAATTAGATTTCAAAAGGAAATCTAATGAATTTTGATATAGAAAAAATAGTCTTTGATATGAGGGTTTAATATTAGGGGAAAGCTTCGAAATCCAATTTCTGGCAATATCTTAATTTGAATTTACAAGGAAATCTAATCGATTCTGAAATAGAACAAATTTAGTTTTTTATATTGGAATTTTTCATGCAAGATTAGGGGAAGCATCGAAATCCAATTTTGGAACATATTTTAATAATTGGATTTTAATTTGATATTAGGGGAAAGCTTCAAAATCAATTTTTTGTTTTTTTTATTAGATTTCAAAAGGAAATCTAATCGATTTTGAAACAGGAAAAAAACAAATGATATTAGGGTTTAATATAGGGAAAAGCTTCGACATCCAATTTTTTGGCCATATTTTATTTAAATTTTTAAAAGGAAATCTAATCGATTTCGAAATAGAAAAACATACATAGTTTCTTATGTTGGGGGTTTTTATTTGATATTAAGCTTCGGAATCCACTTGTTTGCCATATTTTAATTGGATTTTGAAATCTGATCAATTTTGAAATAGAAATATGTGTATATATATATGTGTGTGTGTTTTTTATCAGTATTAGGGGGAAGCTTCGTACCCTAATACTAAAGACCCCCCCAATACTAAAAACTCCTCCAGGTGTTTGTTATTTGGGTGGGTGGGTGAAGGGGCGACTGTTTAGCAACAGGGGGAAGGGATTAAACCGTTTTTTGTTTCTAATTTCAAAATCCATGAAAATAATCTTTAAATAGAATACTGCCAAGAATAGGATTTCGAAGCTTTCGCCTAGTATCAAATAAAACACCAACACCTGAATTAAAAAAACTAAAATTGACGATTTTAAAGGACGGACCCCAATAAAAGACACCCCGGTGTTGACTAGTTTTTTATTCTTTGGGGGTGAAACCCTCACATGGTACCTTCATTTTTAAAATTGTTTCCTCAAGGGGATCAATTAAAAATCAGATTAACCAATTTGACATTTCCCAAAATTGGAAATCGCACCTAGTTTTTGTCATTTGGGGGTATTTCTCGTAATAGGGAGAAAGGATTAGCAAAAAGAATGCCTGATCAAAATGATGCTGATTCTGTGTGTTACAATCTTTTTGCCCACTACAGTGTCTACAGGGTTACAAGGGATGCCGTGCCAGCTAGAGTCCCAAGTCCATTCAACCAACACCCTAATCGATGAAGTTGGACTTGTTGAAATGGAAGTGGGACTGGACCAGTTGACATGGGGCGATGCTGACCTTCAACGGGAGCTTCGGCGCCTGAAGGACAACAGTTTGAAAATTCCGAACCTGAAATATATTTTCAAAATTGCCTTACTAAGAGTGATCCCCACCCTGACACACTATTCTGACATAGTTTCTGACATATCATCTGGACGTATATGTGGCATATATGTTCTGACATACTATCTTACATTCTTTTCTGAGATTCTATTTGACATTCTTTCTGGCATCCTATCTGGCATCTATTCTGACATACTTTCTGGAATATACTATATTCTGATCCTGCCTTGCCATGAGTTTGGGCTGGGAGTGCTTTTATTTGCGTGGATCAATGCCAATGGCTTGAATATCCCCCAAATGTTGGTTTCACATGTTTGCACCCAATGATTGCCATTACCATTGATACCCCAAAATGGCCAGGTCCTGAATTTGAGAGTAGGTCCTGAAAAGTTTTCTGGGTACTGAAAAAACAGGATTTTGGCACAGGGTCTGAAAAAAGACGTAGGTGGAAGATTCAGGTATGCTGTTGGGTTGCAAAGCTGGGTTAATTGAATTAGATTTAGCTAGTCTATCGGTGGCCAATGGAAAATCAATTTTCTGGTGGTGCATGTCCACCATGTCCACCATGTCCACAAACAATCTCATATGAAAATGGTGTGTGCCGAATCTCCAAAAAGAATCTGAACCACGGGGCTCGGGGATGCCTTGAAAAAAGTCAAACCCATGACCATTGCTGCCTCGTTAAATGCAAATTTCCCAAGACCAGGGGTTTCGATACATTTTTTGATGTTTGATGATGTGCTGGAATCACCCATATGACTCACCACTTACTCAACCAAATTTATTGCTTTACTCCTGTGATAATCACTGGATTGGTTTTAGAAGCAAAAGACTGGAAACCATGGGTACAGTACTATCCACCAACAACTGTTTTTTGTTTGCATTTTTCTCCTTCAACCAAGTCTAAGAATAGAACATATCAGATGCATTTACTCAAATATTGTGTATCTTCCTTCAGGTACATATATAGATAGAACATGATAGAACTTGATGTAAGTAGATCAGCACATATCAAGCAGACATGTCCCTATTCAACGGTGTGCGTATGGGAATAAAATTTGAGCCCATGGATGTATGAATTCGTTGGTGCTGATATTTAGGAATGAAGAAGGGAAGCCTCGAACAGAACATTGATGCTGGGAATCAATCCAAGGCTGCACAAAAATTGATTTTGCCCGCAGGTCACAATTAAATGACCATGGATGGCTAAATTTTACATAAGCAAAACCATACCCCCAAAAAAACAGTTTCCTTAAAATGGGGAGTCCCACAACCATGTCTTTCAATATTAAGTCATGGTCTAATGACTTTGGATGATTAGGGGGTACACCATTTTTCAAAACCTCAAAATGGATCACTATATATAATTTTCTATAGCCTTTGACAATATTCCGTATTCTGCATTCTTTATTCAAAACATTGAGATATGGGGGTTTCCTAAAATAGGGGTACAGTACCCCTAAATCATCCATGTTTAAAAGATGTTCCATTTATTTTAAAACCTTCCAGCTATTGGGGTACCACCATTTCTGGAAACCTCCAGTTGCACCCTTGGATTCCCGGATCCACTGCACCTCAAGGACCATCCTCAAGCGTCGGGTATTCTCCACCGCGGTGTCGCTGCCGGTGAATTGTTGCCAGGCGATTTTGGAGGCCACTGGGAGTAACCTGAGGCACCACAGCTCATGTGAAGTAAGGAAAAGGTTGACAATGTATATATATATATAATACTGTTACCTAATAGTTATCAATCCCAGAGCTAGAACTATAATTAATAACTATGGATATGTATAGCCTCATGCAGAAATCACAGGGGTTGTGATGTCAAGAGGAGGGCGCGATCATGCCCGATTGCTAAGGGTGGTTCAATAATGTGCAAGGCCCAGAAATCATCTGGACTTTTCTTAAGCAGGGAAACACATGGACAATTTCTCTCGGAGCCTGTTGCAATTTCTATGACTCTTCTAACGGCTGGAACCCAGAGAATTCCCACAAATGAATAGTTTCAAAAACTCCTGTGCCACGAACACAATAAACCCAAGTAGTATGGGAAGCCCCCTTCCATTTCTTGATACCTCCAATTGTTTGTTGATTAAACCTGGCTAAAAGCTAAAATCTCCATAACTACCCTAGGTTGTCTGAAAATACTTCCTAAACCCTTCACCAACGTGATTGTTGTGGTGATATATCACCATGTTGCCATAACGACAACATTTCTTTGCAATTCCCAGCAGGGTTGCGCTTCAGGTGCCCCGTAGGTATCCCATGGTGAACATTGGATATGCATCCACATTTCTGCTGGTTGCAAACATCAACTTTGTGGAAAACCCGTCATATTTTTCGTTGTTTGGAAACACAACTTATCATCATGTATGGATCATATCAGTAATATCCCTGTGTTTCTTGATTCAAACCCATCTTTGTGTTGACAAAAACTCGCATCCAAAAAACCAAAGCAGTGTGATTTCAAGATGTTCGTCCCCCCAAATATCTCCAAATATGGTGTCTCAAACTTTTTCGTTCGTCTCAAAAAAATCACATTTCCTTGGAACAATATTGAAAGAAAAAATGATCCACCCCCCCCAGGTGTCCTCGACTGAAAATAAAATACACCAAATCCCAAAAGATTACCCCTTGAAATCCAGTTGAATCCCAAATATTGGCTGGTTAATACAAACGAGTCCTGTAGGTTTTGTTCAGAAATCATTCTGTTGATTACATATCCCATAACATCCCCCATTACATCCCCATCAAATTGTTGGTAATATCTAATTCAATTTTGATTGGTTAAAGCAACACTTACACCCAAAGATCCGCTCGCCCATCCTCATGGATATTCCGATATTCCCATGAAATCACGTGAAACATGTAAAAACCCAGTAAATCACATTAAACCAAATAATTTCCCCTCTATTGGCTGGTTAAAACCATCGAAATCCGGCTAACCACATTTTGAACATAAACCATATTGTGGTTTCATCACATTATATAAATCCCATGGAAATTTTGTAGGTTTTCGCAGGCCTCACCTGGCGGATCGTCCAAGGAGCTTGGCCGTGACATGCACCCGTCGTTTCAGTAGGGCCTGGGACTCGCTGCGCTGCACCTCCGCGCAGGCCTCGTCCAGGTCCGGGAGCTGCTGGGCATCGGGAGCGTCCAGCCGTGCCCTACACCTGCCATGGCCAGTGAAAAGGAAAGTGTTGAATGGCGGTTGTGGTTGTGGCGGTTGTGGTTGTGGCGGTTGTGGTTGTGGCGGTTGTGGTTGTGGCGGTTGTGGTTGAGTGGCGGTTGTGGTTGAGTGGCGGTTGTGGTTGAGTGGCGGTTGTGGTTGAATGGCGGTTGTGGTTGAATGGCGGTTGTGGTTGAATGGCGGTTGTGGTTGAATGGCGGTTGTGGTTGAATGGCGGTTGTGGTTGTGGCGGTTGTGGTTGAATGGCGGTTGTGGTTGTGGCGGTTGTGGTTGAGTGGCGGTTGTGGTTGAGTGGCGGTTGTGGTTGAATGGCGGTTGTGGTTGAATGGCGGTTGTGGTTGAATGGCGGTTGTGGTGTGGTTGAATGGCGGTTGTGGTTGTGGCGGTTGTGGTTGTGGCGGTTGTGGTTGTGGCGGTTGTGGTTGTTGTTGGTAAAGTTGTTGTTGGTAAAGTTGTTGTTGGTAAAGTTGTAGTTGTTGTTGTTGCTGTTGTAGTAGTAGTAGTAGTTGTTGTTGTTGTTGTTGTTGTGTTGTGGTTGTGGTTGTGGTTGTGGCTGTGGTTGTGGTTGTGGTTGTTGCGTTGTGGTTGTTGTGTTGTTGTTGTTGTTGTTGTTGTTGTTGTTGTTGTTGTTGTTGTTGTTGTTGTTGTTGTTGTTGTTGTTGTTGTTGTTGTTATTGTTGGTTGTTGGTTGTTGGTTGTTGGTTGTTGGTTGTTGGTTGTTGGTTGTTGTGGTTGTTGGTTGTGGTTGTGGTTGTGGTTGTTGGTTGTTGGTTGTTGTTGTTGTTCTTGTTGTTCTTGTTGTTCTTGTTGTTCTTGTTGTTCTTGTTGTTCTTGTTGTTCTTGTTGTTCTTGTTGTTCTTGTTGTTCTTGTTGTTGTTGTTGTTGTTCTTGTTCTTGTTCTTGTTCTCCACGGTGATGGGAATTAAAAGGGTTCCGGCTCATAAAGATTCGTATGGAATTGATGATCAAGCCCAAGTGAGTCTTGTGTAATAACTCAGGTTTGGCCAATGAGGTTCCTCTGTTGGGCTTCCGTATATATGTGTACGTTGTTCCAATGCATGTCCGTCGCCTGCTGTAAGTTTGGAACATGGCGGTGGTACTGTATGAGTCAAACTTCATGTCGTTGCAAAGAAATGCACGCATGGTGGTTGGAAGCACCAAACCAGGGCACTTTGCCACGCATCCCCTCATGTAAAATTACCACGTTCATTGTCGCATTCTCTCGTTTCCGTTTTTACCCTCTGGTTGGATATATACCGTGCGTGTTGTTGTGGCGCCCACTGGCAATCAAGCATCGCAACAAACAATCCCTCGCTTTAACCTGTAGATGGATGTCAAAATGTACATGGTTTAAACGGGGCCGGGCCCAGAAAAACTGCGCAAATTCCGCTACAATCCCGTTCCTCTAATGTTCTAATGTTAAATACCACTTAGAACCTTTGGTGTCCTATACTCTCTTTCTCATCTTTCTCATCTCTCTCTCTCTCTCTCTGCCTCTGTTCATCTTGAAGTTCCATCTTTTTCAGTTTCATTTCAGAATAGAGGGATCCACTGGAGGAAGCCGCCATTCCGGTGGCCGCCATCTTCCCAGAGCCTCTTTTTCGGCCAACATAGCTGCCAGGGGCCGCTGAAGCATCCCCAGCTGCCTCCAGCCGTCATCACGCCCAAGCAGTGAGACTTGTTGGCCTCTTGTGGAATGAACCTTCAAGTGATCGCTTAATAGTGGCATGGGATGCTGGAAGTAACAAGTTCTTCTTGGGTGGCTACTGAGGATGGAATGGTGGTGCCAAACCTGTTTTCATGTGTGTTTAAAAAATTGGCTTTTCCTGCTCATATTGGCAAAATACAGCTTGAAGGTCCAATAGAGCCAAGGGCAGCGGCCATCTTGGTGTGTCTTCTCTTCTTTGAATGTGGGCCCATGCTTTCCAAATATGATCAAGCAAACCCAACCAAAACCCACTCCCGGAGGCTTTTGGGATTTCTCATATCGCCTGCCGGATTTTCATAACCAAACCATTGCCAGACCTATAGAATATACACCACCAATAGGATTCCGAAGCTGAACGGCACGCCATTCTGAGCTTGGGTCTTAGAAAAGCAGCATGAAGAAAAATGCGAGAGCACCACGGCACATTGCCCTGCGCCACTGAGGGACTTGGATGTAAGGTTAGGGTTCCCGCAAACGATAGCCGCAACATCCCAAACTATGCCATCAGTCCCTATATCAATTCAACAATCATGGAACCCTACAAACGGCAATATATATATATATATTTATATATGTGCAGTATATATATATGATTATATCTATATATATATATACAATATCCAAGAAATTAAAAGAGACAAATAGGAATCTCTGAAGTGCCACCCCCCCAGATTGCGGAGACTCTCCAAAAGAATGCTAAAGATCCATCCAAACAATTGCCGATGGCACATTGAGCATGGAGCAGCTGCGCCCACTGGAAAATCATTATTTTCTATCCAGCCAGCGTGATTACTTTCCATACGGCGCGGCTAGTACAGTGAATTTGGATGTCCTATTCGTTCCTCTTTCATCTCAGATTGCCAAGACTTAATACAGTACCGTACCAGTCATACCCAGTCATGATGAGTGACTGTACTAAGTGGCTTCCGAGGCACATGTCCTTGACCTTGTTTGCATCCCCAGCCCGTCTCCCATCATCCTATCATCTCCCTGCCTCCCCATAGAGCCAGTCACCTAGCGCTGGGTGCAGCCACTATCATGGAATGGGTGAGACTTCCTCATCATGATGAACATAAATTTACCCTCTGGTTGTGTAACAGTTTGCCATGGGAAATGGCCCATAGAAATAGATGGTTTACCTAATTAAAAATGGTGATTTTCCATGGCAAACTGTTAAGTAACCAGAGGGTATATAGACAGGAGGGATGCAGTAGACCTGGATTAGAAATCGATTACTGTAGCTCCTGCCTGGTGGGGACTCAAAAGCAACATGTGAAACCATCCGCCAGCCCTATGTTGGATTGCAAAATTGCAAATGCCTTAGTCAGAGATCGGATTCACATGCCAATTTTAAATATCCCGAATCTAATTCCCCAGCCAACCCTGGCCAGTTCCTGCGCAAGCAGCGTACCTAAGAGTGGAAAGCCTTCGCTACTCAGGTGAGCCTTTGAAGGGGGCAGAAAACGAGATGTGATCAGGATGAGACAACTCCTGGGTGATTTGGGAATCCAATAAACAAATAGTTTAATCAACAAAAAAAACACCTCAAGGGCATCTTGCACATCGACATGTTTACACATTTGTGTCACACAGCATGCCAAATTACTTGCATCTAGCATGTATTGTACAAACATAATTAATTTTACATAGTTTTATGATTTATGATATGTTATGTTTATCCCAGCTGCCCCATGTCTTGGATGTTGGCCAACATTTGCCTCAAAAACCACCCCGGGCTCTGTGAATATATCATTCATGAAAAGAGATCGAGGTCCAAGGGGATGTGCATGGAGGATGCGTTGAGGTGTTCCAAGGTGACCTTTTAGAGGAGTTGCTGGGGGCCCCCACAACTGTATAAAATATGTTGAACAATTTTGCCGATGGCTCAATTTGTTCACCCAACTTACCATTGGACCATTCCCTACCTAGGGCGCCTAAACCCTCACCCGCACCCTGATCTGATGAAGTCGGCCACTGTAAAGTTCCACCTGCCATGGAAACCATTGAGAAACACATACGGCATGGTCATGGGAATACCCTCCAGTAACCATACAAAAAGCTAGGAAAACCCATGGAATCCTCCAAGAAATGATCTACAAATGGTCCAAATTTTCATCGATTTTCCATAGCTGGGCTATGCTAGTTTACTGGAAGGCAGGTATTTGGCGAAGTGTTCCATTTCTGCTTGCCCAAGTATGACCCATACAACAAAAATGGTGTTGGGTGAGTCATGAGAAGTGAGCAACTTGAACTGGTCAATATGTATAACGAAATGCTTCCAAATTCAGAGGGATGTTCATCATTTTGTGGCTACTTAACTCCCCCAATGTCTATAGATGTCTATGGTCTATGGCAAACAACTCCAGCTAGCTGCGTTCCAGGTGTTTTCGGAAACCTGTCAGGTTTCTAGCAGGTTGGCCTACGAGTCAATACACAAACGGTTCTTGGCAATCAATGATGCTGTGTGTGTGTGTGTACGTGCGTGCGTGTGCGTGTGGGTGTGTGTGTGTATGTGTAATGGCAAGGGGCTGGGTATTGCTGAAAATACTGCCTCCAAGCCCAACAACAATAAACCAAACACGTCTTTCAAGGTGTACCGATCTGTCCTTTTTCCATTGAGATCGCAAGCCCAATGGCAAAAAAGGGTGAAACGATGCCTAGAAAGGCCATTGGAAAGTCTCCAAACAGTCACCTGCAAAGTGAAACAACATGCCGGCATTGCCGGCATTTTTTCTCTGGCTCTCAGCTAAGCCGGCACCTCCCCCCTTGGGTTGGCATACTGCTGCAGTGGGATGCAATCGCCTGAGATGGGGTTGCGCACATGCGCCTCGCGAATGATGCTGGAACTGTTTTGGCTCACCCGGTCATGTCGTACCTGGTTGGCCACCCCCAAGTCATAGACGTCCGGGGTCCGGGGTCCTCCTGTCACTGGGTTACACCGCACCGGCTTGGGAAACACTGCGGTGGGGATCAGGATCCCACTCCCTGCAGCTCTCAGGGCCTTGGCGCCATCCTGCTCCTCGCTGGGAATCTTCCGATGCACCGCATGGGATTGCAGGGAATAGCCCGGACGATCATCGCCCAAGTGCACCGTCACCGATGGCACCAGGGTGTCGTTCCTGGGCTGCGGTCCAGGATCATCAAAACGATCCCGTTGCTCCGTGCGGTAGTGGCTGGAAGGTTTGAAGACTTGCTGGCGAAGCTCAACTACACCTGGCCGGGTGGAAGTGATCACACCACCAATTGCAATCAAAAAAACACCTGCCGCATGATTTTCCGATTCAAAAATGCTCAAAGGGCTGAAAGAAGTTGCGTATACCGTATACATGCTGAATTCTTCCAGCATGCACGCACACAGATATACATATATATATATATGTATATGTATGTGTGTGTTATATATATATATGTGTGTGTGTGATTGTGTGTGTTATAATTCATATATATATATATGTGTGTGTGTAAGTTCAAGAATAATATGCGTTTATAAAAACTATATAAAAAACTACTAACATTCACCATCCAGTCACTCATATTCTTGTCCGGTGCATCACATGTGGCATAGACCACTTCAGGATCTACAAAGGTCGAGTGGGTCACCGATGCTCCACGTGTGTCCTCGTCCCACTTCTGGCAGCCGATGGCAAAATGAGTGGCTTCGTGAAGCCTCTTCAGCTGGGAGGCTTTCTTGCTGCAAATCACGTCCTTACCAAAGCAGTTGAGGTGAAAAATATTGTAGAAACTTGGTAATAACTACCATACATATCCATACATTGGGATATGGGGACCCTAAATGTGGTAATATGCCTGTAACTGGAAGTGCCCCCACAAGTATGACATGATCCATAGCCATAGTTGCTGTATCATATTTGAACTCAACTTGTGAAATCATGCATATATACATATTATATTATAACATCACATTACCTATATACAGAAGGAAGACATTGTTTTGTTTTAATGATTTTTGGTCTATGATATTCTGAGGGAGTAGGACTTCAATCATGCGACATCTTAACACACATGCACACATGAAAATGCGGTTCTTAAAAATATATAAATGGGAACACGTGAATACGTCTGTAAATATATACATGGGTGTGGACCAAATTTGCAGGTGCAAAATATCAATGGAATTCTTCATCCCCAAAATGGTCAATCTGTCGAGTGGATGTTGCCCCGTAGCAGGGCCGTGGCCGGCGACCTCAAAGATCATCCTCGTGATGTCCCAGGATTACAAGCAGTGCCTTATTGATATCCTAGGGATACCATTTTGATTCGCAATAAAAATAATAAAGACACACTCTTTGGGGGTACCCCCAGTCCACGATTCTCAGCGATTTCATGAAAGAAGTTTATGTCAATTGACTGATGATCTACCTAGCTGTCAGAGTTTTAAGTGGAGGTCTCAAATTGGTAAGCGGTTTATAATCTGTAATGTTTGCAATTCCTGATAATATCAACACGTTGTTGTTCGTACCAAATCTTGCGGGCGCTGTCGGGCGCATTAAACAATAAACCGTGTCCGAGTCTAACTGGGCGGTTTATCGGCTGACATGATTGACACGGGCACTCGAAATGCGACAAAGAATCCTTTGAAGTGGCACCCATGCCTTTGAAGAAACCTTCATATTGATTCTCAGCGTGTTGAGAAGGTCGGGTCTGAGAAAAGCGTAACCTCGATTTGGCATCCGGCTGGAGTGGTGTGGGACTACCAGCAACGGGGCCGCAGGGCCTAGTGAGTATCCTCAGCTTGCCAGTAAAGCTGAATAGCTTCCATCTGTGCCTTCCAATCGCTCTCACTTCTTGAGACTCTTGGCCATGCTTCCCCAAACATCCATTGGAACCAAACAATGTACCCTCTGGTACTTTAACATAGCTATTCAAAATACCACATTTGATATCATTAGTTGATTTACCTATATTCAAAATGGTGATTTCCTATAGCAAACTGTTAGTTGACCAAAGGATTTTTTTTACCCAGAAAGCCTAGATTTTCTCTAGTTTGGACCTTTGGAGGGTGTAAACTTTCACCAAGCTGCTCACCCCGTTCCTGTGGTCCCTGCGACATGGGCTGAGTCTTTTGCGGCATCGCGACGACAAGAGGATTACCCCAGGGGGGTGGAAATGATGTGCCCCCGGCGATTTTCAGACAACGGGGCGCGTTTTCTACCTCGAATGGAAGTGGTGAAAGAATGCCTGGGAACCCCAAATTGGCCAGGAACCGGCCCGTGAAGCTGATTGTTTGTGGGGTAAGTGTTGCTTTTCGCTGTTCCAATGTATGTAACACCCAAATATCATGCCAAACATTGACTCTTGATGCCGAACTTTGAGCCACAGTGAGACCAGTAGTGTTGCCGGCACGCCTTTGCCTACTTCGCGAACGCCTTGAGTTTTGTCTATATATTGAAACTACGAGTAGAATGCCTGAGTGCCTGCAAGCCTGCAAATAAAAAACTGATAGAAATACATATATATATATATATATATTTATTTATTTATTTATCTGTCTGCACACACACATATATATATACAGTATATGATATGACATGATATGGTGCACATAGATCATGATCATCAATGGAATTCAATCGATATATCAGGTCACCTGGCGGCCTTCCTAAAGAGAAACATGTTTTATCCCGACTCACAGCAGAGCAGTCGCCCAAACACCAATGGTGATTTTCTGCTTAGGGGTTGTACTCCAATTCTGTGCTGGAAGTTTCTGAGTGCCTTTCCTTGCGACCTGCCAAACAAAAATCCTTTAAAACATCCTCACTGAACCGATCTGTAGGTTTGCACATCCCCGTAGCTTCTGGAAACCGCTCCCGTTTTGGCTTCGTCGATGGTCTTGGGAGTGGTGCGCTCATTGGAGGTCCACATTGGCCTAAGTTTTGTCAGCGGCCGAATCGCTGTTGAGCCAGAGTCACTGGAGCAGGAACGAAGAAAAAAAAGGCAAAAACCAGCCAGCCAGCAGCTGCCTAGATAACAAATGTTTCTGAAGATAGCTTCAACCACCAACATTTGATAAGATCCTTCTGAAGTCAGAAAGAACATTGACTATAGGAGTACAGGTAGACTTACACAAATGAGGGTGAAGTGCAAAGGGTCCATGATTGACCCAAGGAAAGCAAAAAGTCCGTTCTCTGTTGGCCGGAAACATCATATATGGCTAAGCTTTCGGCCAACGAAACTTCCTCAGTACCATGAGGTTTGGGACATTCCCATGTTGGGTGTGCTACTGAGATGTGCTGGTCACATGAGACTTCTATGTGGTGGAACTAGGTATCTGGATAAACTAGAAAAAAACAAGAATCTGAATTAGGGCATTATGGGATGGTGTCCTCTACTAACCATCATGCCAGTGACCACGCAGTGAGGTGTTAAACAATTTATCCGACTCCACAGCCCCATGCTGACCACGTTGGGAATTTCAAACAGGAACTATCCAAAAACTATCCAGCAAATTTACATTATTACCGGACATAGAACGTGGCTATTGCCTAAATACCTAGGGAAATCTGGTACCTTGACTACCAGCTATTCAGCTACTCCCAGGTTTTGACCATATCTCCTGAGATGTTGTGACAGGAATCACTAAGTTGCATTCCCCAAACTCCTCTCAGAAGGTGTCCAGGATCTGCAGGAAATGCAGAACTGCCAGGACTGGTGTATTTTGTTTGCCAATAATTAGTAATTATTACCCATAGGATCCATGTATGCTATATATATGGTAACATTTACCATCAATATACCCCCAATGTTAGTATATATACCATACATGGATCCTATGGGTTATGGTATAAGTTTCCTAGTTGGTGGTTGCGGCCCCTGAATGTAACCTGACGTGGCAATGGACAAGAACCATCAAGAACCTACCCCCATTCATGTATCATTTCCCACCAGGGGCATGATGACTTCAAGCCTATGGATTTTCCACTGCCACGTCTACTTGCTGAAGAGCCATTCTATACAATTTCAATTTGTATTCAACAATACCATTGTCCCTATTCAAATAGTCATTGTTTTTTCCCTATTTGTGTGTACAATCTCCAGACAAACCCAAATTGACCCAGCTTCCCGACCCGCAAGTTCCAGGGTTCCGTTCGGGTTTGCATGGCGGACACTGCTGCTGCAGATAAATGTTGTGAGGTTTTCTTAGCCCATTAAATCCCACTGAATCCGATAGATTGGCTTGTTTTTTTCCATCCAATAAGTGGCCCATTAAATTTCCATGGAGACCTTCATACATCCAATAAGTGGCCCATGGGCCCATCAAAAAAACCGGACGATACCGGACGACCGGACGACCGGACGACGCTTCATGCCAAAAGATGCCAAAGGTCCAAGGCCTTCTTCTTCGCATCCAGAGCATCAATCTCCTGGTTCCGAGCCTTCTTTTTCTCCTCGAAGTCGGCCAGCAGCTTCTCACATTCCTCAGCGATGGATGGAAATCCGGGGGGACCGGTTGCAAAGTGCTGATGGTGGGATTTTTTGACCAAGATGTTGAGTTGCCATAGAGTTTATAGTTTATGTATTGTTAATGTTAAGGACATAAAGTATGGGAAAATCATGGAAAATCAATCAATTTCCTAGGCACCATTGCAGAATTGACACGTCAAACACCAGCTTCATCCAGCAAAAAAACAAATAGAACTGGCGCAAAGGGATGCCTTAAGGGGACATCCATTTGGCCACGGAATTGGCAGCTGCGACTGTGGCAGTCACTTGGTGCAAACCAGATGGCACCTCCAAAAAAACAACCCATCTCCACACCATTTGCGCTAGAGACAAAAACACAGCACAGACCTGAAATCCAACATATCATTCATTAAATGAATTCCTGGTTGGTGGTTTTACCCATCTTGAAAATTATGAAAGTCAATGGGAAGGATTATCTCATATATTATGGAGAATAAAAAATGTTTATATTATATAATAACCACCAACCAAATTCATTACGTATTCATTACGTCTAGTAATGTCAAGACGGGCTTTATACATCCCAAGTTAAACGCACCCTTTTCTGGCAAAAACATGGGCAATACTACTTGTCCATATGTCCTCTACGTCAAACATACCTCCCAAATAGTTGGTTCCATCCTCCCGAATAAACACCCTCCTCTCTGAACCCTCAATTTTTTTTCCCGCCAATTGGTTTTGATCCCTGAACCCACAGATCCATGCAGATCCCCATCCCGGAAAAAGAACCCATACCCTGTGAAATTCCATTGGTCTTAATGTCGAACAATATCAATTATATACATGATTTGTGGGGTCACTATTCAGGGGAGGTTCCATTTTTGTTGAGTTTTCTTTTTGACCTTCCGGGCCTTCCGGACCTTTTTTTTTGACTGCGCCCTCCACACGGACCTTTGGGGGGGTTATAAATCCGGTCTTGACATTAACTAGACATTAGTTCACACCCGAGACCCCAAAAAGCATAAAACTCGCATTTTCTTCAAAAACTCAGAGCGTTCCAAAGTGATTCATTACTCTTGCCAAATTGCCAAAACCATCCATAACCCCATAGCCGTTGGTTCCATCTTAGTTTTCCAGAAAACATCTACAGGTTTTCATAGGTTTTCCATGTGTGGGGAGGGGTCTTCCTGTAGATTTCTGGGGCTGAAATCGATATCCCAGGCGCATCTGTGAGAGTCGTGGCCAGCTGATCCGTCAAGCCCAGTTGCTCCTTCAGCGCCTGCGTGGGCCCGAGCGGCTTGGTATGGCCATGTTTTTTCATTGGCAAAATACGGTGAAAATATGTTTATACCATGGCAAACACTACATAATATAGTTTTGATATAGTTTTATATTAAATTATCAGTAATCATTCATATATATATATATGATTAACAAATATATATATATATATACATATGCGTGGGTGTTTGATTAAAACAAGAACATATTATATATAATAAATGTAATTATATGTATATATGTGATATTATATAAAATACATTTATATATATATTGTATGAAATGCGAGTGTATATGTATCCAACGGGAGAGAGAGATAGAGAGTGAGCGAGAAGGATTTATATGTAAATAATGATTATGTATGTGTGTGTATGTATGTATGTATGTATGTATGTACGTATGTATGTATGTACGTATGTACGTATGTACGTATGTACGTATGTACGTAGGTACGTAGGTACGTAGGTACGTAGGTATGTAGGTATGTAGGTATGTAGGTATGTAGGTATGTATGTATGGATGGATGGATGGGTGGGTGGATGCATGGATGGATGTATGTATGTGTGTATGTATGTACCTCTCTCTCTCTCTCTATCTATCTATCAATCAATCTATCTATCTATCCATGTATCTATGTATCTACGTATCTATGTATCTATGTATGTATGGGTGTATGGATGTATGGATGTATGGATGTATGGATGGATGGATGTATGGATGTATGACTGTATGGATGTATGTGTATGTATGTATGTATGTACGTATGTATGTATGTACGTATGTACGTATGTACGTATGTACGTATGTACGTAGGTACGTAGGTACGTAGGTACGTAGGTATGTAGGTATGTAGGTATGTAGGTATGTAGGTATGTAGGTATGTAGGTATGTATGTATGTATGTATGTATGTAAAGTGTTCTTTTATGTTTTAGCAGCATGTTTTATTATGTTTTATTATGTGTTATTATGTTTTATTATGCGTTTTGTTCTGTTACAGATATGTTTTACGATTTCCAAAGGTAGATTGTTGATGAGACACCTCCCATCTATGGCCCAAAACTGCCCTACAACCAGCATTTACCCAGAAACAGAGTTTGTGTCACAACGTCCAGGGCCTGGAGCCTGAATTAATCATCCCTCCATAGATCCCTTTCAATGAGGAAGGGCTTCTTTCCCAAACAGCATACGCAAGTGGCGGACGGCTTGTATGAACCTTCAAGTTTTGTGAATCACACCCTTGTCCATGCCAATGATGGGAAAGGATAAATGAAACTAACAGCACTTGAGGGTTCATACCAGCAGCCAACTTTCAAAAGCATGGGCTTTTTACATGCTGCTTTCACGGGACGGACTCCCCAAAAATGCAATCACGTCCCCTCTAATGTTCACCCAGAAATGAAACAACCTTCGGAATCAGTTCATTCATTGGTTGCTTGGTTGAAAAGAAGCTGCTTCTGGGAGTGCGCCCGCAACTTGCGGACCCTGATGACTAGCACCTTCTGTCTGTCTTGGATCTTCTGGCTTTCTGCGGCAAGGGCAGCTTGTCCTGACCAAGCGCTCGCAGCTGATTGAAGATTGAGTTCCACCGTCTCATCCCTTCCCTTATTTTTGAATGAGAACCCTCACAAACTCCCATGTAGCAGGGCTATACTTGGGAGTGGGCAACATTAAGAAGGGCCCAGTTGGTTTGATGACGTGAGTCGTACTGACCTAAAAAGGCAGCCTTGACATCCTCTAAAAACAAGCAAGCCACGATAGCATCGTTCAGGTCTTGGAAAACCATCACGCCTCACCAGCTATTTAAAAAAATGGTGATGAATAATCTGAACAAAGGCTCTATTGTTAAGTAGCCTTTTTTGACATAATTCTGGATCAATCCGAACTTTCTCATGATGTTATTTTCACCAATAGGATGAAAATAGCCATACTTGGATAGACATTTTTTTTTGACAGTGAGGCTTGAAGAGTAGAAGTGACCCGCCAATCTGATGATCCCAGGATTCTCGGACATGGACCCGCACAATCTTTCACTCCAGGAGGCCCCCGCATCGAAGGTCTCCAGCAAAATGTCAAAAACAAATCAAACAGCTTCAACTAAAAACTCATCAGCTAATCTTGGACCTGCGAGCTGTCGCCGCCACAATCTGGTTTGCCCCAGGAGACAACAAAGCCATTTTCCAAGATGGCAGCAAATGCTTCATCTGTGGCCTGAACCTGCCGCACATTCTTCAGCTGATCTTGGACTGTGAAGCTGTCACCGCCATTCACCGCCTTTATCTGGCTTGCCCCAGGTGACAACAGAACCCGCTTCACAGATTGCAGCGAATGCTCCACTTGAGGCATGAACCTGCTGCACATTCTTCAGCAGATCTTGGACCTGAGAGCTGTGACCGCCATAATCTGCCTTGCCCCAGGTGACAACCCCCCAGGTGACAACCCCAACCCCGTCACCTCCGCCGCACCACAATGCAAAAGCGTGTTGATCTGCTGCTAGTTTTGCTTCTCCTCTCCATCTTGCAACTCTGCAGCCTGGAGGGTCTCTGATGGACCATTTAGATTGCGCCCGTGTGCAGTGACAAGCCTCAGAAAATACATTCCCACACTTCTGGGCCAAGGTCTTCAAGTCCCCTGTTTTGGAAAACCGTGGAACTGAACGGCTCGTGCTGCGACCACTGGTCAGAGACACAGTCATTTGGAGCATCTGCTCGACATGGCCCAAACAAACCGGGGATGACTGGAGCATCTTTCAAAGAAATCCGTGTTCAGTGCTAGTACACAATCTGCTGCAAACAAATATCGAGCCAATGCACACACCAAGGCCCTATTGTTCAGCTAGGTAGGTACTAGTACCTTGCGACCCGGATCTTGTCAAGTTTTCTTTTCACCTTGGGATTGCCATTTGCGTGGTATTATGCAACTGTTGCCGTTGTGGGAAAGGATCTTACCGAGTTATTGCATGACTCCTATCCTGAGAGTTCTAATGACCTGCAAAACGATTCCTGATGCTCATTTCCACTGAAAATAGAATGCCCCCAAAATCCCAAAAATTGTTCATCTTCAAAATGTTCATTGATTTTCATGACTGGTATTAGAATAGCCACAATTGGGCAAACGCATTTTATGAAACGTGCCACTGGTGTGAAAAAATAAAGGTGACCTGCCAAGGGGTCACACCACACAGCACGTTTTTTTAAGGGTCATGGTCCAGTTCAAAAACAGGTGGCATCCTTCAGTCCGGGAGCCGCTGCTTCAACAAATCTTGATAAATCTTGAAGATAATGTGATAGTTTGGCCATCCCCCCCAACAAAAAACTGACAGTTTTCCAACCTTGCTAAATTAAAAACTAATTCACCAGCCAGCCATCACCAGCCTATCATTTGGCTGGGGAATTCTCCTTAGTTAGCTCCCAATTCAACAGGGAATATATGGGAATATGGATAACCCTAGCTCCCAACCACTGGATAGCAGCCTGAAACTTGCACCCATTGTCAGATAGTCGCCCCAGTGACGTCGCAATGTGCGGTCGTTCAAGTTTTCAACCTGAGCCCTGCCGCTGGCTCCTCCCACGAAATCCGTCAAGCTGAAGGCATCCTTTCGCCTTGACTGCTTGGCCACCTGGCCGAGGTTTCCCAGATTTCCGCTGGAAAAATCGGCAAACCCCCGACTTTTTGGAGCAAGGGGGTTCCAGTGAAATTTCGCTCCAAGTCGAGGACATAGATCGACGTTGAGGGGTCCACCGGTCCACCACAGTAAAGCCACTTCAAGTGACCTTCAATTTATCCGACATGAACAACACATAGAAAGTAAATGATTTAGACATGATAAACAATCAACCACAAGCTTTGAAAATGGGGGTTGCGATGGAGAAAAGCAGCAGGACATCCCCGTTCGAGGAGGTAAGATTGTTTTGCGGGACAGAGGTCGGCCTAATTCGACCTAGTTCATTGCATTTCGCGTTCTTTTTCCATCTTCTTCCTGTAATGCCAGCCATGGATGAATGTCAACCCTGATCAATCAAAAATATGGGCGTTCCCGATACCCCGTTAATATCCATTTAAACTGATCATCTGACACTAGCATCGAACCCCCCAAAGATCAACAGTTCAACAAGCCGTAGGTTTAGCATGGTTTGGCAAAATGCAGGGTTGATATGGGTTTGTCTGAAAACATGTTACCCTCAAACTTGAAGGATTGTGATCATTTTCCCCATTGGATTGCCACCGTTTGCGGTATTTTCAGAGACAAACTACCGGTATCAACTTGAAGACTTGCTAAACGATCCCACCAATAAAAACATATAAAAACCAGGTGTCATTGAAAATTCACCATAGAAATCCATAGAATATCATGAATTCACATGCTTTTTCCATATGTGTTCCCATCCAGAAATAAACTGAACTCTGCCGCCTCCAGCAGAGCCACATAGGCCGCCTGGTCTGTGGACTCACCTCAGCGAACGCTGAATCCATCAGAATCCATCAGAAATGTTGTCCGAAGTTTCCTTACACCAACAGTATCTATGATACATAATATTTATATATATATATGTTTATATAATCTATTATACATAATGTATATATATATATGTGATATACCCTATATATAATATGTTTATATATATATATCCCAAAGATCTAGGACCTAGGATGTTTTCCCTAGAAGTTTCAAACATGTTCAAAGAATATCCATGATAGACCCAATACATTCCAAAATGGACATGAAAGAAAATTGTGCTCAACCGTTGGGTTGTTGAGCTCTTCCCAACATTTTCAGACACACTATATATTAAACGAACATTAAAAAATGGTGCAATAATGGTGCACGACTTCTGTGCTTGGTTTTTCAATGTTTTTCCGGGATGCCGCATCAGTTGGTTATGGCTCGAACTTCAGCATTGCACATGGGCCAAAGAGCATCAACCACCGCCATGAATCTTCCTCCTGCTACTCCTCCTCATTGTCCTTACTAGGATTATGAATTTGAATAAAACCTTTGGTCCCTAGGTTAGTCCTAGGTCCTAGGTTGTTTCGTTGGGAGGGGCATCATTTCAGTAAAAACAACCATACCTTGAATCTCAAATAACCTTAGTGAACGTGGATTCTTAATCCGGGGTTCTTCCACCCTCGTCTTCACACCCAAGGTCAGGCAGCTGCCGCCGAGCTGCGAATTTGCACTTGGCTCACCTCCGATTTCACTGCTGAGATAACTTCTGCCAGGGACCTGTACGGCCGCAAATTGGGATGGAGAGGTCGTTGAACTGCGGGGGTAGGCAGCAAGTCCTCAAGAAAGAATCTTGCTGATCATCTTGAGATATATATCAGATATCAAGCTATGAGAAAAAAACTTTCACGGAGGGGTGAAAAACAAGAAAGATGAACGCAAGTTGTGTGAATCACTAATTGCTTGTACAATCCATCAGAATACGAGACCCCAAGAATCCAACACAAGAAACGCAGATCAATGGTAAGCCAATGCAAGCACACCATTTTCTGCGCCACGGTCCTGTCACGAGGACTGAGCACGAAAATTTGGGTCTGACCAATCGAGAGGCCTGGCTTAAAAGTTGCCACCCAGCTGATGAAACGCTCACAGCTTGGCGGCAGGAGCCTCAGCAGCCAAACCTCCACCTGAAAGCTCCTTGAGATCCAGCGCCTTAAACTTATCGCCCAACATGTACTTGGCGCAGTGCTTTCCAGCCACACGGCCGAAGACCACGCAGTCCAAGAGGGAGTTGCCACCCAGACGGTTGTTGCCATGTACACCACCGGCGACTTCGCCCGCAGCGTAGAGCCCGGGAATGGCTTTGCCAGACTGGCTGACCACCGCGGAGTCCTCATCAATCTCCAAGCCACCCATGCAGTAGTGAATGACAGGAGTGATGATTGCCTCACCAAAAAGTGCGCTGATATTCACACATTCCCCAAATATATACCAAATATATATAAATATATGCCAATATGGCAACCAAAAAAAGACGTGCCAGATCTGATTGATGGTAAAACGTTGTAATTATTATTGTTTAATCAGTTTTCATTGCAGAACCGAAACTTGTCTTGGACTTACCATATGTATGTGCATCTTTCTTTGGAAGTAGTTGAACTCAGCAGCGCTGTTATTCTGGAAACAATAGCACCGTGCCGGTGCCGTAGATCCATCAAAGTTGCAAGGTCCTTGTTTTAGTTGTGATCAGAGTTCCGGGCAACCCTGAAATTTTAAGTTTTGAAATGATTCGACAGGGCATCTGCTTTGGGCATCTTTGGGCTGGGTTAGGAAATCAAAAACAACTACTCCCCCTCCTTTTACCGTAGCGCAAAAAAAAAAAATGTTTTTTTTCTTCCACGTTAACTAAAGTGAGAATTCAGAGGTGGGGGGTAAACTGCAAATTTGTGTTCTTTGGATCTGAGCCCTTTTTTTTTTGGGCTAGTTCTTTTTGCCACGAGTTCCCCGGGAATCCTGGGCATTTGTTGATTAACGTAGAAATTTTGTTTTTTTCAAGATAAAGCTGGGAATGCCTCCATTTTTGAACAACCAACGATTGGAACGGATAACTTACATAGAAATTTGCTACTTGAAGTAGGATGTGGGCAGTGCCATGTTAGCGAGCGCTCGGTCCTCCTTTTACCGTAGTGCAAAAAAAAAACTTCCACGTTAACTAAAGTGACAATTCGGAGGTTTACTTCCATGTTAGTTGCAATGGGGGGGGGTAAACTGCAAATTTGTGTTCTTTGGATCTGAAGCCCTTTTTTTTTGGCTAGTTCTTTTTGCCACGAGTTCCCCGGGAATCCTGGGCATTTGTTGATTAACGTAGGAATTTTGAATTTTTCAAGATAAAGCTGGGAATGCCTCCATTTTTGAACAACCAACGATTGGAACGGATAACTTACATAGAAATTTGCTACTTGAAGTTGGATGTGGGCAGTGCCATGTTAGCGAGCGCTCGGTCCTCCTTTTACCGTAGTGCAAAAAAAACATCTTCCACGTTAACTAAAGTGACAATTCGGAGGTTTACTTCCATGTTAGTTGCAATGGGGGGGGTAAACTGCAAATTTGTGTTCTTTGGATCTGAGCCCTTTCTTTTTTGGCTAGTTCTTTTTGCCACGAGTTCCCCGGGAATCCTGGGCATTTGTTGATTAACGTAGAAATTTTGATTTTTTCAAGATAAAGCTGGGAATGCCTCCATTTTTGAACAACCAACGATTGGAACGGATAACTTACATAGAAATTTGCTACTTGAAGTAGGATGTGGGCAGTGCCATGTTAGCGAGCGCTCGGTCCTCCTTTTACCGTAGTGCAAAAAAAAAAACTTCCACGTTAACTAAAGTGACAATTCGGAGGTTTACTTCCATGTTAGTTGCAATGGGGGGGGGTAAACTGCAAATTTGTGTTCTTTGGATCTGAGCCTGAGCCCTTTTTTTTTGGCTAGTTCTTTTTGCCACGAGTTCCCCGGGAATCCTGGGCATTTGTTGATTAACGTAGAAATTTTGATTTTTTCAAGATAAAGCTGGGAATGCCTCCATTTTTTAACAACCAACGATTGGAACGGATAACTTACATAGAAATTTGCTACTTGAAGTAGGATGTGGGCAGTGCCATGTTAGCGAGCGCTCGGTCCTCCTTTTACCGTAGTGCAAAAAAAAATCTTCCACGTTAACTAAAGTGACAATTCGGAGGTTTACTTCCATGTTAGTTGCAATGGGGGGGGGTAAACTGCAAATTTGTGTTCTTTGGATCTGAGCCCTTTCTTTTTTGGCTAGTTCTTTTTCCCACGAGTTCCCCGGGAATCCTGGGCATTTGTTGATTAACGTAGGAATTTTGAATTTTTTCAAGATAAAGCTGGGAATGCCTCCATTTTTGAACAACCAACGATTGGAACGGATAACTTACATAGAAATTTGCTACTTGAAGTTGGATGTGGGCAGTGCCATGTTAGCGAGCGCTCGGTCCTCCTTTTACCGTAGTGAAAAAAAAACTTCCACGTTAACTAAAGTGACAATTCCGAGGTTTACTTCCATGTTAGTTGCAATGGGGGGGGTAAACTGCAAATTTGTGTTCTTTGGATCTGAGCCCTTTTTTTTTGGCTAGTTCTTTTTGCCACGAGTTCCCCGGGAATCCTGGGCATTTGTTGATTAACGTAGAAATTTTGATTTTTTCAAGATAAAGCTGGGAATGCCTCCATTTTTGAACAACCAACGATTGGAACGGATAACTTACATAGAAATTTGCTACTTGAAGTAGGATGTGGGAAGTGCCATGTTAGCGAGCACCAATTGGGCACCATTGATTTCGAAAGGTTGCATCCTCAATCGCCCGGACATGACAGGGGTGAGAAGATAGATGCAAAGAAGAAAAAAAATGATGTGGCGGTCAGTCTGTGGGTTTTAGGGATCGCCCTAGAAGGATGTATTCAACATCAGGGGAGAACATGTTAACATAGAAGTTGCCAACCTGATGTCTGGACCCTCAAGTTACTTCCACGTAAGGGTTTTTAGTCTCAGTTTTCACACTTCCATGATGAATATGTTACGGACATATCTGATGAGCTACTTCCATGTAAGAGATTCACGGTCAGTTTTTCTGCATTTGCTGGCCCGGTGGCCCAGTTTCACTTTTTCCCCAGGAATTGGACGTAAACGACTTCCATGTAAACCGACAGGTTTTTCCATCCTGACTTCCACGGTAAAAGGACCCGGTGTATCTCAAGGTCAAAGAAGCAACTGAAGCAACCCCCCAAAACCGCGTGTGGCGTTTCATGATGCATTCATCTCTTCCAGGTCGTTTCAAGGTACTGTGCGCAGCACTCCGTTGTTGGAACTTAGACTTGGCCTCCAACAAATTGCACGAATCAATGAACAAAACAACACTTCACCATCCAGAATCTAGGAAAATATGGCCATTCTAAGGCAAGTTTTTCAGCCAAATTGCTGAGTAGAAAGGCTCGGTCTTCACTTTTTTGCCATCGATGATGTTGTGGAAGAATTTTTTGCCAGCACCTGTCAAGCCGCTGGGTTCATCCCATGTCTTGCCTGATGGGTAGGCCGGGAATGGCCCGCCCTCAGGATCCTTCTCCTGCTTCTTGGCAGACTCGAAATGGCTTTGATGAGTGGCCTGCCGCCGCAACAAGGATCCAGTGCCAGGGTTTAAACGGCGGTATAATGTGATATTAGGGCCACCCTATCAGGGGGACCGGGTTACTTAAAAACATATTTTTTTAAAAAATACGTCTTATAACTCATGGGACTATATGCTATATATCATTATGTTGTTTAAAATTAAATGTTTCTTATAGGATTTTATAAACCTTCTAAATTAAGGTTCCCATTCACCTCCATCGGCCTCCAGAGTGCTCAAAGGGATGTTCATGTCCTTGCAAAGTGCCTCCCCGCTCTCGTAGAACTTCATCACACCACGTCCCGTGTAGTGCTTGCAATGCCAAATGATCTCATCGCTGGCGGCCTTGTTCAAGATCAGTCCTCACTTCTGGTTCTGACATAACACATGATAAAAACTAAAAACATAGGCCCTCCGGTGATCAAACATTTACAGCAAATGGAGATTTTAGTTTTAATGCGAAAATAATTAATATATAAATGGAAGATTTTTTTGCCATGCAGATTAACAAACGGTAACAATAACCAATTCTAAACACATACCATTTTCAATTTCAAGATCGATCCTGGTCTCTTCAAGGGATTGTTTTTTTTGGAAAATAATCAATTACCAAGGTTTCTGCCCTAAGAGTTAAATGATGTCGGCTATTTTTGGGGTCGATGACTGGTATACCATAGTCGATTCCTTGCCTATTACTCGGTCAGTTCCTCAGATTAAACCTCTTTTTTTTCCTCAGTAGGGACGTCTACTCTACTTTGGGCTATCGCTTGATGGCATTATACTTTCTTCCTACTGCTGCATTTTGAAGACAAGCACAGTCTCAAAGCTTCTGCGTCTTGGGGGTTGTAGGGCCCGTGTCATTTGTGGTTGGCGATGCGACGTTATCATTTCTAGCATGCCTCATTTTGACCACCCATCCGTTGGAAGCAGCCAAGGAGGCCTGGGAATCATGTCAAAAGATTCATTTATCTGTGAAACATGTTTTTTCATAAGATTGTATTTGAGCAGAGTCTTTCGTGAAGGGCTGGGTAGGGTCTGATGGTTCTATGTTGATATTGCGTAGGTGTTTTGTGCGGAAAGGATGCAATTTAGGGATAGGGAAATTCATTCTAGACCCAGTGAATCCCATCAGGTAAATATTTTGTCCTTTCTTTGGGGTCCAACAGTTTCATTCAGTTCCATGTAGTTTCTGAAAACATTTAAGAAATGGATATCTTATGATATATCCTTCTATCGGGTTTCATGTTAAATTGTCCCTTAGCTCTGATGGGTCTATGTTGATATTGCGTAGGTGTTTTCCTGGGAAAGGATACAACAAGAGCTAGGGAAATCCATTTTAGACGCAGTGAATTCCATCAGGTAAGTGAAATAGTTGTGATGACGTGGATTAAAGTAGAGTAGACGTCCCTGCTGCATGTTTGGGCATGTCGCAGCTAGAACCAGGTATTTGACTGATTTGACCCTTCCGACTTCACTCTGAAGCTTTTGAGATTTGGCTGGAAAATCTCCCCGTCCTTCACTGCGAAGGTCTAACATGATCCCATCCAGAGGGTGCGAAGGTCTAACATGATCCCAAAAGGCAAAGGTCTAACATGGTGTTACCAGTCCATACTTATATATAGTCAAAAAGTCTTAAGTGATCCCAGGCCAAGGTCTAGAGTGAAAAAGTGACCATTCTAGACCTTTAAAATTATGATCCCTAGGCAAACCATCCAAGACCTTGGTGCAACTGAGGATATACCTGATGCGTTTATTATTTGCAGGGGGCAGGCTAGTATTAGGGGGAAAGGATTACCTTAAATAACCAGATGGTAGAAGTTTTTTTCTATCAAAAGTTCCCTTTAACCAAGTTTGGCATTGCTGGCCTAAACCCCACGCTAAATAATCAAGTGATGGTTCCTACAATACATTTCTGCAAGACATGGGGATGGTCTTTTCCTGTTGTTTCATTGGATTCACAACGCTTTCTTTTGGCAAATCCAAAATGAATGGAACAGCAAACTCCTAGATTCCTAGCAAAATAGAAAACTAACTATGTAGAACATGCAATTGCACCGTTTTCATTTTTTCCGTGATTCATTCAACTTTCAAACTTTCCAATCACTGTGGACCCAAGTCGCTAAATGGAGGCTTCGACTTCCACATTTCTCCAGTGACGTAGTCGCGCCGTCCCAGCTCGTTGCAGAAGCGCTGGCCCTCCGCGTTGATCACCAGGCCACCCACGCCGCGCAAGGCCTCAGCAGCCAGGAATTTGATCTTGGCCTCGGGGTCATCAGGCTCTACCAAGCCTCAGGGCAAGGTAGATGAAGAAACCTTCCCGGTCATGCCATTCACCAACCATAGAAAGGGGTCCTTTTACATCATCCCAAATCAGGGCAAACCCAAGTTCATGAACCTCTGGTGGAAACTATTGGGTTTACCTCACCAATTAGGGTGTAAAGATGAAAATTGCAAAGTAAAACAAAGCACCAAAGCAAGTGTCTAGGAATGTGATGTGGAATGTCAATCAACAAGCGCAACAAGGTACCGGCACTATGGCAGTGCCCACTGAGATCTGGAGCTCGCAGTTGAGGCCCGGCAGTGCCCACTGAGATCTGGAGCTCGCGGTTGAATCTGGAGCTCGCGGTTGAGGTCCGGCAGTGCCAACTGAGATTCGGCCAACTGAGATTTGGAGCTCGCAGTTGAGGTCCAGCAGTGCCCACTGAGATCTGGAGCTCGCAGCTGAGGTCCGGCAGTGCCCACTGAGATCTGGAGCTCGCAGTTAAGGAAGAAGGAGGAAGGAGGAAGGACGGAAGTAACCCCGATAAAAACTAGAGACCATCACCTGGCTTGTGGGGAAAACAATCCGAAATTTCGACAAAACAGACCATGTGTGTAGCCGTGGGTAAAGACCGAAGCCTGTCGGGTGAACCTGCACCCATTCCAAGTCAATGCTGCGCGCACCAATTGCTTCGCCCATCTTGATACCATCTCCGGTGGTGTGGTCACCGTTGGTGGTGGGAAGGTGCAAAAGGTCGGGCCGGTACTTGGCCAACAAGGAATCCTTGGTGATTTGGAGCACTGAGCACTGATAAGGGGATTTAATGAGATTTGATGGGATCTAGTGGGATTTGATTGAATGGGAATCAATAGGGATTAACGCCTTACGTTCCGGCAATTTGACAGTTTGCGAACTGCAAATCATCATGCTTAATAGGTAAACCATCTATAGATAGCCTGTTTGCATAATTATCTTTAATTACGGGAGGGTATGTTTGGGGAACCTAATGATCATTGATGGTTTGCAAAAAATTAAAGATGCAAATTTTGCAATTAAGTTTCAACATCACAAATCAGGATGGCACTGGAGGAAAAGTCCACACATGAGCTCCCATAGATGCTGCTTGTTTGCCATTATTTTTGGCAAGCCGATTGGTCAAACAATATCCTTTCTCCCCCCCACATCTTCATATTCCGCATAACTGGCACATATGCCAACAATATTTGGGCCATATTCCGTGGGCCTTGTGAGAAACTATGCGTTCTTTCATTTTCTTTCCATCCCCACATATCCCGAACACACAAACGGCAGTACAACCCCCCCAAGAAATCCTCAACGAGATAAGCGTAACGCAACCGCCCAAGAGTCATCCGTGAAGTCGGCGCCAAAGCCGCCGGTGGCCAAAATTACCGGGCCTTCCTCCGTGAAGTCCTTGCCCTTCTTCTCGTAAGTCACACCGCAAACAGCTCCAGCCTTGGTCAACAGCTGCTTGACCTTGGCCTTGTTGATGATACGCGCCAGGTCACTGCGCTCCGAAATCCTGGGTGATTCGCGGGTTTTTGGACCCAAGAGCCATGAAACACAGGACACACACACACACACTATAGACAAGAACTGGATCATTAGAGTGATCCGTTGGGAACTGAATCCCATCACATGCATTTAAATTGGAAAAATGACCTCTAAGGTAGATCTCGATAGGGTTCTTGGCTTAGCCCTTCGCCATATCCGAAAAGAATACCATGTGGACCATGTTTGAAATAACGTCGAAGAAATTCTCAAATTGCGGCAACCATGTAAAAACGAAAAGACTGAAAAAACAATGCAGGTACAAGTGATTGATCAGACCACTCATCCACCGAAATGCCAAAGCTTCGTTGGACTAGATAGGGAAATCGGCTCCAGTCCCCCTGCTAGAAGCGGAAGTTGTACATCTATACAGATGTTACACACGACACACACACACACACACACACGCCCGGCCGGAGCCGGGTCAACCTTGAACGGCAAGAGGAAGAAAAAAGCGGACACAAACGACGGGCAAAAGGCCAAAACAGCGCAGGGGGGGGGAAGGAAAGAAACAGACTTCCAGAACCAAACTACACGGCGAAATGGCCCTCACCAACGCAGAGCAGACACTTAAACCCCACAACACATTCCAGAGGGGCACGGGGGAAAATTTAGGGACCAAATGGGGAACTAGTTGATGAAGAGGAGTGAAAAACAACAAAAGTTAAAATAATGGGATTCAGTTCAATCCTAGAAGTTCGTGCGTGACTCCCTCAAACGGGGCTGTAGTCGATCAAGCCACATAGGCAACAGAGGCAGTAAACAGCTGTTCAATTTCAAACGAATTAGGTGCACAATATGTTTGACCTCACCAGACGCCAAAGAATACCATACCTGCAGGAAGCGGACATGCCTGTTGCCGTCAGGATCGCTTGTCATGCAGTGATGCGGAAAGCTTGAGCGCAAACAGAAAAAAGTTTCTGGCTGTTCGGTGTGGCTCCATTCAAGAAGAAGTGCAAGTTCCAAGGGTTCACAAGGACAGCAGAAGCGGCGGGGCAAAATGGCTGACAACAGTAAGGCCGGCAGTTTCACTCTACTTAAAACGAATTGCTGAGTTAAAAGTGTCAATTCGGACGTCCAGTCAGTCAACATTCACCTTAAGAAAGGTTCCCTCAGGTGGGTCCATGGCACCGTGCTGGAGCCACCATGGAAATCACACTAGACAAGAACTGGATCATTAGAGTGATCCGTTGGGAACTGAATCCCATCACATGCATTTAGATTGGAAAAATGACCTCTAAGGTAGATCTCGATAGGGTTCTTGGCTTAGCCCTTCGCCATATCCGAAAAGAATACCATGTGGACCATGTTTGAAATAACGTCGAAGAAACTCTCAAATTGCGGCAACCGTGTAAAAACGAAAATACTGCTGGGGTTCTCGGCTTAGCCCCTTGCCACAAAGACTGAGAAAAACAATGTAGGTACAAGTGGTTGATCAGACCACTCATCCACCGATATCCACCGAAATGCCATAGCTTCGTTGGACTGGATAGGGAAATCGGCTCCAGTGCCCCTGCTAGAAGCGGAAGTTGTACGTCTATACAGATGTTACACACACACACACTAGAAAAGAACTGGATCATTGGAGTGATCCATCGGGAACTGAATCCCGTAAAACCTTAACCTGACCTGATATGATATATATATATATATATAGAGGACTACGGTGGCCACCAGCTGCGACTTAAATGCGATGCACCACCGAAGTCCTGCAGGTACGTTTTCACGGGTCTCGGGAAGGTGTCTTCGTTGGTCACCGACCCCCCCGGGACCCCGGTGACCCCCCGCTATATGAAAAAAGAAATGTCACAGAAGTTTTACATCTATTCAGATGTCACACACACACGTGTATATAATATTACGTATGTATGCATGTATTTGTATGTATAATATATATATATATAAGTAATGTCTGTGCGTGTGTAGCATCATGATTACAGGGATAGAAATAGATTAGATAATTATGTAGAGGTAGGCAAGCAATGACATCAGCTGGCTCTTGACTAAAATAATGAACAAAATAACATGATAAAACCCCAAGGCCAAGAATCTTCTCCACCATTTGGATCAGAGCATAGGTGATGGTCATTCCCGGGAAACGCTCCTTGCCACGATGAGTGCGGGGAGCAGAATGACCACCGAGACGAGCCAAGAGTGACATGTCCAAGTCGAACTTGTCCACCAACCAGTCTACCTTGGCCAAGCCAGCACGTGGGGCAACCACTTGGCTGAAATCACCATGTGTACTACTACCTGTACCTACCCCCTGGAAATTATCTTCATGGCTTGCTGGAACATGTCCCTATTTAATATATAGAGTTTCACATATTCTAATGCCTACATTATTAATAAAAGCCACAAATGGCTGGTCATTCGGTCGGACCATTCGGATCTGATCAGTCACAAGGGCGATTGGAAAAACCATCGCTACGCCTTTGTAAACAACCATCATCAATGTCATCAATACCCTCCGGTTATTTAACAGCTAGCCATGGAAAGATCCACCCATGCTACTAATAGGTAAACCATCTATTTCTATGGCCCATTTTCCATGGCTGTGTTAAATAACCAGATGGTAATCCATTTGGAATTGGATTCTGTTTTCAAAGGGAACTTACATCCTACATCCAGACCATCTCCGTGTTGATTCTTTGTTGGTTCAGCATGGCAAGAGCCGCTGACTATCACGACCGTGCATATGTCCAAGATCTGAACCTATCAATGTATGTGGTTCATTCATCATGTACATCCATCTCTCATCAATCTTGTTTTCCAAAACAACCTTGAGATCTGGCACGTTTATAATCGGCATTTAGAGTTAAATCAAACAAGAGTTAGACCATGTGAAATGCGTCATCTTGGTTTTGATTCCCCCCTACCCCCCCCACGAAAAAACGAAGAGAAAACGTCAGCCGCTCCGAGGCCTAGGCCGAGGCACGTCAGGGCCGCTGTTTCCACAGAGCACCTTCACCAGCTCTGGCTTCTTGGCTCCACCCTTCAAGGTATCAGAAGTAAAGAGCTGAACGGAGTCCTCCACCTGAGGCTCTTTTTCTGGTGGTTTTTTGATACCAACAAATTGCCGATAATATGATCCAGACACACACACACACACGCACATGTATGTATATGTATATGTATATATATATATATATGGATGGGCCCTAGGTTCTCCGATAGATGATAGGTGTTGATGATCAAACATGTGAAAAATGTGCGTTTCGCCAAAGCGAAACTAGCATTTTGACATGAAGCAGTGTTATGTGGAATTGGGCATCAAAACGGATGAACAAAAATCTCGTCCGTTTTGAGCGCTTACAAAGTTGTGATTTACTTGATATGGGTTAAGAGGGTATAGTTGTAAATCCCCTTTTGAATACAGCACAGATACGTTGCGATGGTATGCAACATATGTTGAAACATCTCATTTTACCCTGTGTTTTCAGAAGCAAAATAAAGGTAGCCTTATTTTACATGGTATTTGCACTACATTTGAATGTTGCTTGAAAGTGAGGAACCCTGACAGTCAGCATGTTTTTTGTTTTTTATCTTTCGTGCATGTGTTTTCATTGTATTTTCCCAATCGAAACTCATGTGTGGTGAATTTTCCATGGTATTTCCCATATGGATTCAAGATATTGTTTTTGTTTCGACATCTGTGCTCATGACGAGTTTTTTTGTGGTAATTTATGATATGATCACTGATATTGTTAATGATCATCTGCAGCGGAGCATCAACAACGTGATCAACATTCCACGAAAGATATAATACACCCCACCCCACTCCACCCCCCACACCACCCTGCCCTGCCGCGGAGCATGATACAACGTGATGATCTGCAGCGGAGCATATCAACAACGTGATCAACATTCCACGAACGATAATACACCCCACCCCACCCCACCCCCCACCCCACCCCGCCCTGTCGCGGAGCATGATACAACGTGATCATCTGCAGCGGAGCCACAACGTGATCAACATTCCACGAACGATAATACACCCCACCCACCCCACCCCCCACCACCCCCCCACCACCCCACCCTGCCGCGGAGCATGGATACAACGTGATCATCTGCAGCGGAGCATCAACAACGTGATCAACATTCCACGAACGACTCATCCACCCACCCCCCACCCCACCCCCCTGCCGCGGAGCATGATACAACGTGATCATCTGCAGCGGAGCATCAACAACGTGATCAACATTCCACGAAAGATATAATACACCCCACCCCACTCCACCCCCCACACCACCCTGCCCTGCCGCGGAGCATGATACAACGTGATGATCTGCAGCGGAGCATATCAACAACGTGATCAACATTCCACGAACGATAATACACCCCACCCCACCCCACCCCCCACCCCACCCCGCCCTGTCGCGGAGCATGATACAACGTGATCATCTGCAGCGGAGCAACAAACGGTGTGCGGTCATCGGAGAAACTGGGTCCCCGAGGGTATATATATATGTGCGTGAATAGATGAATAAATATGTATATATATATATATTATATAATTATATATATATATACAGATGCAGGTCAGTTGAGGGTCATCACCACAAGGATGGAAGCATACAAACTACAATTGACTATCTTGGGGGTCCTGACTCCTAAGATAGTCACTTTACAAAAACGGGAGGTTGATTAATTAATAAACATGGGGAACCGGAAAAAACCTCCAAACACCAGCGCAGCAATTGGAACAGTTCCAAATATTCCAAAAGAAAAGAAACAAACATAGGGATTGCAACAGCAGGGAAATGATGAAAAGTATACATCCTATATATTCCGATATGCTATATCCATCTTTATCCATCTATATCCATCTATATCCATCTATATCCATCTATATCCACCTATATCCATATAACAGCATTTTGGCATGACAAGCACTAGCCCTTGCATCCGCCTTTTTGGCTTTCTGGGTCTGTGTCTCTGCCCCATTGATGCCACTGGTGGCTTTGGTGGAATTTCCACCGCAGAAGGCGCTTTTGTCCACCAGGACCACCTTGCCCCCGCACTCCAGCACCGTATTGGCTGCGGAGACGCCCGCCAAGCCACCACCCACTACGATCGCTTGCGCCATCTGGACGAGCGACGAGCTTCGAAATTGGAAGATGTTGGTTTTTTGATGGTTTGAGATGGGGCAAAATGGCCTAAGCCAAAACGGCTAAACGGCTAGAGTCGGCTAGAGCTGCTTCAGGGTCGGATTGGGACTTGCCTGAGGGCCAGACAGTTCATCAGTTTTAGGAATGGATCATGTCATTTTCATGGCTGCTCTCTTGGATAATTACCTCTCTGTTTCAGGTGAGTATTCTTATCATTTAACCTATGTAACTAACGGCTATGGCAAGAGATGGCAACAATTGAAGCACTGAACTGGCCATGTTCATCCATTTTCCAGGTTGAGCTAGTGTTTGGATGCTTCGTTAACAAAACATTTCCGGACACCTCCAGGAGACCAAAAACATCCAAAAACCACCACGGCGCCTGAGAGCGGGCCCTGCATCAGAGCTTTTGGCTTGAGTGAAGAAAGGGAACTCCTGCGGGGGGGCCTACCCTGGGATGGGGAAGGCTCGTGATGGAAGATTGGAATATGTAACACACAAACACAGACACAGGCGCACACACACACACACATAGCTATTATCTCGCCCTCCATCGCCTTCTCAAGGAGTTCAGCACACATATCTCCAAATATACACACACACATATATATATATATATATATATATATACATACATACATATTGGCTATCTAAAGCTATCTATAGCTATCTATAGCTATCTAAGGCTATCAACTTTCTATCTATATATCTATCTGATCCATCTATCAAATCAATCTCATCTTATCCCATCCATCTAATCTAATCTAATCTAATCTTATCTAACCTATCTATCTCTCTACCTACCTACCCATCTATCTAGCTATCTATCTATCTGTACATCCATCCATCTATACATATGGCGTACTTTTGGGCACCTTCTATGGGCAAACCAAGAGACCGCAGTGTCTCTGAGTCAGCCCAGGCACGTCGTCATCGCCGGCACTAGGTTGGCCACCCAGAGTACCACCCTGGCAGGGACAAGTCCAAGACATCCTTGAGGTTGTCAATCAATACGTCTATCAATTATATCTATCACTTATCAGCTCATCTTCTTATCTACTCTTCTCAATTCATCTGTTGACACATTGGTTTATGGGAAAGCCATGGAAAGCCTACAGGAAACCATTGTTTTCTCCATCAGATATACGGTTTTCCTGCAAAATGTCCCGAAAACCAATCCAATGAATCATCTTGTTTTGCTCATGTCTTGCATGTGAACATGACTGACATCAATCAAGTCGAATCATGGTGTGCTGCTAGCCCATGAATGATCCCTTTTGAGCACCGGCCCGTATGTACCCATATCCTTATCCGGTTGATCGTAGCAACACAAACTTAGGACATGTCTATCAATTGGGTCCATCGTCATATTTTTATGGATGTCACAAAAATTATAAAACGGACGATTCTTGAAACCACTATTCAAAAAATGGCTGGCTTTGGGGAGCAACAATTCACCAACCAAGCCGCTGTGTTCCCCAAAAAGTGAATTCAATAGGATTCGCTAGATATGTAATTTACATTAATTTACAGTATGTTGTTGGAATGGGCAAAAAACATAGTCAGCCAGCCTGCATTTCTGGCGCTTAGAGTTCAAGGCATATGGATATGGAAAAAATACATGAAAAGAAGCAACAGTCAGTGCATGAAAGAGATTCAAGAATTCAACAGCATCAACTTGACACCTGACATGAAACAACAAAAACCATAAGAAAACCTGAGAAAAATGTGATTTGAACCGATTTGAACCCATCTGAACAGTGCGGATCCTCCCATTTTTTGCATGGTGAAAAAGGCAAAGGACACCATCAGCTTGTGACCTGCGATGGGGAACTCACCTCGTTGAGGTATTTCTCCAAAGAGTTGGTCGCCTTGTGCAGCACCTCACGAGCACGCGAGCGGCCCGGTTTGTTTGGATGTTTGGATGGCTTGCACTGGACATGGGACATGGGAGTTTTACACTTCAAGGCTTTTTGTGCGGTTTAAATTGTGTAAAACTAGCTTTAATTATAGTCATAATTATGGTTCATCATGGGTTTGAAATGGCATGAAATGGCACAGGCTTGGCATGGCTGGGCGGGATAGGTCAGTGACGCGTCAATTTTGGTTGCTATTCCAGGGTGAACACCTGGCACCCTGTGGCCCTTCAAGATCTGCCAAGCAGCATCCACTGCAGCTGCACCTGTCGGAACTGAGATGTTTGTATGCACACACGGCCAGGGTATGTTAAATAAGAAACAGCAGAAACAAAGAAGATCAAACGAGTATACATGATTATACATGGCTAGTTCAACCACTTATGCTTGCACTTTGACAAGGTTTGACATTCCTTCCTCCAATCATTGTCAAGGGTCATGACAATGGAGAGTCCAACTGCTGTCACTAGAACAGATCTTTTTTCGCTTATGTATCCTAGCTGAGGGCCCCAATTCGAACAGCCATGTCATCCTGGGTGTTCAACCTATGGAACTTCCACCAAACTGACTGAACTTAAAGCCGCCTTGTGCGATGCTGGTGGCTAAATGCTTGTGTTCCTTCTCCCTCAAACTTCTGGCCGTGGCTACCACCCAGTCAACACGGGCGATGGCTTTCCTTAGTGACTATCAGGGCAGAGGGTTTCAGCAGCTCGGCTGGAGGGACTGTATCCCATCCAATTTGTTTACAGATTTCTTGGGGTATCCAATTGTGACCCGTACCCAGCTTCAAGTTATATTTGACATGCGTTCAAAATGTTCAAATCATCAGCTGGACCACTGGAAGATTGTGGAAGAACATGTGCCTTCTGGACCACGCACTCATCGTTGGAGCTAAACGCATGTGATCATACTGGAAGCGCTGTAAGGATGTCACTTTCATCTGCAATCTGGAGCATTGCACAGGGGTTGCCATTGCCCCAAGCCAGATGAACTAATCACTGGTCGCCCGTAAGCTTTTCTTAAGGAGACACCACCACTTGCGATATCTTGTTCCCCATCCTCTGACCCTGCGAGATCTGTGAGAGCTCCGGGATTCGCACCTTTTCTGCCGATTTCTGCCTCGCCACCTTTCCAGCTACATCTTGCTACGCCCCAAATGCAGCCCGTGTCGTCTATCGACCGCTCGCATCAGGTCCAGGTCCAGGCCGTGGTGGGCCGTTCAGTCGCCGGTGGCGTCGGCATCGTCTCCGGGCGATCCAGTGGGAGCCAGGGCCAGGTCGGCCAGGTCCACCAGGTCCACCAGGTCCACCAGGTCCACCAGGTCCACTGCCGAAGAGATTGGGATTAAAACCAGAAGTTTTTCAAGAGGCGCCCCCGGGGCGGTGGTCGATCACCAGAAACCAGTGCACTGAGCTGCCTGAGAAACTCAGCGAATTCAAATGTCCGAAAGTGGGACATGGGATGACATGGGCATGGTGGCATGGCTTGTGTTTGACTTTCATTCACTTTCATTAACATATAGAGGTTTAACAGATTTTACTGTAAAAGCAAGTTGGCAAGGAAAATGTGGAATCAGTCTCCCAAGTTTGTCCACTTTGGGAAAATGGCCATGTCCCAAAGATCAAGCCACGGTTAACTTATCCTCCAGCCGACTTTCCGCCTTCCACAAAAACCAGTAAAAAATACATGGGGAGAACGATTGTCCAAAAGATGCTAGTCATGGCCAGGTTTCTTCAAGAGACCCTGGTAGGGTGAGCATGTCCTTAGTGCTGCTCCAGCTAGCTGGGCTTTGGTTCAAAACATAGACCACACGGTGTCCATTCATCCAACACACACACACATATATGTATATAATATTATATATGTATATATATATATACCCAACATGTATATATATATATGTATTATACATATAGGATGACACAAGCATATTTCACTGAAAAATCATGTCGGCAGGCATGTACATGCACACCCGTATATGCAGTTCTTCAACTATGCAAGTCTTGATCTGAAGGAAAGTGCCACCTGCCGCAGCCACCAACCCCACCATACCATCCCTACCATCTCCCATTTGTTCAAAAAGCCCAGCCACGGGTGACTGGGCTGCAGGTAATCAAACCAACAGGACACAGCTCGGACATTGTCGTGTAGTACTTTGAGCTTTGGCCAGTCATTGCGAAGGGCATCAAGATAATTGTAGAGCTTGTCCCCCACATCGTCCATCGGCCACTTCACCTAGTACATATTACCCCCAAGAAACCACATAAACCACGGTTCAAAATAGGATATGAACTCCAATATTTTGGACATACAATGGGGGGTTTAACATTAAGGGCATGGGATTACAATATTGAACCCACATGAAGAGCAAATCAACTTCGGAGCAGATACATTATTCTGACCTCTCAATAAGCAAAGTTATGCAAAGCTTCTTTGGGCAATTCAAGATTCGCCAATTTGTCTCTTGGATCCTTATCATGCTTATCTTCAACAGTTGCAATTCTGAATGTCTCCACGAAACATCTGGATGGCGAGCAGTGGAAAAGGCATTCAAATCGCATTTCCACAAAGTGGCGCAGGCTTAAAGATGTTTAAAGATCCACCAGACTTAGCAGAGGCGAGTTTGTAATAGTTTTTTTCACAACTCCGAGGTGCTGAGAAGGTCTCCCAGGACACAATGTCCTGGAAGGGAAGTTCGACTTCATCACTCAGCAAGACCGGGATACATCCAGCATGGATTGCTTCAAAAAGACGCACAGTCCACCAGCCTCGACCTAGGAGCTGGCGCAACGATGCAAAAAACGTATGTTGGGCAACTGTTGCAACCGTTGAACCATTGGTTTTTGCTTGGGAAACAAATGAAACATCCGAGAAGGATTTCGACCTTGGTTGTACGGTTTGGGAAAAAATAACTGGTCAAACCTGTTCTCAAGCTGACTCACGCCACAAGAATCCAACTCAAACAGCCTGTCAATTCTTCCAACCATCGATTCATAGCAGCTATATCCAGCAATTGCTGCAGTTGCGAGCCAAGCAGCCTCGAGGTACCAGGCAGAAGTGTGAGTTTCCCATGAGAAAACTATAACCTGGGTGGTGGTTTCAGGCAAGTTCCGAAGAAGATGTTGGTCATCGGTTATGGGTGGTTATGGTCATTTGGTTCATCATTCCAATGGCATCCTGAAAAACATCCACCTATGACATGTTTTCGGAGCCTTAAAGCCCTAAAAAGAACAAATTACTTTACTTCGTGTGATCCCCACCATGACATTTATACATTTTGTTACTGGCAAATCTTCTGGCATTCTATCTGACATATTTTCTGGCATTCGATCTGGCATTCTATCTGGCATATCTTCTGGCATTCTACCTGGCATATCTTCTGGCAGATGTTCTGGCATATCTTCTGGCAGATGTTCTGGCATATCTTCTGGCATATCTTCTGGCATATGTTCTGGCATATCTTCTGGCATTCCATCTGGCATTCTATCTGGCATATCTTCTGGCATATTATCTGGCAAATCTTCTGGCATTCCATCTGGCATTCTATCTAGCATATCTTCTGGCATATTATCTGGCAAATCTGCTGGCATTCTATCTGGCAAACATTCTGGCACTTTATCTGGCATATCTTCTGGCATTCTAGCTGACATTCTATCTGGCATTCTATCTGGCATACCTTCTGGCATTCTATCTGGCATATCTTCTAACATTCTATCTGGCATATCTTCTGGCACTCTATGTGGCATATCTTTTGGCGTGGATACTCGCGGTTGAGGTCCGGCAGGGAACACTGGGCGTGGATGGTCGTGGTTGAGGTCCGGCAGGGAACACTGGGCGGGGATACTCGCGGTTGAGGTCCGGCAGGGAACACTTGGCGTGGATCCTCGCGGTTGAGGTCCGGCAGGGAACACTGGGCGTGGATGGTCGTGGTTCAGGTCCGGCAGGGAACACTGGGCCCGGATACTCGCGGTTGAGGTCCGGCAGGGAACACTGGGCGTGGATGGTCGTGGTTGAGGTCCGGCAGGGCACACTGGGCGTGGATGGTCGTGGTTGAAGTCCGGCAGGGAGCAGGAGGAGAGGAGACGAGGAGAGGAGAAGAGAGGAGAGGAGGAGGAGAAGGAGGACGAGAAGAGGGGGACGAGGAGGACGAGGAGGACGAGGAGGACGAGGAGGAAGCAACTGACATAAAATCTAACAACCCTCACCTGGCAGGTGGGGAAAAAAGGAACAACCGCCCAGCAGCGTATGCTGGAGCTTCCCACATCTGCCCCTCTCTTGTATTGATATGCCTTGATGATTTTGGAGCGAACCGTCTCGTTCACTTCCAAGTAACCTTGCGGGGCGAAGGCAGCAACCTGACACGACAAATACCCTCTGGTAAACAAACATAGCTATTGAAAATTGTTATTTATAGTTGATTTACCCATTGAAAGTTGAGATGTTCCATAGTTTTTTGTATGTTGAGGGTATTGGATTGGAGTTTTGATCATCTTTCGTGAGTTGTAGAGGCTGCCATCATTCGGACTTTGAATGCCCCCAATCGTCTCTATGAAACATGCCGACTTCAGAAGAATTACTTGGGTCAATCCGCCAAGAAATTGTCTCAGCCCACTCTCACCCTTCATATCTTCATCTTCACCCATTTCTTCATTAATGTTGGAAAAGCAAGAATAAAACCACCTATATGTTGGTCCAGGATGGTTTATACCACCCATAAAAATGCCTTTGTCCTTGGGCATGGTGGATCCTGCCAATTCTTCACGTTTAAATATTATCAACTATTCACCTTCCCGCGGGACCTAGCCCCTCACCGGAACACCTTCCCGCACATCCTTGGAGGCCGATTCGGCATGTTCACCGCGCCAGGTGAGCAGCAAGCTTCGATCTTCGGGTTTGCGATTGAAGGACTTCAAGCGATGCGATTCCGTGGCGGCAACCGCCTGGAAAAGTATGACCAATCTTGGATGCAAATGGATACAGCGGATACAGTAAAGTAGTAATTAACTCAACTCAAATGCGGGATACAAATATATATATATATACTTTAGTGTGTATATGTCCTCCAACCTCCGCAAATGGAAGACAAAAAAATATGTTCCTTTCCATTAACCTACCAAAATTGCCCACATAAGATCCCAAAAAAAAGAAATGCAACCATGGGTGAAGATCACAGCAATGAACCGTCTGCCCCCAAAATGCTGATTCAGGCCAGCTTTTAACCCAAAAACATTGCCACATTGATTCTTACAATTATCAAATGTCTGGGACGCTGGGACCTCGCACGCACACACAGACATCAAAGTGTAGAGACCGTATACCTGAAAGATCCTGAAAGCAATTAATTAAACATAATCACCTACCATTGGCTCGACTTGAAAAGCTAGCATCTGTAGGCACCACTACCATTCCCCCAAGTGATCTCTTGCGAAAAAACAATGGGTTTCAGTGTCTCAAAATCATTCAAAATTGGGACTGTTGCCAACCCTTCCGATCAAGAAGCAGAAGGGATCACGATGTCATACCCTAGGCGGAAGCAGTCTTGACCTCACAGGCAGCGAATCCTTGGACATGATGTTCTAAGCAAACCATAGCACATATCCAGATCTGAATAGTTAAATGCCTGCCCCAATTTCTGGCCCAAATCTGACCTATCAACATATTTCCAAGGCGTTGACCACTATACATATAACGACCATTTCAATCCATTTCAGGTGCAGCTGATGTTTGACTTCCACCAGTACTATCACTAACCCCCAAAAATGTGGCGAAAAATCTCCCAACATCCACCAGTCCGAGTTGCAATGCCAGGTGCCTGTGGGCGCCGTAGATGTCGTAGCGCCGAAGTCTTTGGTGTGCAGCAGGGGTTTCGCCTCAACAGCTGCAGCCACATAGCCTCGTTGAGACAGGCGCTGCAGCCATTTCTGCGGCAGCTTCCACTTTTCACAGCTGAAAACCAGCAGCAAAGGCCTCGAAGGCCGCATCTCCAGTGGAAGGGCTTGGTGAAAAAGTGAGGGTCAACTGCAATGAAATTCACAAAACATTGCATTTTCTCCGGAAACCGCTTGGGCGACCTGATGATTTTTTTGGTATATTTTTTTTGGATTCATTAGACTATTTGTAGACCGTGATGGCAAGGTATGAGAGAGATCTATTGACACAGCTTGTCATGCCCATCAGGGGCAAGAAACGCCCATCGGTGGCCGTCTCCATTATGTCACAGCCAAACACATCAAAACATATCAGATCTTTTTACGTTCTACACAAGGAATACCAAACTATGAGCCCGCGCAGAACTAATTAGTATCATCACCATCATGAACTGAACCGTTAAAACATGATCTTCAGTATCCTTTCCACCTGCCCATTTTAGAAGAGTTGTGACCGATTTCGGTGCCAGTGCCAAAAATTGTGTCAAGGATCGGCCCAGACTGGGATAAGAGTCTTGACATGAAGCCCTCCAGTGCCACCCGGGCTTTCTGATTTCTCTCAACAGCGGCGATTAGGTTGTAACAGGACATGTAGATGGGCGCGTAAATGAAATCAGCCTGTGATCCAAGGGCAAGGAGATGCAAGGATTGATGAACTTGGCCTGGCATCAAAAATATGGGAGAATTGACACACACACATCGGTTGCAGTAGTCTGAAAAAAGGCTATCCCCAAATCTTGTTGTTTATCACAACTATCCCTGCAAAAATGCAATTTTTGGTGGTGCCTAAAATATTCAGACAAACTCATAGCTCTTCTGAGTCTCTCGCAGAAAGCCGGGCCTCCTGTGGGTCGTCTACTCGACATTCAGCGCGGCGGAGAAATTCGTGGAGCCAAACCTGTTAAGGGTTTGGAACTTGGTTGAATCATGGTTGATCTTCCTGCATCTGAGCCTCAAATATCCTCAAATTCTATGAATTATACATGATAGTGATAGTGATAATATGTGATTGTAGAAGGAGTTACATATACATAAGTTCGCATAAGGATAGGGATTATATAATGTATGATAGTAACTATATACTATTGGTGATGTGGTAAACCCAAGAATGATAAGCCCATCATTTGGTCAAGTGGGGTGATTTTCGGGATTGTTGATGGCATGGGGTTTATCACATATAAATAGACACAGAATCTCAGACTGCGACGACTTGGACCTTGGCAGATAGGGGTTGGAAGACTAGTTCCCACTAGAAATTGATTGTTTTCAGGGTCAACAAGTGAATTTACCAGAGGGTAACCATCGTTTATGGGTGGGGTCATCATGAGATCACAACACAAAAAACCAAGGTTTACCCAGGGACCCATGGGATGCCATTGATACCATGCTAGGTTCACTGATCTCAGGGCCTGGCCGGAGGATCCCAAGGGCATATGTGGAAAGCATAGGCAAACAAGTTGAAAATAAACAGTCGGCTCTCCATCTCTCTCTCTCTCTATGTATGTGCATATATATATATATCATTATATATAATTACATATATGTATATATTACCTACCTACTTTTATCTATCTTCATGTGTAAAGACTAAGACTAACATATACATACACTATACGTATACTATACGCCTGTGGCATGAATTGCATGGATACTTCATATAACAAGGATGTCCAGTGACATCAAATCTGAGGCACATCAGCTATATCCCCATGACATATTCCCATTTGGATGGTAAAGTCCCCAGGAAATATTAGTGAAAACACCAAGCTGTGACAGTGCTGACATGGCCATTAACATCATTAACTTAAGAGTTTTGCCGCAACATCTTTGGTGCAAGTTTGATCCCTCCATGATCCCACCAGATTCACAAACACATGAGGATCCAAGGCCGATATCCCGGTATCCCCCGATGGCGCAATCGCTGTTCCCCATACAGTGCCTCGGTGAAGCACAGGCCGCGCTCGGCACAAAGGAGGGGATTGGCCCAGAGAGCTTTGAACTCCTCAGGCTCATCGACATAAATTCGCGGAGCTGCTGGGCCACAAGGCAGTGAACCTTCAGTTTTCAGATGGGTTGGAAGTGGGGACCTAAGCTATGGGCAAATCTGATGTAATATGCAATTCTCAGAAGTCTTGGACTTCCGAAAAAACTTTGTGTGATTGAAGGTGGTTGCCATCCATATTCAAATGCTTTGTAGCCAATGAAGTGCCATGTGGCTCACTTAGACCCCATGGCGCACGCAAAGTGGTGGGTTGTCCCACTTTGAGAGCCCTCTGATGCCCCAAAGTGATTCGACTTTCTCAAACTGAAGCTAGCTTCAGCTAGATGCCCAAAAAAGTCAAGCCACGAAATGGGTTTTTGCCCCACTTCATGCAGCCACCCCAGATACCAGCCCAGCCTCCGACAGGATCGGAGAGAAACCATTCGATTTGACTCCACGACGCTCGGTTCGTCTGGTATATCCTCCGTGTATGCCGGAAGCTCAACCAACCACATTCACCCGGATCATTTTTTTACCCCAAGCAGATGAAGACTTAAATGGTTTCTACAAGAAAAACATGTGTAGGGCCGGGACTTTCCACGACCATGGCGAAACCACCATGGCTATTTCTGCTTGTTTGGGGTTATTGGAGGTTAACCGGTCCTGATGGGGTTGGCAAAGTGGTCAAGTTACCATGGCTTGATCCAAGCATAATAGCCATATGAATCCCTATGAACATGAATTTATGCCCTTTAAGGGCCACCAAAATAATGTCCAGTAGTAGGCCACTTGCGGGGCAGCGACCGAAACACTTAGCAAAATCCAGCCAACTACTTGGTTGGGAATTTGCACATCAGCAGTCGCAGTAGTATCTATATATCAAATATTTATCAATATTCGTCACGTCCTTTTCAATATATGGAATATTACGAACCATATAATTAAGTTGAGTATATATGTATAAAGATATTTATATATATACAGTATAATTATATATGCATACAACCCAGTAGGTATAGGTATAGGCATGCCAATGGCATGCCATAGCACTCACCCAAATCAACTACCGTCACATCTCATATCCCACCGCCAAGGAGCCATCGACAGTCTCCCAACGGATCAAGTTGGTTGGCGATCTGAGTTGCAGTCTGAAATCCTCGCAGGGCGAAGCGGAGCCAGGCGCCATTTTGGGAAGTTCAAAGATCTCGTGCCGCCTTAAACTCACAAACAAAAATCAACCAGTGGGTTTGAGGTATAGCAGGCCAAAAAATATAGACATGATAAAATCCTACTAAAGTAGTGCGAAAACTACGGTTCAGTTCTATCTTTGATGTTCCTTTTTGGGGTCATTATAACAATGCACAATGATTCGGGAAGTCACTTGAAAACCAGTGTTGTTGCCTAGCAAGTTAAGGTGTCCAACATTGGAAAAGGGCGTCCCAACCCCGAGGTCGGCTTATGTGTGCAGTGTGTTCATGCCTCTGGTGACATGGTCATCATGTCAACACGCTCAAGGCCATGCCATCCTGACATGGGACGTTTACTGCAATGTGCAATCAGGCTTAACATCAAGTATACATGCATGACCCCTGAAGTAAATGGAACCGCTTGCAGAACACATACGACGCATACGACGCAGTGCAATTTCTTGCAATTTCCCTCAATGTGGTTTCTATTCAAAAGTAGGGTGCCAATTCCAGTCTCAAACCATGCAAACACTTGTTTTTTTCAGGCTCCAAGATTTGGAGCCACGGCGATCTGAAATCGAAGCCACCGGTTGAGATGCCGTTTTTGTTGCTGCTTCAAATGAACTCCCGAATATTGCCGATGTTTACAATAATTTAACACAAAGGTTCTAATATGTTGTTCATTCAGTCTGCTTAAATTCAGACCGTTCACCGCCACCAAATCGAACATTTGGGACCCAGGAGCATGGAAAAGCCGGTCGTTTACCCAGATTTCAGCGCCCCGAAAGAAAACATGTCTGTTTCATATACAAATCGTTCAGAATTCAAAACATAATATCTATAGAATCTTTCGGATCCAGAGGATCTATGACTCTATGATATTTAATGATATACTTCTGATTGATATTTTTCAGTTTCACCATCCGAACCCCATCCCAGCCCCGGCCCCCCGGCCCCGTTGTGCCACCATGTTGTGGTCCTTCCAGGGCCGCCGCTTCCCCGAGTCCTTCCTGGAGCCTCGGCAGCACTGCCATCAGCAGCGCCGCCGCGCCGGAGGGACAGCTCCGCGCCAGGCGCAGCACGTGCTCCGCGACGCGGCCAGCGCCAGCGAAAGTGCAACAGGCGGACCATAAGGCCCAGGGGTCGCCGTCCTGAGCCAAGCGTAACAGATTGAATGGGATAAGATAAGATAGATGTATTATAGTTTGTGTAGTGATGTGGTAAGATAATGAATGATCTGAAAATATGGAATAGCCAGCGCACCACACAAATAGATACAAATAGGCTGCACCGAAGCAAGTGTTCTATCTTCTTGGGAACGCGCATGTTTCACAAAGACAAACATCATATGGGGGTTTGTAAAATTCCCAAGCCCTTTCAAAAGGTTTTTCCAGACGTTATCGTTTTTTTCCTCGTCTCGTTTTTCCAAGCGCTGGCATCACACCTTGATCAAAGAATTCACATGAGCGAGAACAGGGAAAAGGAAAAGGAATAGTAAATGAAGGGAACGGAAAGAATAGGAAAGGGAGAGGAAAAGGAAAAGAAAAAGGAAAGGGAGAGGAAAGGGAGAGTAAAAGGAAAAATAAGCAGTGTATCAGTCTCACACGGACCATTTTTGATGCCAAAAGTTATCGTTTTCGTTATCGATTTGTTATCGTTCGTGAACCCTGTGTGTGTGTGTGTTCCTTTTTCTTCTGGCAATCATCGAAAAAGGAGTGTAGCGACCACCTACCAGGCACCTTCCTTGTGCAGAATCTGCGCCATTACGACCACAAGCAATGGAAGGAAGAGACCAAAAGCACTAAATAGCCGCAGAATTATGGAAAAATCAAGAACTTTGGATTTCAAGAGTCTGGACACAGATCATTAACATAACCAACGTTATCGTTTTTGTGTTCCTCTTATCGTTTTTCGAGTGCAAGCTAAAAATGGCTCATGGGGGATCATGGAAGACTAAGCGAATAGGCGCGGGGTTTTTACAAACTCCCATATGGGATACGTAGCAATAGCATATATCACGTAAATAACATTCCTCCATCGAAATGACATCAAAGCGGCCCTCAACCTACAAAACCAATCGAACACAACGTGTATCCCATGGAATCCCCAGCTTCTCATTTTTTCATCCCGGCACTGGGTTGGTACAAATATGACACCAAAGCAGAAAACCTGGTCCAGTTACCCAAATTCAGAAGCATGCGATTTCATGTGAAGCCAATTGCTTTGGGAGGAAGACTTGCAGAGGCGGAAATCTGAGCAAAAAGGATGCCGATATGAGTTGAAAACTCATTCGCCCATGATCACACACACACACACTAGCATGTGCACAATACTTGGCTAAACCATGTAAATGGAGAACGCCCATATCCCTGAACGCCCAAGCTTCAGCCGGGAAGGGTTGAAGCCGCAGAAACCTCGAAGCACTGGACGCATCAAAAAAGGCCTTCCATTGGGCCTTTGAGATCGGCGACTCGGGGTCATCACAAGCGAAAAGCCGCTGGCTGCAGTCCTCACCACCTGCGAAATGGGGGTGAACAAAATGCCCGCTGTACGTCGCGACGCCGCTGTCATATTACTTGCGAATCGGAACTGAAACTGCAGCCGCAAGAGCAACATATGTGCAAACTGCACCTAAAACTTGGTCAATTAGTCAATTATATATCAACTGAGCAGTTGGCGAGCTGTTTTTTGTTCACAAAACTGGAGGGGTTCCACATGAGCATCCTTCAGTCCTTCTGCCACCACCTGCCTGTGGCCAGAAGTCGCATGATCGCGGGCAGGACTGATGTGTCGCCTGTGTGGCCTCTGGACATGAGCTCATCGAAATCTTTCGAAGGTTCCATGGAACTCGACAAACAGCCTGAGATGGGTGGGACAAAGTAGGCTGGGTGGAAGAGGCATGTGATGAGCTCATGTGGAGAAGTTTGGGTGGTTGCATGATGCATGCATGTTGCTGTCATCTCTCAAACCTGGCCAACCCTGGAATCGTCAAAATCAAAGATACAAGAGCATCAGTTCAAACAGGCCTGAAACATTTTTCAACATCCTTCCGGAATCCTTCATCTTTCATTTTCTATACCTTGCAAAATCTGCAAATCTATGTTTTCATCAAGCAGCAACTGCTGAAGGTATGCATTCCGTCCCAACACTGTTTGTTGCCATCCGGTCCATGCTTCTCATCGCAGCATAAACTGTAGGAGAATCCTTCTTGCCTCAGAATGGTGATGGCCTGGATGAATGGACAGGTGACAGGTGATGATCTTGTTGGAAAAACACAAGGCTGTTAGTAACACATGGTTTCCAGCCCTCTAAGTTCTCCAGCCAGTTTGGGGATGTTTGGGGGTTGCTGAAAATAATCCCGAGTAAAACGCCCTGGTTGGTTGATAAGCACTTCACTTTGGGAATGGCACCTGGCCATACCTACCCATATTCATGGCCAGTCTTAGATACCTTGCATATCCTTGCATGTTGTTTAGCTGTTTCGTAAGTATTCTGAACAAAACATTACTAACATCAAACTACCCTTCACAGCCTTCACCAAGCTTGACCAACAATGTGTTATGGACCCGGCTAGCTGCTATGATCATTTCATATCATTTCCTCATCCCGCGTTGACATATCTTCCGGTTTCCTAAGCATGGGCTGGACAATTCCCCATTTCTAGTGGGATGTTCAAGTTGATTTTCTCATTCAAAGCTCCAGTGATCAAAAATTCAACAGGCATTCCCCGGCCATGCTTGATGACACCCGACATCTCTATGGACCAAGCACCAGCAGCTGGGGTTGCCCTGCCCACGAACACCCATGAGAATCGCTAATCGCCATGGGCGGCACCATGGCAGCATCTTCGTCTTTGGAAGCGCTAGCTGAAGCCAGAGACGGGACATGCCAAAAAAAAACTGGTAAAATCTGGTGAAGAATGGATTTATAGGATGTAAGATATGATTACATGTGAATATTGGATTTAATGAATTTACCTGGAGGGCCATTCGGATCTTAAGTTTTACGTCGAGGCCTGTTCATACTACAATTTGGGACGGGGGTCACATTCGCCGCTACCCCGGGGTCACATTCGCCCCTACCCCAACTAGGGTCACATTCGCCCCTACCTCAACTATCTTTCTACTTAATAACCTTTTAGGGTTTAGTCTGGGGACAAGGGACATTTAGGGGGGACTTGGGGGACATTGGTTAGGGGGGGCGGGGTCACTTACCTTTCTATTTGATAAACCATTTAACCTTTTCGGGTTTAATCTCGGGGGGGACCGGGGTCGCTTACCTGTCTATTTGATAAACCACTCAACGTTTTGGGTTTACCCGTAGCATCATCCAGAGCATCTTGGAAGTTAGATGAAATGGATGTGAGAACGTACTACGCAGAACAGGTTGGAAGTTCCTTGAATTGCATGTTACAAAGTAGCATCCAGAGTATCGTGGAAGTTACTCGAAATGGATGTCACAACGTAGCATCCAGAGCGTCTTGGAAGTGACTGGAAATTGATGTTACAACGTCGCATCCAGAGGGTCTTTGAAGTTGGTTGAAATGGATGTTACAACGTAGCATGTGGAGCGTCTTGGAAGATGCTTGAAATGGTTGTTTCAAAGTATGCAGATCGTCTTCGAATTTACGACATGGATGTTACAACAAAGCATCCAGATACATCCAGAACGTCTTGGAAGTTATTGGAAATGGATGAGACAAACAAAGTAACATCCAGAGCGTCGTGGCAGTTATATACTGGAAATGGACGTCACACCGTTGCATGCAGAACGTCATTGAGGTTGCTTGAAAAGGATATTAGAGCTGACTGTCACCGCTGGAGAACAAACCCTTCTCACCTCTGAAACTATTGCGCCTGCCACGCCGAACGGGGTCAGGTCACATTCGCCTCTAACTTACAGGGTCACGTTCACCCGTACCTCCACCTTCAGTAGGGGCAAGCGCGACCCCACATGAGGTAGGGGCAAATGCGACCCCCGTGCCCTACAATTTCGTACAATAAAACAAAAATACACTTGGTTGTCTCCATTTCCAGTATTTTCGCTAAATATGAAATCTTTCCCGAGACGTGATGAACTGGGCGTGGCCAAGAATGAGGGATGCAGTACCCCAACAATGCAATTTGGGAACGAAGCTCTATGCGAAAATGATGATACACCCCTTTTCCTTTTTCTTGGCAAACCCACACGTCCCAGGTCTCACGACGACACACGGGCAGGGGGATACCAGGAAACCATTGCGTTTAAATATGTTTACATCAGATTTGGGTGTTCCTTCGTGTCTTCCTTGCATCCAATTCTGACACTACGGGTTTGTGCTGTGCCCCTGCATGCCTCCCTGGTTTTCACGTCAAAAATCGTCAGACTAAAAGCTGGCTATGAAAAATGTTTGCTTTTCACTTTCGACCCTTGCGAACTTCCCAAAATGCAATCAACATCAGCCCATGATTTTGCAAGTGATTGTGGGCCCCGGATTGATCCTGGCCCATCCTGGCCCAAACACCTCAAACCCCCCCACATCCACCCACCACCCAAATACCCATGGTGCGTCTCATTTCTGTCTGAACCAAGGGTCTTTTCAGCGGCCACGTCACGCTCAAGATTTTCCAGTTGCTCGCTGAGCCTCATGATGATGGATGAGGATCATGTCGCTGGGGCCAATATCAGTGGATTGTTAGATAAGTGGTTGAAAATCATCCCATCCTCTGCTGGCTCCAGTCTAACCCTCTTAAATCCATTGCGGAGAATCTGGAAAAAACAAATACAACCCAAATCGGTTTTCCATCAACCACATGAGATGAACGCCCACAATCATAAACAACCCCCACAAAATATATCGAAATCAATGCCCAAAATCATTGTGTTGCTGTTCCATTCTTTGCGATCCCACCCCCCATTCATATTAAACACCACCATAGTGTATGGTCCTAATGATGTGGTTTCATTCCCTACTTCCACCATGGCAAAACGGTTCTGGGGGTCGGTGTCGTGCCGTCGTGCCGAGCATCGAAGCCACATCGGCCGCTTTGCTCTGTTCCTTGTCGCTGAGGGCTGCTTTGGTGGACTTGGTGGAGGCCATCTCATCCTGCCCAACTGGCCCGCGGATCACTGCGGCCGTAACGTTTCGAAACATAGGGCCATATCTTCTGAAGAACGGTACTTTGTGAAAGAGTTGCGGAACTCCAGTGATATGTGAAAATTCTGAATTCCATGGGGTTTGTTTCATGATGATACCACCTGATGCCACAACTGAAAGTGCACAATTCATACATGGGGTGTCAAAGTTCCAGCGCCCTGGCGACCATAGCTCGCAAATAGAGATTCCCTCCAGATGTGGCTCCATATATATATATTATATTATATATATGTATGTATATATATATATGTATGTATATATATATAATAATAACTACATATATAAAGATATTATATATATATAGCATTTAGTCATATCCATACTTGGTGACCCATCCCAGTTAGCAGTAGGGCAACTATGGGCAACTATTGGTAGTCAACTTATAGGACCGCCGTATTTGGGGTGAATAAACCCACTTATGGTTCTAGGGGTGAACCATTTATTTCAGTCATCCCCATGAAAGTGGTGCAAGACGTTGACCTTGCACATCTGGATCTTCAGCTCATCGTCTTCTTGATTTTTTTCGATGACCTCAGGAGCGACTGGACGTGTTTTTTTCTACATTATGGTGGGTTTTTACTGGGAATATCAGCTGAACTTGTACATGTTTGTTTTCAAGGGGAAATCATTTGCAAAGTGGTGTCAATGGAATATCCTGCCTACGAACGGGGGTGCCTTTTTATGGGAAATTCGTCCTTTACAAATAAGATTTCATTTGGTTCGCCCAAAAGATAGAAAAAATGTTAAAGAATGCTCGGTGTGGGTTCCTGAACATCAAGTGGTGATGCGCGCAGTGCTGTCTTTTCTCTTCACCAGCTATTCGATTCTTTGGCGCGCTCTTGGAAGCAAGATGGGTGTCTGCATTGGACAAATGATAGCCATAACTGTGAAAGGGGCAGCAAGCAAAGTGGCAGCACAGCAGAACGCAAAAGCTGCACTACCAGGAGGCCACTGGAAACCCAACTATGATCAAAGCTATTCGCACAATGGAAGCACGTAACATTGGCTAAGCTGCGTCGCCAAGCTACAATTCAAGTAACCCGTGAAAGGTGCAGCAAACACAATGGGCGCGCAACGCATTGGAAAGGGCTGTGGCATCACGGTGCTCAGAAATGCATCCTGGACAGCCACAGGGATCTAAGCTGGGGAATCAATATATAGCACCCCATGCTTCAGAGCAGAAATTTAGCCAAGGGCAGTAGAGACAGTGGGCCGGGGAAAGATTTCGCCCGGAACTCACCTGACCTGGTTTTTTTAACAATCTCCTTGCATGCCAAACCCACCAGGCCTAACAAAAGTTCTCAGACGGGCAAACATCAGATGTGCTCAGGACGCAATGAGATTCAAGCCGAACGAAATACTACTACCTATACTACCTTATTCAGGAGTTGCAGGAGTTCACAAGCATCCTGGTTGTCAATGTACCACAGAACATCTCTGCCAGCCATGACATGCGGCAAGTTATGGGGAACTATGACACTTAGGATTGCTTCGCAGGGTGTAATCTGTTGATGACGCTGGTTGAAAAGGTCCAGCACATGCTTGGGCAACTCAGCCGCCATGCCAATGGAGGCATGGGCAGCGAAGCCAATGCCGGCCAACATGTCAGTATCTGTTTTTTTAGGATGCGCCGGAATAAATCCGGATGGGCAGCTGCTGGGCACCAAAAGTTCGAACCTGGCGAGGCAACACGTGTTCAGCAAGAAGCGAATGAAACAAAAGGGCGTCTTGCAATGGCACTGTCAAATCAACGCTGCAGTCGAAATATTGGCGTTGCACAAGAGGCGCTTGGCCGCCCCTACTGCATCTACCACAAGTCCCTGAAGCGGCCCAACCAAATCTGCCTCTCAATTTTGCTGCTTGTCCAGAGGTCAATATACCAGTTTCGAAAACAGAATCAATTTCTACTTGCACGGATTCCCTAAATCCAGGCTTCAAGTCAAACTCAACGAGACCTCCAATTGACACAAGGGCCAGGTTTGCTGAAAGACCTAGAAATACACGACATCCAGCAGGTGCTTGTGATTTGCCTGGATCTAACGCAGCACCAGCCATGCTGTAAATGTCGCGAAGTATCGCCTGTGCAAAACCGTGGCCTGCTACCAAACCAACTACACCAGAATCGTCAAAAAAGTAAGCAGCTGCACACCCGGTCATGCGTCTAGCTACAGCAGTCAACAACACAGGGGTACGGTGAAAATTCAGGAATGGAGAAGACAATCCGACTGGCAAACCGTTGGGAACAATAAACTGAATCTGTTCACTGGCTTCATCTCAGAAAGCCACAACAGCACAACGTCTCTGATAAGGCGCGATTGGGCACTGCCGATAAGCGTTCTTCATGTCCTCAGTTCCACGTACAAAGACACACCACTCAGGCAGTGGAAGCACATCAGGTGCATCAGGGTCAGATGCTTGCTGTCTGCCAATCGACTTACATGTTCTACGGACTGTGGCAGGCAAGGCTTTCAAGTTGTGGGTGACATTGGGCATACTGGTTTGTTTCGCCCCTTGGATCCAAGTCTAGACCGGCTGTGTGGTAAGGAAGCTTTGTTGGGCGAATCTGCCCTTGGTAATTTTCAAGACATGCACCGCCACGTGCGACCTGGTTCATATGATGCTGACTTGGCAGCTATGACCCGCCAAGAAGTGGCTGACGGGTTTGCAGAA